AGTTTCAATAACAGCTTCGGTGTGAACTTTACGCGTCCTCTGTCATTGTCCTTAGGAAATGTTTCTAGTGATCGATATTGAATAGTAATTATTTACTTAAGACTTAAAGATATGTGCCAAGCATAAGAATAGTCTAATGTAATAATAAAATCTGTAATATGATCTGTGGTAATATGAAATATAATTTAATTAATCAATTGTTACTATCGAATTTTCAATATTTCAATCGAATGAATTTACTCTTCGTGTGGTCTTATAATTACATATCAAGCAAAAAAATTAATCTTCGTTGTGCGACATTATCCGATTATTCGATTATCGGTCTTTTACTCAATTTTATTACTAATGCAATAATACTTAGTGTTAAAAACATATTTTAATTGTTTCAGCGTCCTAAATGAGAAATCGAAATTTTGGATTATTTAATATATACATATGGGTATTCTCTAAAATTGTATGAATATGGAACATACGTCACAACAGATTTGATACCGTCATATTGAGACTGGTGGAATTAGTGTTCTATTTTTGTTAATTGCATTAGGAATTTTATACCTGGATGATTTGATGTATATCACTCTAATAGGAAGTCAATAATCCGGAACATCATTTTCTTTTTATTTTATATCTGGCAAAGCCCAGCTTGGCCTTTGATCGTAGGTTTTTTACTATGGCTAGTTATGCAAACGTTTGTAGCGGTTGACGTCACCGATGGATTAACTCCCACTGCGCGCTCACGGGAGTAGTAACGCGAGAGCCCGTTGATGTCTTTTGCTAAGAGCTTTAATGCCTCCCGCTTTCACAAGTTTATTGACCCTGCTTCTTCGGATTTTTCAAGACTTACGTAATATATACAACACTTTAAGTATACACTCATATAAATACAACACGAAAAACGTAGAACCTCATTGAAGGAGACAGAAAAACTGTTGGTTATATAGTCTCTAAAATATGCCTCGAAAACAAATCGAATATGCCAGCAAATCTTATAAACATGTTTTTGCATTTCAACTGGATAACATCGCAAATGCCATGATATCTCGACAAGAAAACACTAAAGCCGCAATCGACCGATAAAAAATATACGTAACTGTTATGATTTCCAAAAAAAACAGTTTACCAAATAATTATATTAAACAATAATTGGGACGAGATCTCAAGAGATGGTAAGCTCATCTTGAGGGAATCCCCAATCTGACAATCGTTTAAAGTTACGAAAAAACTGTGGACATCTAGCGCAAAATTTTCTTTCGCTGAGGGCTAGCCGCAGCGAGCGTGCAGCAATAAAATAAGGCTGCGGCGGGAGAGAGGAGACGAGCGCGGGGCTGGGGGGGGCGCCTGTCGCCTACAGGACGGTCACCAAACACAAGCAATAGCGGGTAACGAATACTAAACTAGCTTTGCATATGTAATTTGTTTTCCACAGTTTATAGAATCATAATGTTAATATACTGACAGATAATAAAAACTACTTAGTATAAATATAAGATTTTGAACATAACTAACATACAATTCAGTATATAATTTCTTATAACTCCCACAAAAATAAGAGCAGCGAAATTTTGTATTTCCTATATTTTTTTATAATATTTATGAGCAAGGTATATACTAGTAAATCAAATACTTTTAGTATATAGGTACGCTTTATTAAAAGATATGAAATAAGATAGTAGATACATCAGATATTTTCTCAATATCTTATTTATTTTTATAATATACTTTATATATCTGTATGAAACAGACATTTGTTTACTGTTTGCGAGATCCTATACAAATTCGATGATATCGCGGGTTGCTTGTATCGTGTGCCGCGGTACAACAAAAAAATCATCATTAAAGTGTTGGAGGCGCGGCGGCGGCGGCGGCGGCGGCGGTACGACGGCGGTGTGGCGCGGCGGCGCGCGGGATCGAGGCTGCAGCCTCTCCGCGTCCTAAACGATTCAACTGAGTTTTTATCACTTACCTACCAATCCATATACAGTTTAATTATTCGGACCGCTAAAAACTTCCCCATTTAAGCACACGTATTAACAAGTACACTGCAATGAAACACAAACTTTGTATTATACCGATCAAATTATATCTAATAATAAAAATACGCACCTACAATAATAGTCATGTATACTGTAATAAAAAGAAACAGATATTCGCCGCTTTGTACAAACTTCCTAATAAAAGATAAAAAAATAACTAAATTGCATTCGTGTCATCAAGGTGCCTTAACCATAATAATAATAATGACGATAATATTTCACAACGAATATCAAAAACATTAGGAAATACTACACCAGCGCATTATACTGTTCCTAATCAAGACGCCATTCTCACGCACGATATCGCTTCAAATTGACGACCTTCTCGTTTTTTAAAGACCATTTGCTTAATATATTCAAAAACAGGTCGTAGGAACAGATAACATATCTGTAATTTATAGATTAGGCAGTGGATACAACAGATTGTAGTAAATGAATTTAATGGTGAGCCGGGACTGAGGTGGATTTTATATTTCAAGTATGATTTATTCTATTTTATATTCAGTTTAATGAAGAAAATATAAATACTATTTCATCTATGTATTGTAGTCTACACGAATATACCGCGGAAGAGTTTGTTTTGTTGTACGCAATAATCTCAGGGACTACACAATTTTTTATTCACAGAGCGCCATCATGTACCAAACTAAATAAGTGATAGAAATTACTAGTTAACAATTTTGTAGACACAGTTAGTACTATTACTGAGAATAATCATCACCCAATCAAATATACTTATACCATTATAATAGTGAATACAAAGGGTAATTCTATTTTTAAGTTTGTCGAATTAACTTATACTTTTAAATTCGTTGAAAAGATTTATAAATCTCAAATATATTAAATAAATTTAAAGTTATATAGGGTAAGACACGATAAAAATAAAAAATATGTTTTATGAAGCAGATTCAGTTTTACAGACCCAACAGGCCACACTTTTTACAGTATCTGATATACTGGTATCGTAAATTGATGTTTTTTGTAAAAGTAGCCGCGGATCAAGAATTAAAATAAATATTTATGTAAATATAAATTCTCAGCAAAGTTATATACTTTATTTCAGACTATAATTTTGTTTGGTATAACAGTGAAATAAGTGCAGACGGCAGTATCAAAATAAATACGAGAATACGCGTCCAGTTGAATAGAGGCTGGTTATGAAACTCGTCTGGGCTGGTAAACAGACGTAACTAATTTTACTACACTACGTAGTCGTACACCGTCAACGTCACAATATGATTTGAATGACACGCACATGGTTACTTTTTGCGGCGCGATTTAAACGTTACGTCTTATACGTTGACATACCGTGAGTTGGGTGATGTTACAATAAAAAGAATCCTCTATAACAAATAATCAACAACCGTACATCATCCTATTACACTATAGCATAGAACTTTATTTTGTAATATCATTCTGAAGCTACAATATACCTACTTAATTTTACAATAATAAAATCATATATATGAGCTCTACCAAATAAAGTTAGTAAAACAGCAAATGACTATTTATTTACTTGTAATGTAATTAATATCATAAACGGAACCTCAATTTAAATCTTAATTATTCTTTTTATTTCATTCCATGTCATACGAAAATGAAAATTTAATTAGGGGACTCTATGAATAATCCAAGTACATATAACTGAGTAGGTAGGAAACTCATACTAGCAGCTCGTTCAAACCCAACATCCGTTTAGTAAATAAACTATATGAAATACAACCTAGGGTTCTATATGTTTGTCTTTTAGTTCTTTATTTTTAGCGCCTACGTTGATTAAAACCTCAAGACACAATCTATTGATTAATTAATCAATAAATTCTTGTAAATAAATATTGTTTACCACACAACTTTCTGGTCTCTTGAGCCGGATACAAAGCCAAATGTGGCAACATTTCATAGACACAAACTTTAACTACTCTCAAAAAATATATTCTATATAAGTACCATGCCATACTATAAAATCGTATGAAAAAAATCTAAATAACAATAACATAATATTGTGGAACGTTCCGTATATTCTTACTACCAATAATCCAAACAGCTCCGTTAAAATCCACAAATATGTTGTTAACTCAAGATACCTGTTCTATATGGCTATAAAGTATCGTCTTAAAATTCGAGAACGTTTTATGGCGATAGCGAACCAATATATAAATTGTATAATGGCCGACTATATCACACCATTGAAATGTGATCGGATGGTGCGTGCAGGCTGGTCTAGGACCGAACGTCGTGGTGCGGCGCGGCGAGGTTGCCAGTGTGCGCTGCGGACACAGCTCTCGCTGCAAGTTCAAGGTGACCGCGTCGCTCCGCCCACACGCGCCGCGCTCCTAACGCGCACAACCGTTACACTACCACTGTACCACCGGGCCCCGACACCGGCATACCCACAAACATCACACGAAACACAAACTCCTTGTTACCAGTGAGAAAGTTGTATAGAATTTCAAGGAAACGTCATAATTCTTTGATATAAAAAATGAAAACGGCCATTTGGACGGTGATTAATTAAGAACAAGTATTGCCATCCATTTTCCAAGGTCGTAAAAGACGACTTCAGGGTGAAGGTAAAGTATTTTCAGTCACATGTACGGCACATGCCTTTGAACGGAAATTTAAAACAAAATCGCAGCAGTAGTCTAAAATTCTTCCCAGATTGCCCAGTAATAGAATGTGATGCCCGTTAACGGATCATTGGTTAGTATAACTTTTAATATTATCCATTGGCATGTTGGTATTTCCGACATAACGATGAACGTTGCTTGAGTAGATACTCAAGTGGAATTTTCCACTATAGGTATATAAAAGCTACAGACACCTGGCAACGACTCTAAAAGTCCATAAATTATGAATTAATAAAATGCAAAATGCTGATATTATAAGCGTAATATCCTTAAATACGATTTGAATATGTGAGTAGTATAAATGAGAAACATAACTAAGTAATTTTAGTAACTTGAAACATTACCTGGATATTGGGATGACCTGTCCGAGCTCATCAACAACGTGGTCTGCAATCACGACGACCGCCTGTCCTGGAGGTCCCACCACCACGGATACGCCACCATCCACTAGTTGACCCCCTCCGCTCACCAGTTGACCATCATCCAATTGACCACTGATCATCTCCACCCTCTTTTGATCTGGTGTAGTCGTATATATAACAGTCTGTTTATCATCTTCATATATAAGATCTATTGGAGTCTTCTCATCTATGGACTCCATACCCTGATCATATACATCCGGCTGTACGGGCACTTTATTATCAGGGGCATACGCAGCTAGCTCATGAGGAGAATGCCGATAAGCATGAGCTTCCGGAGGATAGCCGTCATCTGAGTCCATTTCAACTTTGTGCGGGTAGTAATCATGTGCGGGCTGAACAGGGGTCATGGTGGCAAGCACGGCATGCGCGGGCGCCGGTGACCGCGGCGCAGAACTTGGTGAAGCGCCTGCTTTAGGGGTGCGCGCGCGGTCATCGCACGCGGGCTGCGGCGACGCGGACATAATGCCGCGTTTCAGTGTTATCGGTGACGTCTTTGTGCGGGCGGAGGCTCCACTCAGGAGCACCCCGCTCTACACTCGACTTCGCCGACTTGTATATCTGAAAAAAGTAGTCGACATCTAGCTTACTTCCGTATTCTACAAACTCTTTCTCATTTATAATTAATTTAATTACAACTCAAAACCTGTGAATTGAAATGCTCGTTTTACAATTTGAAGGGAATATATTAGTATCTGTAAATAAAATCCCCACTGTGCAATAAATACTAATTTATTCCAAAATATTAGACATACTTGTATCACGATGTTATATTGCTCTATATGCATAGCATGCACAAACTCACACAAACACATCAAGGACGACGCAGTAACAGCTGATTTAAGTCCAGTTAGAAAAGAACAAGTATAAAGTGGCACCTGATCGGCGAGAAGTGGCCGAACTTGTTCAGGAGCAACCCTACCACGGCGCCCAGAGACAAACCACTGAACGGCACAAACTGGTAACTTTTGTGTTCACGTGCCTGTCAAACCTGTCCCAAAAATACATAGATAGGACAATATAGTCATGAATGTCTTTTCTATTGCCCAAGATATGTATATAATGAGAATTAGTTACCAGTTTGAGTACATAACCAGTTGTAGTAAATATCAATGCCTAATTCGATAATTATCAAAACACATAATAATAACGAAATATATTAAATTAGAATTATATAAACAGAAAATGCACAAACAATATCTAATATCATGAGGAAAATATATATATAATAATACTCTAAAAAGTAACTTTAGATGGCAGCGAAGGCATCCGTTCTCAATCCATAAAAAACAAAATAAAGTTGCATTATTACTTCAGAAGCCATACTGAGAGACCGCTTTTCGATCCATTGGTGCGGAGGCTGAGCTCTAAAGAAGAACAAAGACAGAAGATGCAAAATAACATAAGCTCAAATGAGAGATACATCAGTAACTCAACTTCTTACAGTAAAGTTAAGTTACAATAAAGAATTCCAAGTCATGGATACTGTAACTACCTATAAAATATTATTTCATTTATGAGGGAAATTACTAAGGTTGTAAATTTTCTAATATCTGTAATAAAACCCATATAACATAACAAACTACATATAAATGTTTTCAGAAATCTAAAAATCGAGATAAATACATATAGATCCCTAATGAATCATAAAGTTGAATTTAATTAGATCGTTCATTGTCCGTACCATTCGCTGTTCCATGTTAGTCTTCAATAATAATATAGGTATGAAGAATTTATGTACATACAAAGAAGTAAATTGTGGAAAAGACAATAACAAAAAATCTTCCATCCTATCCATACCAAGCTATTTGTATCTATTGTACAAAAAACCTAAAATATAGATTTCATGTTATCCGTGAGTCAAATCTACCTATAGATACGAAAAACGAATGTTAAAATTATAACCATTAACATCAACTTAATTTGTGCAGGTATCAAATTAACGTTAGAATTAATTATTGAAATATGGAGATGACGTCTTAGTTAACATCAAGCATAAAAGCACCATTCCCTCTTTAGAAGAGGAAAAAATAAAATTACAAAAAGGCTCTGCTACAGTGACATTAGTGTGCGCTCATATCGTACACATTGACGTGTATACGGAGCTTGCTGAACACACGGATACTCTAGCACAACATGCAAAGCATCATCTTTGTGTGCTAACACGTTCTTATATGATGTATTTTAAAAATGCACACATGTTTACATTTCCATCATATATAACATCTCCCTTCGTTTTTCATTGCCCAGCTTAAAGAACTATCACAAATTCTATCAATAGGACATAAAACATTTACTTTGTCGATGAATTGATTGTAAATCGAAAAATATTGTAAAAACACGTCTTGGAATACTGAAACACGAAGATCACTCCTCGTCGCTTTGCATTTGTAACACGAACAATGTAATGTAAATAGTTTCCTATTAGAGGAAACAACGAGCACGTCATTCCACTGGCAGTAAGGTCGGGGGCGGCCGGCATCAGCGAGGGCGTCCTGGCGCAGACCGTCACGCACGCGCGTCAAACTAGTCTCATGACGTCACAGCCAGCCCGGCGAAATTACAAAACCGGCCGGGCGGCATAACCGACTGCGCCAGCAAGCAAAGCAGCGCAGCGCAGTGGCGGACGCGCTGCCGGCCGACCCCGACGCGCCACCGGCGTTTCACATACCGTGGGCGGCGTCACGACGCTGTGCACGGCGCAGGCCGGTGCGCGGGCGCGGGTACTCGAGCACGCAGCGAGCGGCGCTACGGAGCGCGGGCGCAGGTGCTCTGAGCGCAGCAGCCTCCGCGCGCCGGCGCCGCCGCCCTCCGCACCTCCCCGCGTCGCCCGCGCCTTCTCTCGCACGCACCAAAACGACGAATTTATCTTCCGTACATGCTGGCCCTCCTACCCGAGGACGTTGCCCAGGGTGTCTCAGCGTATTACTGATTTTTAACTTACTCCAAATATGTTATCCATATATAAAATGTGTTACTTCACTTATTCAATTTAAACCATGCCTTCTTTTTAAATTGTGAGATAGGTACGAGGAGATTACTTCTACTTCATTTTCAATATTTTCCTCAATACATGAGAGCAACTCAAAGTGGAATAAAAAGATTGTGAGGCATCTGTACTTAAATTAGTATTCACGTTTTTTATATGCGTCGTTTGTTTCGTTTTTTTTAACATTGTATGCGCTGAGGTCATATAATAGCCATACTGGAGATCGACGGTGGCGGCGCGCGGTGTAGCCTGGGGCGACAACGCCGCCGCCCGCGCCTCGACCGTCCCCGAAAACCACGAGAGCCGCTCGGCCGCCGCCGCCGCCGCAGTAACGACAACGTTGCTCTGAGCAGCTGTTACAAAACAGTGACCCGCGTCGCGATGGAATTGCCCAACTTTACGCAACTTCCCTTATTGGACTTTAAAAGCAAAAAGATATCGAATTTATATTATAATTGTTACGCACATATACACTAAAAGAAACCATCAATATATAGAAATAAATAATTAGACGGTTGATTGATTTCCAATATATTTTCCAAGTACCTGCGGAGTGAGATAACAATTGGCAAAAATAGTAATTGTCAAATCACGATACTGGTAGCGTTGTCTAAAATTCTGAGTGTCGTATTTAACGGCTGTGCTATTATTCTAAATCATCTTATAGACTGATAATGAAATAAATAGAAGCCCAGCTCTTTTTACGCCATTAAACAGGAATGAGACATTTTCTAATTTAGTAACGGTGTTGAATTTTGTTTGGTGACAGTTCACCTGTGTTTATTATCTTAACTTTTATATACCTACATACATATTAGTTTATTATGTCCTTATTAATAACCAGATATAGACTATAAGAAGTCATCTGCGTGGGCACTTCAGTCTCGCGTAATGAGTAACGTTTGAGCATATCAATGTGGTAAACATTGATATGCTCAAACGTTACTCATTACAACACACACATCACACTTATATTAGTTTTGTGATTAAAACTAATTATAATGCATTACATGATTATCATAATTAATAATATAAGATATTAGATATTGCAACTTATAATTTTCTTTTAAATTAATCTAGGAACGCTGCCATTATTGCCCTTTTAATAATATATTTTAGTTATTATATTATATTTTTAAGCTTTTTAATTTTAGGTTCTTAGTTGTACATTTATGAGAATTGATAATAATTTTTCAAATATCAGTAAAATTATAACTACATTTTTTAAGTATTCCTATGCGTAAAAAATCTACAGATTATATAACCTCTATACTGAGTTGGTTGTCACATAAAACTACCCCCATTTCTTCTATTAGTTTTTTATTATCTACCTTCACTTCATTGTTTGTCTGTATTGGTGAATAACAAATTTATCTATCTACCTATATCGGCAACCAAGCAGCTTATATTGTAAACTGTTTAGATTATAGGGTGAAGAGTAGGCAGTAAAATTACGAGATAAGAGGCATGTCATCTTTGTCCTATGAAATGGCATTGCATGAGTGGTGTCACAGGCTTCACATCAGCTAGTTTGCACTCCCAATTATTTATTTATATAACTTCAATGCACAAAATACCAAGGTAAAAGTACATATGGCGGACTTAACGACTTACGGCATTTTCTACCAGTCAACCACAGGTTGTGCAGAGAAACTGTAGGCGGTGAAAATGTAATCAATAAGAAAAATAATACCTATGTCATAAATAATATATATTTACTAAACGTAAGTACATGTAAACATACATATACAAATACATACAATATATATAAAGCTATAGATAAATATGAATAAAATACATACCTAAATATACCATATACATATCATATAGCACTCCCAATTACATAAATAAATATGATGACAACCTACGGAACCGCCATATGTTAATAGTTTACACTGACGAGACATTAGTGATAGATGACATGATGCGGATCTATTAGAAAGTTGGTTACCAAAGCGAACAGGTGCACACAGCAAGGCTGAACTAACAATAACGTTCTCTCTATTTCCCATTACAAATACTCCCCTTTACGGTTTATTTATATATTACAATAATAGCTATCTATAGCACCATATGTGGGGCCATCATAGACGACGGTTATCATTTTAAATCATGATATCCCGTCAGCTTCTATACCCCTAACCTTTGTTACTTAGAAAAAATAATTCCTCATAAGAACGACTCCAACATCACGTGAATTTCTTATTTAGAAAGAGCATACTCAAATATAACTATCCTCACACTACTGTTTTTACTGCCATTCCTCAAGAATAACATTTCATAGATAATTGTTATAACTTTTCTATGAGGTAGCTTGACAGCTAATTCTTGCTGTGTACCTAATATAAAAACCTACTACTTTTTTTTCAAATACGAGTGTATGACAACATTTGCTAAACTCATTATTACAACTTAGCATTATAAGGCTAAAAATCACAACATCGTAATTTCTTGTCGACATGTTTAATTTTTCTTTAATATAAATTTGGATAAAATTAATTATCATTATTTCTCAGTCTCTCGGGGACCATTCAACAGAATCTTCAGATCTAGCCAGGGACATGATGCGATTGTTTACTCATATTCACTTTTGTATTAGTTTACGTATATTAAACAATACTTTATTTTCTTTAATATTGAAACAATTAGGTAAGCACAGAGGAACAACTTATTTTTTGGAAAATGTCTTTTAACAATCCTTCAGAATCAGTGTAATATTTTTCTGCTACAAATGTTTATTGAGGTATTATTAATTATATATAGAAGAGCATAGTATGATATTATAAAAAATGTTAAAAAATTACAGCGTTGTGCAGTTTATTCCGTCGACCAGAATGTTCGCAAAACAAATCACACACATAACGATGACCTTATAATCATTACAATACATCCGGTTTTCAATATAAATACCTCATTCTAGCAATGTTTTACTAGTCCCGTCATCATAACTACAGGACGAAAAGAACTGAATAATAGTGCGATCAAACCGTTCTCTAATATCTGCTGTTTGAAAAGACGCTCACGCCAAATCGCAACATCATACTATTCGCATTATAGGTGATCTAGACCGTAGGTTGTCAATGTGGGCAACAACGCCCTCTCGTGACCGTTAAGATACAGTGGAGGACCCAAAAACAGTTACATTTCAATGTTCTTACACGTTTAAGTAAAGTCGTGGCAATAACTGGTTCAAAAAATAATGAGAACTCTAGAATAAAATATACTCTCAAAATGTAGAATAAAGTTGAGAACCTATGATCTATACAATACTGTCATACTTACAGAAACTACTTCAATTAAGTATATTTAAATTTTGTACAATCCTCGTAGGGCTTAATATCTTTTTTTAATTTTCTACCATAATAAAACTTGCTGTTCCATATATATAATGTCATAATGAGTGGAAAAATATTCTAACTTAATCAACTAAATGAACGTACTTCTAGAGAATCGTATAAAATAACAAAGGATGAGAGCTTGAATTCAGGTACTTATTATAAGGGCTAAAATACTTTTTTGAAGGTACCTAAACAATATTTCTAAATACTAATTACATTGTAATACATCTAGCACATACATAGCTATCCAGCGCTAATAATCAACGCTGTAGCGACGACACTACGTTAGTGAATTTACATTAGATAAACTCGCTAAACGACGACTCACTAGTTGTTCATTCACAGGATTTTTATTTAAGTAACTAAATAAATAACTGCTTCTTTTTGAAAAAGAATTTCAGTCGAGATTCAGATATGACGGCCAATACGGATCAGTGGAAGAGTATGACATACTGCGTCAACTCTAAATAATGGGATAATGTTGATTTAATTTATATATGACTAGCTACTTGCCCCGGCTTCGCACGGGTATACATGTATTATATATATAAACCTTCTTCTCGACACACTCTATCTATTAAAAAAACCGCTTCAAAATCCGTTGCGTAGTTAAAGATATAAGCATCCATAGGGACGGACAGACAACGACTTTGTTTTACACTAATATGTAATGATGAAAATTTGTAGATCTTCAGCAACTCCGCTGGTCGCGCTGCTGCTTCATTAGTATACCGTGTAATGAACAAGTATCATTATTATTATTTGAAATTGTGCAATAGACGTACGTATATTATCAAGTATGCATAATATTTTTACTTAATTCGGCCATAAATACTGTTAGCATTAAAAATAAACATAGTATATATAATTTAAATTTGGAATCTATCGTTATTTTATGAATTTTCCTTGAGTTTTCTCATTTTCGTGCCAATCGGTAGTCAAATATTTTTGATAGAGTGGGGTGGTAAAGAGAACCGAATCGCTGTGATTACACACAAAGTAGGTATGGCTAGGCTACATACAATTTTTGAAACTCTTGATACGCTTGGTATTAGTCAATTATTTACAATTGAGGATTATTTTAACAAGTGGCCGTGTTTATGCTCAAAGCTCTAAAAAAGAATACAACGTGAATATTATTCTATTGCAGTCGTGGTTTGATGGAGCTATGAAGGAGTGACGGAGCTATATTTTTACAAGTGTATCAAGATTGCGGTCAAACGCGCTCAAATATTAATATAAAAAAATCACTATACCATTCTTGAGAAGGTTGTTAAGCCCGTTAACAACAAAATGTTCAGTAATCAAGAATGGTCCTTCTAGCAAGATCACCGCCAGGACATAAAGCTCGATCCACTCAAGTTTGGTTGGAAAAGGATCTTCCGGACTTCATAAAGACCAGCATTAAGACGAGACTAGATGACGGCTAGTCATCTAGTCTCGTCTTAATGCTGGATTATAAGTTATCGTCAGTTTCAGAGAGAATGGCTTGCTCTAAACCCCTTTTCCTTGTAATAATATTTATGGTCTGACTAGTAGGTATAATAATATTTCATAAAAATAAACATAATACTAATAGAACTGCACTGGCTTAGTAAGCTAGTAATGTACCATGCTGACCTTCACCCAGTTCTCCTGGAAACCATCGTGATAAAGCCACGATGGGTTGACTAACCTGAACTCGTGCCCATCCTATCATCCTACACTGGTGGACCACCAGCATATACCGTTGGCGCAGGAAGTGGAATTCCATTATCATCCCTTAAATAAATCATATGAAACTGTCATATGTTCTGGTGAACAACACTGTGGTCAGTGTTATAATATCTGGTTCGCGCCATTAGTTTTATCACTATATTCGCTTATAGGTAAAATATTTTTTGAGAGGTTTAAATGACCTATAATTTAAAATGTAGGTAATATTGAAACTCACAGAGATATGATTGATGATACAAAGAGAGTTACGACTATCAGTCGATCGTACTTTCATTAGTCGCCTCATGCATGTCCTGGACATTGAGTTTCCTTTTACGTACACTATTATATTATAATACTTTACCATATTCGTAAATAAATACTAAACTTCTGTATTTACAATTCCGGCTACACACTCTTATTTTTATATTTGCACTAATGCATACTATAATGTTCGAGATTTATATTAAGATTGTCTTGAGACATATATATTTGCTATGGATGAGTTCAGCTATTTATAGACAATCTTAATATAAATCTCGAACATTGTAGTAACAGGCATAAGAGCGTGTATGCTTATTTAACTTCCAAGAATTGTTTAAATGACCGGTGAAAGCCACACAAACAGGTGTGTAATACATTATGAATATGGGTAGATATGGTACCATTTTACGAAATATTTTTAAGTTATACCCGTCCCAAACATTTACCAGACCGTTTTATTTTTAAATAACGTCCCACAACTTTGTCCAATACTTATTTGATTTCTTTGTTCATTATTAAATAAAAAATCAAACAAATTTTTCATTATTCTATAGATTAACTAATTATGTAAATTATAGGTAATAGTGTATATTAATACATATCTATAGTATCTACGGTAAGGTAAAGTTACGGTAATATTTTACCTTAACTTGGTAGGACTATTCATTCTTTACAATAATTACTATTACCTAATTAATTATTTTTAAAGAGTAAATTTTAAATCTCCACACTTCAACTGTTTTTAGAAAATTGTAATATATCCTACGCATGAAATACCAAATGTTACAATACAATTCCATACTTATGTGGTCATTATACTTTATGAGATTTGTTTTGGTTGGACAGTGCTATTAGACATTGAACTTATAGGGTTTGATCTTTTTTGAGTGACATGATATCTCAATCTGTCTGACTAAAATGCATGGCATATGTGGTATCTCGGATAGTTACCGCTTACGATCAGATGGGCTATAATCTTCAATTTCATTCTAATTACAATACCTACATAAAAAATGCAACCATTGCACTAAATATATATTTTGTCAAATCGACTAAGATTTTCAGAACTTTAAAAAACAATTTCTAAATGACACACATACACACACATTATACACAGCAGATTTTATGTCAAAACTTAAGAGTGTCGAATAAAATTACAATGTGGGAATGGGATTGTCAGTACCTAATGTGGATTAAGAACCCCAATACAAAAAATAGCAATGCACCGGTTGACCGCTACGCGGTTTCCCCTGGAAAACAATATGTTAAATTCCTGACGACTTGGCCACGATAGGCTACATGAGCAGACCTAATATTCATCGTATCATCCTCCACTGGTGACCTGCTAGCTTATACTGTTGCCGCAGATGGACGTACCATTCCAAAATCATCCATTAAAAAATGAAAACACGTTTACCCCGGCATCATCTCCAGAGGCAAATGATGTTTTCAAAACTTAGAGAAGTTATAACTATCGTATAAAATAAATTAAATATTTAAAGCTAGATGAATCGGAGGTACCTGATATACCTGATGAATGAGAGGTATCGAGTGTTTTATGAGAAAATTAAAATGCGACCTCAACGATAGCGATATATAAAAGATTGTTACAAAAAAGAATATGTCTAACAATTCATCACTATTTTAAAATTTAAAAACAATAAAAAAATCCATCAATAAATCCGATACAGCTACCTTAAAATTGCAGAGATGCAAAAGTGACATATTCTATAAAAATTAGCACAATATTCAATGTTTGATGGCCAGTATTATACTTTGAACAGTCCCCCTTAATGTGGGCATCTAAAATTTACACCACACCAAGTTATCTATTATAGTAAATGCCTCGTGCTTAAGACTGCCCAGAGCTTTAGTTATAACATCAGCCACCATTACGTCTGTATGTATGTATAGAATTTGTACATTGAATCTTTCTATCATTCCTCTAAAATAATGGTACATCACATCAATGTGTTTTCACCTCCTTGGAGGACACAATAAACAGTCAACTGTAGATATAGCTGATTGATTGTCACATTACGTCACAATCTTGCAGGACGACGTTTTCAATCTGAATTATAGGAATCTTGTAGGAATGCACCTTCTCTACAATCTTTACTTAAGCTAATATACTCCGTAGTGAAAGCGTGCTAGGCCCCTAACCTTTTGGAAATTTTCGAACTACTTTTTTCCAGCTAATTCTAATACTGCTGGCTGCAGCTGGCCTTTTTATCGAATAAATTGAAAATTAGTCGAAAAATTGAAAAATAAATTTTTGAATCAGTTATATAGGACTATAAAAATTTGTTATAAACCTAGTCTCAGACCTACTGAATACAAAATTTCATCAAAATCAAGCCGAAGGAATATATACACGAAACCTATAACATGAGAATTTTATATGTTAAACTAGCTGTTCCCGCGACTTCGTCCGCGTGGAATTTAACTTTAATTTTCTAAAATAAAAGTAGCCTAAGTTACTCCTTACTACATCAGCTACCTGCCAAAAAAAGTCCCGTCAAAATCGCTCCAGCAATTTCAGAGATTAGCCGGAACAAACAAACCAACAGACAGGCAGAAAAATTGTAAAAAATGTTATTTTGGTGTATTTAAATAAATAAATAAAAAAAATACGAATTTATATTCATATGCATGTAGTAAGAAACGATTATTTCAATAATACAAACAGACACTCCAATTTTATTTATATGTATAGATATACACAATAATACACATATCCCGTAGTGTTAAGGTTGAATAGCGCTAGTATAAAGTCTATGACTAGAGTGGTTACTAGGGCTACCCTCCTTGTTTATTGTCACTGTCAAAAAAAACTGAAAAAGTGTATGTCATATACGTATTCCATAAATTGTAAATAATAGTGTCTAAAGTGTTCGTGTCGTGTTGTGTACCTACTCGCTTGATCCCTTCCAGTGTGTAATACCCGTATCTGCTTCCGTCTCCACCGCTTACGATATTTGGATATTTGGTAAGCCACTCTAGTTATATTACGTAGTTCTTCAGCGAACCACTTGAGGCATCACTTTATTTTATGTTTGCAAAATATCTTTTGTACAACACAACAAAAATTATGCTAAATTTGTAACTAAAGTGATCTTTTACATTTTTTTATGTACTATATATTGTACGATAATTTTATATATATATTATAGTTCAATAAAACTAAAAACGTACCTTGTAATGAATTAAAATTAGATAATTTGAACTTTTGAAAGTGGTAACACTGTTTTATTGTTTGTTTCTTTCTTTTTATTATGTATCCATCTCTCTCTTTCTTATTCGAAATACCGTACGATACGGTTTACTTCTGAATATTCAGTAAAATATTTTTGTAAGTTGTACTTTTCTAACTTTTTTAAATCCACACAACGTTCAAGAAATTTAAAACGTAAGTTCTAAATTAATTTTATATATTAATTTTTAGTTTCGAGTAATGAATGTTTGTTCTATACACATAACCTCTATTTCATTTTTTTATTAATATATATAATAATTATATAAACTAATTTTTATTCTTCATTTATAGTAAACATATAGAACACATTTGGGCGTCAATAACTGAATCTTAGAAGACTGCACTGAGCTGAACTACAACTAGTTAACTTAAATAGACTGCATTTTTATATGTATACGTGTCCCACAAAGCTTTTTATATTAAGTTATTACTTACTAATGTTGAGAGTTAGGTAGTACATTTAGGACAATTAGAGTGAAATAAATTAATAAAATGTATACTTAAATGTTATATTCCACAGAATGTCTGCGTTGGCTTATGAAAAAATTTGGTTCGACAAAACTATCTACACTGATGCAGAAAGGAATTACTACGAATCCCTATCAAAGGTGAGTAAACCGAAATTATATTTTAATATCAAATTATAAAAAATTAACATATTTCATTTTATTTTAAATACCATTTGGGGTATATTTATTAAATATTTATATCAGTACTAGTTTTAACAGACATTTACTTGAATTAACTACACCTACTTATACTATTACGAAAATTACTTTTGTTCATAGGTATGCTTTGCCATATATAATAAAATATAAAATTTGTAAATAGGTTCGAGGTACACCACTTACATTAACTCAGTCTTCCTTGGCCAATGAAGTTGCAAAGGCTAGGCAGCACATCAAAAACTCCCTTGAATGTGTGAGTAAAATATTATTTATTTCATTTGCAATTCACACATTGTAGTTTTGCCTATTACTGCAGACCTATGTTTGCAACATTATAAATTGGTGTGCTTAGTTCATGTTACATTTTTTTGTCAGTAATGTCATTTTATGCTAATAATTCTAAATGTATTTCAGATGGATAGTGTTGCTACTTTAGCTGGAGTTCCAAACACAGAATTAACTAATAAAGTTAAATCCTTAGAGAGAGATAATAGTGACCTCAAAAAAGCCATTGATGACTTACGTAACCTAGTGATCAGTCTTCAAGCTCGAGTAGAAACTTTAGAAGATAGCAAAAATTCAAAATCTTCATTTCTCCCTGCATCTAAAGTAAGAAAACTTATATATATAATTTCTGTTTTAATTATATGTTCTGAATAATCTCATTTACTATTTTGCTATATCTAGTGATGTCCTAATCTTTGCTGCCTCATAAGGTACATGGCTTGAAAATATGTTGTGTTGAATTATAGCCACCACCAGCTGCAGCTTCCCAAGAGTCAGACGATGGGGTGGATTTATTTGGCTCTGATGATGAAGAAGAAAGTGCTGAGGCTATAAAATTAAGAGAGGAACGTCTTGCTGCATATAATGCAAAAAAAGCTAAAAGTAAGCTACTACCATTATACTACACTATACATTCCATATAATTAGTTATTCCTTTGGCTTATCTTAGTCAAGAAAGAATATTTAGAATCCTTGAATTAATCAAGAACATGGCAATAATATCAAAATATCAGATTTATTTATCTTTGGCTTTAACTGATATCATACTTCCTATTACTTTATATTATAGTCAAGATGTAACATTAACTGGGACCTAATAAAAACTGCAATTAGTTTTTACTACTACATATTAACAAAGGTAATAAAGTCGTTATGTATTCCAAGTAACCATAATTATTTTTTCAGAACCTGTACTCATTGCTAAATCAAATATAATTTTGGATGTAAAACCTTGGGACGATGAAACCGACATGGCAGAAATGGAGAAGGCAGTAAGACAAGTTACCACCGATGGCTTACTATGGGGTGCAGCTAAACTAGTCCCATTGGCCTATGGTATACACAAACTTCAAATTTCTTGTGTTGTAGAGGATGATAAAGTGTCAGTAGATTGGCTAACTGAAGAAATCGAAAAAATTGAAGATTATGTAAGTTATATTTTATATTAAGTAAATACAATTATAAGCAATAAAATGTCAGCACTTTAAACCATATTCAGAACAATATTGTTCTACATTACCAGTGTGTGTTACCAGAAGTGTGATATAAAGATAACTTTGACAAAATCCATTAAAATGGTATCCTCATGAGGATGGCACTGCCGTGTTTACTCATGAACATTTGCTGCTTTTAGGGACTGGTCTGCTGTGTGAAAACTATGACTGATTTATTTTGTTACTCAAGTAGTATTTATTTTCTTTTGTCAATATTGCAATTTGACAGTTTTTGTATTCGCACAAATTCCTAAATGTGAGGTTGAATAACTTTTAAAAGCAACACATGATTTATTTGTTTGTGTGTGTGATAAGACTGCATTCCTTATGAGTGGTAATGAAAAAATGAATATATAACTATTTCTATATTTAAAAAATACAAAATTTATGAAATTGGTATGTAAGTGTTGATTACTGGCGACAAATTACCGTTCCTTCACACTCAATAAGTATTGCTATAACATAATGTATATTTATTTCCAGGTACAAAGTATTGATATCGCTGCCTTTAATAAAGTTTAACAAGGAACTACAAATTTTTACTGTTGAATAATAAAAATAATAGCAAAATCAGCTGCCTCTTATTACCCAATATCCTACTATACATCCCAACTGTAAAAACAGTCGTAAAAATAATGTAAGACAGTGCTATAAGTAACATGAATCAAAATTAGTTCTACATTAAACAGTACGATTCGCCATTCTATGTGACACCGCCTCATGTTTTTTAATTACCATAATATTCCAAGTTAAGTTCACTCGAAGCATAAAATATGTACTGCAAAATGATTATATGATCTGTGCTTCGCTACGAACTATCTTATCTTCTATATTAATAATTTCGTCAAGGGGTACGGTAGACTCGAACGAAACATGTGAATAACAAAACAAAAAATATTGATTTCGAATCGACAACATATATCCGCAAAATTCGGATTATGGAGTATTTCGTTAAATTCTAATGACCGGACAAACAAACCGAAGTCGCCATCTTTTCATTTCACTAGCATTTTCTTCGGTCGTTGACGTTTCGCGAAAATATTATTTTTGACACTTTTATGATAAAAGAGTATGTGTTTTTTCTTTAAACCTGTAATTGGCCGATTGCGAGACAAATTTGCCAATTTTTTTTATTAATTTGTTTTACGATCTGGATACAAATCAATTTTAGCCTAACTTAAATTACAAAAAAATAAAAATTATTTGTATAAAAACTTTTGCACTTTTTATTTACTATATTTATTAAACACAATGAACGAAGCTTTACAAATCTATTCCTTGATTACTTTTAATATTCCATGAGAACCGATGACTACAGAAATATCTACCCACATTTCACCCGAGCGAAGCCGGGTTTTCATCTAGTAATATATAGTTTTCTTTGGAATGAGACATAATTAAAAAAAAAACTATCAGATGGCAATTGTAAGTAGCTATGACGTGGTCTAGTGTTTTGAGTAGTCATGCTCACTAAAATATCCAGACTTGTGGCGGCGTGATGGGCCAGGTCATTGGGCTCCCTAAAATGTGGTCGAGCGCAGTGATGGTTGGCTCATTCGTCATACTCGTGAACGGGTGCTTGGTCTGCTCTAATCACTATGACCGATTTCCTCTTATTAATTGTTTAACCAGTTGGTTATATATTCAATATTTAATTGAATTTGTGCTAATTGGTGGTTTGTATTCACACACTTAAACTTAAAAATGTAAAGTAATAATAAAAACTATTTAAAACACGCAAGTTTCTTGCTCGTTCTCCTAGTGATGAGACAGCTTTCCGAATGAGCGGTAGATTAAAAAAATGTAATGACTATTCAAAAGTGCTTCAATGTAAGTTTATTTGAATAAATGATTTTCTATTCTAATATATTTCAGAAAATATAGTATGTTATTTGTTCCTTTGCTTTTGTATTTGTGAATCTTATTTTTTATTGGAAGTATCGTCTTCTAGAGTAAATTCTGCCAATTTCCGGATACGTAAATAGCCCCGTGTGCTATATCAGCTATATGCAACAATAATTTTCGGTATACATTTACCAAATAATTTAATTCTATGCTATTTTGTAATCATAGTGATTATTTACTCCGTGCTATTCGTAGATTGTGTTACATTATTGATTTGACGTTCAAATTGTCTTATAATGTCAGTCGTTTGTCAAAAAATACATGCTTACTCGCTCAATTTCTGTACTGTATTACCTAAATCTTTTCTATTTTGTTTATCTTATCATTTCTTTTTAAAAAAATGTTCAAGTGTAAAAAATGTGAAGCTAATGGAACAATAACTCTGAGAAAGAAGGACTGGTATTGTAATATTTGTTTTCTAAATAACATTCACCACAAATTCCGTTCAATTCTAGGTAAAAATAAAATCCTTTCAACAAATGAAAAGATTTTACTATGCTTATCGGGCGGGACAGCTTCAACTGTTTTATTGGATATGGTTCATTGTGGAATATCACTCAATAGCCATAAAAAACTGAGAATAGTTCCACATGCTCTACACGTAATAGGCAAGTTATATTTCTTATTTTATTAAAATTTAACAACTTGGTGTCTTAACAACCACAGGCAATCTGATATTTATCACTTGTAAATATAACCAATATCAAAGCAAATAATAATGGTAATGGTACAAATTGAGTTCAGAATTTTATTCTCAAATTTGACTGATGTATGGCGTATATTATGGCTGTCAAATTGTTTTTTTTTTCTGGAACATAGCATGCAGTTTACTATAGGAGTAGGAAATATCCATAAAAGTCCTCACAGGGATATCTCTCTCCCATCACACATACTATCCTTCTGGTAAAAGTTTATAATTTTATTGTTTTTAACCAACTATTTTTTTAGGCCCAGGAAATGAGGAATATAATCTAAAAGTTGCAAACTCAATAATTAAAGCATGCAAACACTACAGTATTGACCTACATATAATTAACATAGCAGATTATGTTCAAAATCATAATAATTTGACTCAGAATGTTAATGTAATACCTGAAAGAAACAGTGTTTCTTCAGATATGTTCTTTCAAATTCTTAACAGCATGCCATCAACAGCAAGGAATGATTTTATATTAAAAGTAAAGCAAAATTTATATGTGAAATGTGCAAAAGAGATATCTTGTAAATTTATTTTCACTGCTGAAACCACATCAACATTGGCTATTAATTTGTTGTCTAACTTAACAGTTGGCCGAGGATCTCAGGTTCATAATGATGTTGTAAGTACTTGAAATTAAATAATTATTTCATGGTTGCAATTAAAATTAATATGTATCAGTGTCATTGTACAACTCATATTTTATCTTGTTAATTCTAAATCACCATTATTTAAACCTCTTCTTATCTGGTTTGAACAGCTGTTAGCCCTCCTAAATTAGTATTGATTTATTTATAATCCAATGTTAATTTTCTAGGGATTTTGTGATAAGAGAGATAATGAAGTAACTATTTTAAGACCAATGAAAGATATTAGCAAAGAAGAATTGAACCAATACATAACCATAAAACAAATTGGACCTGTACATGATTGTGATATGCTGGATAACAGTCTTCAATCAGTCATAAGAACCTTTGTTACTGATCTGCAAAATAATTTTCAATCAACAGTGTCATCAGTATGTAAAACAGCAGACAAAATAGGTATATATGAGGATAAAAAAATTGAGCACAGATGTATGCTATGTGAGGTAAATATGTAATTTCTTAGTTTAAAATTGTATTTCATTACTAAAAGATATATTTGTGTATATAAAAAATGTCCAATAGGACAATGAGAGGACTTATATTGTCCTCTAACTGTCCCATTGGACATAATCTTTAATTATGAAAATATGGAAATATAAAGACAAATTAAATAGAACCATTTCTTTTTCAGAGCATTCTTAAAAAAAAAGAATCGAAAATATCTGCACTTGAAGCAACTAACTACTCAAGACTTGTTTCTTCAACAAACAGTGAAGATAAAAATAAATTTCATGACAATACTCAAATAGAGAGAACCTCTTTGTCAATGTTTCCTTACATTGACCAATATCTATGTTATGGCTGCAGTAGGATATACTCAGAAATGCCCATTAATGAATTACCCAATTGTGTAAAAGTTCTGTTTAAAACAACATTCTAAATGAAAATATTATATCCTAATTATATGCAATTTATATACAGCACTAGTAACCAGGGATGTTATGGATATGAAATTTCGGATACGGATAGGTTTCGGATATAGGAATGATTATTATACTGGATATGGATGCGGAAATGAAATGATTTCGTATTATCCGTTAGTTTCAGATAATTTCGGTTACGGAAATTAAGTTTTTAAAGAATTTCAAAAGTAAACTACAAATAGCTAATAAAATGGTTACATAACGTGTCTCAATTAAGCTCCGCCCCTATCCGATATTACCCGAAAGTTCGGATAGGGTATTGTAACCGAATCCGAAATTTTTAACGTTACGGTGCTCCCTAACATCCCTGCTAGTAACTATCATAATCATGGTCTATAAGCAGATGAAACTGTGTATTAAATTAGCTCCTAAAATAATATATATAAGCAGTAGTTATGTATACAACATAAATACTGCTAATAATATATACTATATATATATATATGTATATATTATTACATATGCAACAGACTTTTCATTGATATGGAACAAACATTATTAACATCTGAAGTCCTACAGCAACAAGATACCAAGTCAAGTATGAAGCCAGTCTTTTTTACCAAGGATTTCTTTATATGAAGTTGCCTATATAAATCGTCTAGCAGTTTACAATGTCGTGATACATATATACAGGCGATGGGTCCTTCTGCGTCCAGAGGGCCGTTAACTTGTTTGCACTTAAAATGTATTTTAATGTAATAGGATGTACAAACAGTTTAGAGCACATGTCCCAATATATTTTTCTTTTGAAATCAGCTAAAAAAGTAAAATGTTCACTGGTCAAAAGTATATTGTGTGCCAATTCAAAACAAATTTTTATTATTAATTTGCAACATACATATAATAGGTGTTCACTAGTATTATGTACGAGTCCAAGTTGATTACACGGAATCATATTTTAGGGAATAATGTCATGGCTCATCGCGTGGACAAAGTTGTTATAGATAAGCATAACTGCTATTGCTAAATATTGCTTTAGTCGTTATCGTTACGTTTAACTTCTACGTGATAACTGATAACATAATAAAACAAAGACTAATATGTTTGTATTATTTTGGTAATTTAAGTGGATTCCTTTCATTTCTTAGTATTTACCTATACAGTATTAAATTTAAACACACAAAATAATAAATACCTTTATTACAGTCCATTCAATTTAGACAATAAGGATACAAATGAAAAAAGTCCGACCAAGCAGGATTAAGAAATTAAAATCTAAAAATATTCCACCAATTAGAACTATGCCTTGTATTTACAGTTCGGTAAATTACTACTGATAGCAAATCCTCCAATTATTTTTCATGTCCGTAAGGAGGGTATTTTAATTACCTTAGAAACGGCACCACTGAAATCCAACTAAGTCGGCTTTTTAGAATTGTTATCCTTATAGCTATCATATTGCGCAAATTATATATAACTTCCAGAGCACAAATAAATCTCACAACATAAAACTTAATTTCTAGAATCACCCGATTCTATTTTCAAACGCCTCATTTGGTTGCTTTCATTAATCAGAGTGATAATCCAAATGTAAAAGTCGTATATTTAATAATAAAAAAGAGTGTACCGTCGTCTGGTATACGCATAGCGACTGTTTTTCCTTTGAAATTTTCATAAAGCTTTGATCAATTATAGACTCGGCCGTCACACTGAGATTCTACTTTTAAATAAAATTGCCCTATTTTTTAGGCTAGTTTAGAATTAACATATTTATACATGTATGCATGTTTAAAATATGCTTTTTGCATTTAGAGCATGGACGAAAACCATTTTTTATATCTACCTACTGCGCAATGGTTTAACAGTATTACACACATCATATGTAAAAATATCAAAAAATTTCATTTTATTCACATATATGTATTTCGATACACGGTGTAATGCTGACGAACCTTAATGTACTTAGAAATGTTCAGACTAACTAACATAACAAATATAATGTTACTGCACTGTGTAAGATAGGGAGTCTTGTCCGTTTTTCTAGATTTTCATGCAAAATGAATTTCAAATACCACACAGTAATAATCGGAACTAGTTAATATAGGCAACGATACCATTTTATATACGTACCGAGATATATCTATACATTAGCCGAGTCCGCAACTTCGTACAAACTTTTTTGTTTGTAATTTAATGAAACACTATTTTTTAAGTGAAGCTTACCACAATACATGTTATAATCTATGTATACTCAATACAAATGAAAACAGCACCTAAGTCGGTTAAGCCGTATCTGAGATTAGCTCCCACAGACAAACAGCCATACTTCTAAATGTCATTATTTTAGGTTCTATTACTTTGAAAAAGTCTCCCAATAGTAGATAATCTTCATGTATATTTAGCGACTACTTATATTTGTATTGTATATTACAAAATCGAAAGTAAAAAGTTCTTTATGAAAAAATCGCCAAACGAATCTCAATTATCCTTAGAAAATACGTGGATAGATATATTACTTTTTAGGTTTTATCTCAAAAATAATCTGGAAGACAATAAAAATATGACGAATCATCTCAAATGGGAAACAGAAAACTCCTTATAACAATCAAAAATAGATTACTCGAAGTACTAATTCTAAATAGACGAAGACATGGGCATTCGTATTACACAATAAAATACAGTGATGATATTGTATATACATGGTGGATATAGATTTAATAAATCTAATAAGAGATTTGTCGCGTCTTTTACACGAACGATTGATTTCTATAGTAGGTAGATAGGCGATTTTACACATTTCAGTGCGAAGAGTATTATATATAAATTCTAGTAAGTATTAAAAAATATAAAACACTGACCCAGTTTCGATACCTCATCTGTACTTTTGAATTTAAAATTCATATATTACACAGAAGATTGATAGTTTTCTGCACTATATAGTCTATTCGGAACAACGTCACCGCGGCGTTTATTTTACGAATTAATCGCATTGTAAGAACATGTCATTGTAGTAAGTACCTTGTAAAAATTAATCTTTTATCATTCAGTGAGACTAAGGCAAATTAATATCCAAATGCAATTTAATTGTCACATAATATTGTAATTATAGATACTACAAAATGTTTATTTTAGACATTTTTCAATATTGTAGGACCCTAAACTTTTATCATCGAGTGTCGCTACAATCGACCGAAATAGTGTTAATGCCCATTAACATACTATTTCAATCGATTTTACGAGGCATTTTGGTTGCAATTTTATGTAGTATACGTTGCTTGCTTATTTAACTAGTTTTAAAAAACCTCCGACGAGGTTTCTATCAATCCATTTGATAATACAATTCAATTTTACGTTCTAGACGACGAAGTTTGAGAGCTTTTGAATAAGTTTATTTGTTCAAACGTAATTCAAGAGTCCGAACGCCTAAAGAAGACCATTTGAAAAACTAACAAAAATAGAAGTTAACACAAATTTCAAACTCATAAAGGACTTTAGTATTGAATATAAATAAATAATTTATTACTTAATGTCTTGTTAAATTAAAACGTATCCATTGTAAATGATCTGACCTAAACTTACAAACCTAAATATACCTTAATCAAACCACTTGACTGTGTCAAGGGCCGTAAAAGGCTAGGGCTAATGCATATTACAATCAGTTGCATCTTGTCATCAACAGTGCTAAAATATGAAAACGAATAAACTGACAAATATTTGTATAATAGTTGGTATGTACCACAGAGGTACAACATTGTAGGTGGATTACAAGCAATGCAAAAAACAGTAACATACATATTTTGTTTAAAGAACAGAAGGGATCTTTTCACTACGAACGTAATATCCAAATGTAAATAATCGAAAACATTTCCAGGCAAAAGTTAGTATTGTTTATTAAGAAAATTTTGATGCAACAACTTCGAGTTATCACACTAAAAATAAATTATAATCAATGAGGCTCATCTTCAAATTGAAGAATTAATTGATTTTAGCTAGGTATATTATGTATAAACAGCTAACGTAACTTGCTAAAATATACTAATAGAAACAATATTTAAACTGACATTTTCTAATAATAAGAAGTTACTGGTTTCCTATAAAAATATGTAATAAAGAAAACGATTACTTAATAATCTTAAAATTTTGTATTTATATCACACATATCTACATTTTACTTTTATTACATAAATACAAAATTTTAATTAGAGTACCAACGAAAAGCTGCTAACCAACCAGTACTTGCAAGTGGTATGCAGATGTTATCAATATTATATTATACAAGTAATTACAATATCAATACCATAGGTTAATAAATGCAAAAGATCAAGTGCAATGAAACTCAAGATATCTTGTTTGTCAATAATAAATATTGAATTTCATGTAAAAAAAAATTCACTGAGACAAATTTAAACCCACCCACCACACCAAATACTCACAAAGTAACAGCATCAGTACATGATCATGTCACGGACTTTTTCAGCATTTTATATCCAAGAGAAACACTTTTAAAACAATGCATAAACCAGATTTACTAATATTAAACACTAAATTATATTGTCTTTCCAAATTATATTTTCATTGATCAGACATTGGAATTATATAAAGTTGTCAGTAGCATAGAGATGGTACTCTTCACTGTGTTCCTAGTGTAGATATTTACACAGTCAGTGGGCTCTTGGTTATTAGTTCTTATGTTACAAAGTCTCATCTGGAATCTTGTACAGGTATATATTCAATACATAGCAATACAGCACATTACTGGCCCTTTGTAACAGTTATTCTGCAGCATTTATTGGTCCTTGCAATGCATTAGGAGTGGGAGAATTAGAGGACACCATTCGACCCTGTTCTTTTACAATTGGATCTGTAACAAGGAAGATCAAAAATAATATCTGTATTCATAATCCTGTTTTTAATTATACACAAAATTGGATGTGAATCATGATTAATCAACTTAACCCTCTCACGCCTTACTCAAGAATGAGCTAAATCACTTAAGATATTTCAAGTAAAACTGAATCATAAAATTATTAATTATAGTAAGAGCATTAAATGTTTTAATAATTAAATTAATATCATTAGACTTGCCCAGCAGTGGGACTGTCATGGTATTTGTGTTCTAAGGTAACAAACATCAATATTTGATAAATAAATTACATGTTCTAAAAACATGTGTTCTCCTTTTGACGACACTAAAACTTTGTGAGTAATGGAAATGCTAATAATAAATTAAAATTAAACAGTAAACTTGCTCCCTAGTAAATTGAATTCAAATAATTAGACCTAGTGAAGTCTAGCCATGTTAAGTTTTGTGTTCACCACGCCATAGACGGTTGATAATATTATCCCAGATGGTGATCTGGGATAACTGTTATGATATTATTAATAACTAGCTATTCCCGCGACTTCGTCCGCACTATATTTTTCTAATTAAAAGTATTTTTTAAAAATAAAAGTAGCCTAAGTTACTCTTTATTACAGCTACCTGCCAAAAAAAGCTGCCCACCAAAATTGGTTCAGCCAGTTCAGAGATTAGCCGGAACAAACAGACAGACAGACAAAAATTGTAGAAAATGTTATATTGGTGTATGTACCGTAGTTATAATTATGTGCATGTAGTAAAAACCATTACTTTAATATTACAAAACAGACACTCCAATTTTAACTATATGTATAGATATAATGTTGTATCCAGCAATAGGTAAAAGACTCAACTCACAGAAGTAAGGATGATCCATTGCTTCACGAGCAGTATAACGCTCATAGTGATCATAACGCAGAAGACGATCCAGGAAATCTAGTGCTTCGGGTGAAACCAAATGTTGATTTTCAGAATGAACAAATCTTTCCCATCGTTTGCGTGAATGTCTAAAAAAATTGCAACAGTATTACTAATCAATAGGATAATTCAATATTGTTTTACTTTAAGTACAATATTCAGTAGGTCTTTTATTAAAATTACTCATATTAATATGACAGTCAAAAAAGAACAACATTAATTATTTTATCATTTAGCAGTGTTTATGTGTTTAAACACATTATTTAAAAAAAAAATTGAATAAACTTTTTAGGAAGTATACCACTTACACATACAAAACATTGATGATGAACATGTTGGGATACTATTTGATTATACAGATCAATCACACTTATTTTTTAGAAATAGTTAGAGAAGAAAATGGCAGTATTTAAAACAAAAACATAATCACAGACCTGCCAAGTATATCATTAAACCGAGGATCCAATTCTATATGATATTTATCCAAATATTCAAATAGCTCTTCAGTGCCCAGCACTTTCGCAATACGCACAAGTTGATCATAATTGTCATGACCATGGAAGAATGGTTCCTTACGGAAGATCATAGATGCTAACATGCATCCTAATGACCACATATCTAAAGAGTAATCATACATTTGATAATCCACCAATAATTCAGGACCCTGTAAAGTAAATAAGATTTGTTTAAAGCTTTTGAGGTAACAATGAAAAGGTAATCAAATAAATTGTAACACTTAAACATATTATCCATACCATTTAAAATAGATGATAACATCTAACAGCACAAACTTAATAGACTAAAATAAAGCCTTTTCTATTCACAAAACACTACAGACTAATGCTTTATTCATTTTTATTATTTATCTAATATTGTATGTATATATTACATATAATTTTTATGTAATATGTTGAGGTGTATTAGAACATTTGGTAAATAGAAACAAAATATCTTAGATTATCAGATAGGAGTCAAAACTAATGCAATGTTTTATACATTTATGCTATGCTACAAAATTTATTTGTATATAAATTCTATGCATGATAATTATACTTTACAGACATAATTAACTAGCAAATTCATTATGTACTCGTAATTAATTTTAAAGATTGCATAGCTCATTTACATTGTTACTAGTGTGTAAGTAAAAACACTGGCTATAATATTTAGCCTGAAACAACTATGTAAGCTTGACATTTTATTTGCTGAGAGTATGATAAAAATAGTACCTTTTTTATCAAAATTCACGAAAATATGTCACTAGTAAAAATATATAAGTTACACATAAAAATATTTTATTTAAATATAAAGTCAAGATTTAATACAAACAATATCCATACCTTAAAGTATCTAGAAGCAACACGAACATTGTACTCTTGTCCTGGGTGGTAAAATTCTGCTAGCCCCCAGTCAATAAGACGCAACTTTCTATTATCATGATCAATCATAACATTATGTGGTTTCACATCCCTATGCATAATGCCCATACTGTGGCAGTAATCTAGTGCTTTCAGAAGTTCATACAAATAATACCTGAAATTTATACATACAAGTTTATTTTAGAAAACACTATTATTGAACAAGGTACATACTACTACTACTACTATCACTATGCAATGACAAAGGTGAATTCAGATAAAAGTTTGGATAATTGGTTTTGTTAATGGGCTTATTTGTAACTTGATATATAATGGGGGGGGGGGGGGTATTTACAACTGAAATGTAACTTCATTCAAGTATTGTTTAGACCACAATTATACATGAATATATTCTTAGGAAGCACTTTACAAAGGAATGCAACAGATATCATAAATAACAATTAAATAAAAAAAATCAATAACATAAAAAAATGGTAAACAATTACCTTATATCATAATCTGAAAGAGTTTGATATAACTGTTTAAAATCAGTATTATTCACATGTTCAAAAATGAGTGCAGGGGTACGTGACACAGGGTCTTTAACTACTGCTTGTAATGTTATTATATTTGTGCCTCCTCTTAGGTTTTCTAATATTTTTATTTCTCTTTTAATCTTCTTCTTTTTAACAGGCTGCAAAAGAGTAATATATGTTGTATTGATGGTATAAATCAAAAATATGTTGAGCATAGTCACATTATACAAAACTTTTTTAAAAGTTTATATGAATTGCTTACCTTCAATATTTTAACTACACATTTCTCATTATTTGTGATATTTATTGCCTCAAATACTTCACTGTATTTACCACGCCCGAGTTTACGGACCAACTGGTAGTCCTCTTGGTTGCCCCAATCCACCACATAGCTTTCATAGTCCCAATATTCTCGTGGCTTCTGTGAGTTGACATCGGCATAGACCCGGGCTCTACTAGGCACTGCCATCGTACTATACCTCTGCCAACCTAAGGTTCTATCAGCGATACTCTTTCCGGAAATCGCATATGTCTTGAGTAATGATACTGTGAATAAAAATATTTTTCACGTCACTTTACGACATTCACTTAAATTACACACTTGAACATATAATAAACTTCGAACGTTTTGACTTATCACAGCGTAGGTATCTTAGGCAGTTAAGATTTCAAGTGCTCAATTATTATATAGTATCGAGATGTATAACCTAAAAAAGACATCCAACTCAATAATTTCGTTCTACATCAGCGAAAATATCTAAACATTATCGTAACAGATTAATATAATTTCACACGCAATCTTTCGACACATGCACCAAAAGTTAGAATTCAGAGGATCTGACGACATGAATTAAAATTTGAAAGTGTCTTCCGAGAGAAAAACGCACGCCATTACTCGTCAAATGATCGAATGTTTCAGCACATAGTCATACCTAACACATTACTGCAGTTAATCCTATTCTAAACGGCAATTATTTGCAGCATTTATGAAAGTTCTTGAAAACTATGGATTAAGGTGAAGTCAAAGCTACAAAATACACTTTTACAAAACTAAACCGGCTCAAATTCCGCAATTTTCAAGATGGACGCCCACCCATTTGCCACTACTACTCTACCGCAATTCTACAAATCGGTTATTCGCCTCACTCTCCCGCCATCCTTTATCGATATTTAATTCGATTAGTAAATCGTATTGGTATTCGTCTTGAAAGATATTTTAAATATTGACAAGTTTGTGCAACCATTAAAAATAGAATTACGTCTAAAATATTAATTTTTCAATAAAATAATAATAGTAGAAATGTGTGTCTTTTAAAGAAGTTACTACGGTATTTATTAGACCATGTCATTACTTCAGGACACCGTAGTATTGATAATGTTAAACAGTATAATTCGGGATTTTTTTTTTAATATTATTCAAGTTATTCAACGAAATTTATTTTATTGTATAAATAGGTACCTTTTCTTTGTATGACTCAGTACTGGTAACTATTACATAATAATTTAACTGTAAAGGTGCATATAAAATTGAGCAATAGTAATGAATAGTAGCGAAAATTACTTGTTTTTATAATAATGTCATAACTTAATTTTCGCTCTGTAACAAATTGAGTATAGTATTGTAATAAGTACACGAAATGGGCCGCAACGTGTCAATCGACTATGTCGTTATGAAATAATTCGAATTCTTGTATAATCGATTGTAAACCGATGACGCTTACGTTTGTGAAATTCGTTTCTTTCTACGCAAAAACTAAAAGATAGCAGTAGGAAATAATAAAATCTGGAACTGGAATTACCTTCTTTATATTTATCCTCGAAACATAAAATTTTAACATATTCTTATTACAAGAACCGATTACAACTGCTTAATATAAGCTCTTGCTGGATAAAATGTATAATACCAGGTAACTTCAGTATAAAAGTTAACGAGTTATCGGCAGAATTCTCGAGATTTGTTAAAAAAAAATAATATTCGGTTACTTTCTAATATAAATCCATTTCTAACGTATGCTTCATATCATGCATATGTAATCATGAAACTGTTAATGTACAGCTTGTTTAAAAAACACAACACTTTTTAAAACTGTAACAGTGAAACTGTGTTACCATGTCACAGTTATGGATGTTGTAACTGTATGAAATAATTGTATAATAATCCATACCAGCAATTATTTCCCCCGCTTCTGCATACTTGACGCATGAATATACATTTACATATAAATTCATAAATTTGGGGAAAGATGACAATTATAGGAAAATCGCAATGGGTTTATACTGTTGATTCTTTTGTAAAAGAATGTGCAATAAACTTACTCAGTATATAAATAATAATATTCATCCTTTGAACTATACAGCGGAAGTAGTCAGCATTAACTGTATGCGAGTACAGACATATTGTAGTTTCATGGACTAGAATATAATTTAGCAACAGTATGTGCTTCACGCGAAATTTATAATTCATATATATGGTGATGATTGAAATCGATACTGGTACATATAAAAATTTATGAATGTATTAATTTCGTTACATTTGATTAAATCAACAGACGATTTATTTTATATAACGAAATATTGCATATGGGAAACTATTCTCTAACAATATACATAGCCGATATATATTGTTATAATACACAAACAGCTATACTGTAAGGTAAATCGTAAAACTGATGTAAAATGGATTTTATATATAAATAGATTGATAAGGATATTATTAAAATCAATATAAAAACAATACAAACATTGTATTGTTTTATGAACCTATAGGTACAACATGCTTGGTTTCGCCTGATTCGTTATAATCGTCATTAAAATCAAAATAATAGCTCATTGTCAATTTCATGAGGATTTATTAAGTCATGAAGAGGAAGTAATAAACTTTCAAATTTAATGAAGTAACAAATATTCGAAATGTTACACAGAAACAATACACATTTATAAAAAATCTTTATTTTAGTATACATATTAACAAAACAAATAAGACACTACGGCTAAGCAGTTTGACGAACGACCAAGAGCGACGCGTTGTTAGCGAAGAGCGTGGCGGGGCGGCGGCCATCGATGCCGGCTGTAGGGGTATTGGTGGTGACGGTAACAGTGAAAGCCGACCCGACGAGATAGGAACCAGGTGCAGCGCACAGTGCGCGTACCCGTAGGCGCTGTGTCGAGAACCTCTCCAGACTCACGCTCACGCCTAGCGAGGAGTTCTCGACACCATTGAGGCTCTCAGCGACTACACCCTGGTGAAGCGTGCCCGCCCACCCGAGTTCTCCGAACGAATCCCTGTTTTATAAAGTATTTATTTGTTCATACCTTAGACTAACAAAAAATACATATTTATGACATATCACTAACCTTATTAAAAATTAATAAAACTATTTGTTCTACGATAGATATGTTAGTGATTAATTATATATTTCATATTATTTTTGACGGCCTCAATGGCCTCAATGGGTTTAGCACACCATTTTAGTTCCGATCGCGAGTCCTATTCCTCGCACGACACAAAGAGTTGTGTTCATGAATATGGTTGTTTGTATTGGTCCCGATGTTTTCTATGTACATATAGTGTGTACGTATTTACAAAACAAATCGGGTCACCATTGAAAGAAAAGCGATGTGCTAAACCGCTAACGCACCGAGTCATATCATTATTGTCTTATATCTGATATAAATATCAGTTGTCTAGTATCCATAACACTAGCTCTGTTCAACTTAAGTATCGTTGACAGCAGAAATGGGCGCCTACGCAATTGACTTTGTACAAAGACTACCTTTGTATATTAAGAATTATACTAAGATTAGCCTGTATAACAATTTATTTAAATATTTTTAAATGCGTCATATTGAAATAAATTTAGCCGTTTCTGTACAACAGCACATATAGACAAAAAACCATGTACAAATATGTATATTTTCATTCAATACATATTACAGACACAGCCTATAAGAATTTTAATTCATACCTTTCAGCAGAATTTTATCAATCTAACAACATTATTGAAACAATAATTCATTAACCGTACAGTATTATAGTAAAATATATATAACTATGTATTAGGGAAAAAATATAATATAAAGAATTTTACTTTAATAAGCGGATAAAATGTCGTACATGAATAAATGATTTTAGAATTTAAATGAGCAAATATAAAATCAAAATATTCAATTTGTTGGCAATATTTTTTTCATTATTTTTATTTGAAAATTTGAATTTTAATCATATATATGTACGATATTACTGAAAAAAACGACGATATTCACAGAGGTACGAAACTGTACTGCGAAAATATTTGTCTAATATGTTCCATGTAATAGCCTACATCCATTTAATGTTGAGAGCGTCAAGGCAAAGTGTTTTGCAACCCGATCTTAGACAAAAGATCGTGGCTAAAATCTGGCCGACGATAATTACGCCTGTTAAATATTCAGTCCATCACGACGTCGACAATAAACAATACCTCTGACCATCCCTCTATCTGGATAACAGACGTAAAAATATATTAATTATCAGTTGAGTCTGTTTACCAGATTATGAGTGGTGAGAAATGTTAATGAAATGTTAATTACCTGCTTTGCTGTTGTGTCATATCAATGAATACGTCTACTGGGACGCCATAGCAATTGACGATATTTATAGTTATTGGGATCAAACATAGCTTTTTCTGATGAAAGTTGTGCTCAATTAAATTAGTGTGTTCCAATTTATACAGTACTACATTATCTTTTCTACTTTTCCTTTTAATGTGTATAGAATCAGTTTTGCTGTCATATTCTTCCAGTTGCAAGGAAGGTATTTCCTGCGTTAATATTTCCTTTTCCTGTGATGAGGCTTTTGTAAAGCAGTCCAGCCACACACAGTGTTGTCCAATAGCTGATTGTTGCTTGTCTTTGTCTATGGCCACCCATCTAATAATTAGCATAGACTGAATAAGACCAGATTTTTTATTGCTAAAGTCTTGAGTGGTTGTTTCAAGTAGAGATGATCTTGTGTCTAAAACAAATTTGGAATATGGAACGGTATTAACATTTGCCACAGTTTTTAGATGATGTTTAGCAATCTTCAGACATGTAAAATCTACTTTTCCTTCAGGTAATTCTTCCGACATTCTTTGAGCTTTAAAAATTATGTGAAGTCTTTCGTGGGCGGTGAGCGAATCATCGCTTTCGTTCGCCGCGGTTATATCAGTCAATTTCCATTGTCTACTCAATAACGACGCTTCCAATAGCGAGACAGCGATGTTTTCATCTTTCCCATGCGTTATATTTTTAATATCCACACTTAAATTCATGCTCTCGAAGACTTCGTTTCTCACGGTTCTTAGACTACGTCGGGGTATCACAGATATTTCAACGGCTTCCTGTGGATTAAAAAAAAACAAAAATTCATGTTGCTCTCAATCATCATATGTATGTTGTTACAATTACGGACGTAGCTTTCGTTTTAAAACATTTAGCGGAATAATACATAATTCTAATATTAAGGAATCCACGTTCCCACGTGGATGTAGCGGATAAAGAAACTCGGCGAAAATAATGGATCTTAGAAAGTTACATAATTATACGTCTGAAAACTCTGAATATTTAAAATAATTACTACTGCATGGTAGCTACGTATAGCACGCAACCTATTTTATATCATACGACAGCTGTCTCACGAGAGAGTAACCGCGGAAGTGTATCTTTCTACGAGAAGTGGGAATCGGGATGTACCAACCGTGACCCGGAAGCGGAAGACGTGTCGCAGCAGACGGTAAGGACGCGCGCGCTCGCCCGTCTCATAGTACGCCAGCAGCAGCAGGTCGGGGGCGGAGGCCCGTGGCCGCAGCAGCAGGCGCGCGCGCGCCGCGGCCCCGCTGCGGACGGAGCGGCCGCCGCAGACACCGCCGCCGCCGTCGTCGTCGCCCCGCACAGGCCGCGCGTGCCGCGCCGCCCGCGCTCTCCACGCCTGCACGCGCCCCACCCGCTCCTCTACCGGACATAATATACATTACTACACATACATGTCACTACACATGCTATGTGGTCGTAGCCCACTCATGCATAAACGTAATATCTCCTGTGGAAAGTTTACACTCTATCCTGATAAGATAAAAACCATCGCTCCTGAGAAATCCTTAAATATTTGTCCCCGACAGGTCTAGGTAGCGAACTCTAAAAAAAGGCGAGCATAATAGATCTATGTAGGTTGCAGTACTACAGGTGCGAGCACCTGACAATAGTCCGAAGAACCCAATAAAAAAATTGCCTTTCCACAATACATAATAAGAGAAAAGTGTACCCAAATAAGTCTATTTTAATTGTATTACCGTATTTTTTAAGTTAAGAGGCTTAAATCCAGCCTCCCAGGGATTGTTACCACCATAGTTGATGCCGGCGCAAAGAGATTCACCCCGAGCCCAAACCTTCATCATTACCGCTTACTACACTATGTTTCAGTTGGGTGAGATATGGAACAAGGAGTGAATATATAGTACCATACCAAACAGGTATACCATATATGTCACATGATAACGGGCTCCGTCCATCGTGCTATTCAGATATATATGTGACAATTTCCACGATTTGATCAGGTAGCCATCAGCTTCTTTGCCATACCAAACAGTTAAAACCGGTCTGTGAATATGGCGGTAGAATTACGCTATAATTCCAGACAGCTATGTAAGTAACTTATGTATTATATATACATATATATTCTATTCCGTTAAATTCACATATTATTTCTTTTTAAATCATTATAGACTAGTTTTACTAGTGTACACTATATTGACATGTTGAAATCATAGAACCAGTAACATTAATGTACGCAACTTACCTGCATAAACTGGCAGCTCTTGATACTTTTCCATGTAGAAAGCTTTAAAGTCGTCTTCTGGAACATTGTCATTAACGAGAGTAATACACTCTGGATGAGAAACAGCTATGTGAACATTCTTCATATCCACCGGACCCACGTTTCTTAACTCGACATCAATATCTCTAATTTCCCCACTGATTACATCCATAGAGGTCTCTGAGAATGTCATCTGTAATATAATAATAGCTTTCAAATAAATATGATTTAAAACATACATTAATTATTAAAAATTTTCTAATTAATAAATATTTATAATTATACATGCGGCTGATTTAATTTTTCAAATGTTATTACGATGCGATATTATTACAGAAATTATTTGTCCATATTTCCAATTTTATTAATCTTTATTTGATCTCTTTCTTAATAAACACGGCTTTGGTTTATTTACAGTATATATTTTTATAAACAACGTAATTTAATACTTTTGCTATCATTTGATATTACCGTTTATTACCTGTAAACAAGGAGTTTCTGGGATAACATTTATATGCAGCCTTTTGTCGAGAGTATTTGTATCAGACATTAGATTAACTTTTCCTGATATCATCACGCTATTCCCGTTTCCATTGCCTCCCTCTCCCGCATTTATTAACCTGGGGAAAAGTATGAAAATTGGGCACATAAATTAATAATATATTATTTAAAGTGGAGATGCCACGCTGTATGTTGAAATCGTTTGTTAGTTCATGTTTTGGTATTAAAATAGCCAAGAACACTAATATTATTGCCGAAAGATAACATATATTGCATCATTTAATATTATTAAGTATATTTGAAGTGTATACTTTAATAAAGATTTACCAGAGACTAAACTAAGTATAAACAGGTGAAGTATTTACCACAAAGTCTGTATTTAGTCATAACTACAAAATTAACTTACTTGTAAGCTAAGCCATGTATAACGAGTTGACCAACTTTCAAAGGAGTGACCGTAAATGTTAATGCTTTTGTGCAATCACCTTCTAAAAGGACTGCCTTTATTTTCTGACCACAAATTATGGTACTATCAAAGTTCTGCCCCGCTGCCACAAATGGCTCATTACTCAATAATTCCTCTTCATACTTCTCTGCGTCATCCGTATTTGGTACAAATTTCCACAATAATTCGGCGTCTTTCAATAACAACGAAATTTTTAATGGATTCTGTAATGTTATTGATATCTGCATAGGTTCTGTAAAAAAATATGAAATTAACAACCACAATTCTCTGGAAATATAAGACTACACAGCATGATTGCATTTAATTCTGTGTTCATTTTTTTATGATAGATGAATATGTCACAAATAATAATAGGTAACTACTAAATTAAATTTAAATTCGAAGTATTTTCTTCAACAATTTTCTGATACAACTTAATAGCTAGATATTAAAAACAACCTTCAATTTAAAGCGCGATATTGCAATCAGGGTATTGTTGAAGTTGCTTTAACATAGTACTGCATTGTACTCACGCAGTATACCCTAAAATAAACATTCCTATATGTTTATTTTAGGGTATACTGCGTGAGTACAATACTCGGTACACCGCAACAGTACTGTGTAAATGCCACGTAAATTGGTATTCAAGTAGGTACATATAAGTTTTCATAAATGACCATTATGTATTATAATATTTAGTGACACTGGTAACAAAAAGTAATTCCAGTCATTAGATCAAATAAATATTATATTGTCTAAGTTCTGGTGTCAAATTCAAATTCAAATTCAAAATATCTTTATTCATGTAGGTCTATTACAGACTCTTATGATATGTCAAATCTACCGTCAGTTCGGAATGATATCGAGATGAGAAGAACTGACAAGAAACTCAGCTCGTAATTTTTTCAAATAATAGTGGAACATGTTTATGATAAATACAGTTATTAAAATTCAAATTTGGGAGAATAGAGTGACCACCAGCATATGCTATCGCAAAGAACAAAAAATTTAATCAGTGTTCACAACCTGAACAGACCAGTCCCCACAAGCAGCACCCGTTCACGAGTATGACGTATGAGCCAGCCATCATTGTACTCAACCATATTTGAGGGAGCACATCGACCCGGCCCACCACGCCGCCACAAGTTTGAACTTTATAGCGAGCATGACTGTTTCAGGTTACTCCACTACGTCAATTATATTATTTACAGCATAGGCTGTACCGATCACAGTTTTCACCCATTACAATATTAAATTTACATTATTTAATTTACAATATGTCATTACAAAATTTATAATAAGTTTCTTTATTGTTATTACATTATCCATGTCAATGGGAAAAATTATATGCCTCATAACAAAAGTTAAAATTGTAATTAAGTCCACACATTGTAGTCATTTAAGTAGTCGTTTATTTTATAATAAGCTTTAGAGCAAAGTGTTTTTTTTACATGTATCTTAAATTTGGCTTCACTTAAATTTAAAACACTATCTGGCAATTTATTATAAAAACGTATACAATGTCCCATGAAAGATGTACTTACTTTTTTGAGACGATAACTAGGCATATTTAATTTATTTTTATTCCTTGTATTAAAAGCGTGTAAGTGACTATTTTTTGGAAATAAATTTAAGTTTTTGCGTACATACATAATATTTTCATATATATATTGAGAGGGAACAGTAAGAATACCTGTTTCTTTAAAGCGTTCTCTAAGAGATTCGCGACACGGTAAATTATATATTGAACGAATTGCTCTTTTTTGTAGTATAAAAATTGATTCTACATCAGCCGCTCTTCCCCACAATATAATACCATACGACATTATACTATGGAAGTAACTAAAATACACTAGTTTCGCTGTTGCAGTATCAGTCAATTGTCTAATTTTTCTGATAGCAAAAGCAGCCGAGCTTAGTCTTTTGGCTAGTGTGAATATATGTGGACCCCACTGCAATTTATTATCTATTACAATACCAAGAAACGAAGTCTCATCAACAAAGTCCAAAACATGATGATTCATACTAACAGTTGTCGTTACTTGTTTTACATTTGGTAAAGAGAATTTAACACATTTTGTTTTCATTGAATTAAGCGCTAGATTATTTGATGTAAACCAGTTTAGAACATCCTCAAGAGCAATATTTATATTATTAAAATCCTTTGTATTTCTTTTCACTTTGAAAATAAGTGATGTGTCATCAGCAAACAAAACTATGTCAAGTATGTTTTGAAACTGGTATGGTAAGTCATTTATATAAACAAGAAAAAGAAATGGGCCAAGTATAGAACCCTGGGGTACACCCATTTTTATAAATGACCCCTTGGACTTGCTTCCTTTAATGTCTACCACTTGAATTCTATCGCGCAAATATGATCCAATGAGTTCTGAGGATTTTTCTCTAATTCCATAATGCTCTAGTTTGCGTAATAATATCCTATGGTCAACGCAATCAAACGCTTTAGAGAGATCACAGAAGACACCAATGGCATCCTGTGAATCTTCCCAGGCACCGAAAATACTTTGTATTAAGTTAATGCCTGCATCAGTAGTAGACCGTCCACTCATAAATCCAAATTGCTGTTTATGAAATAAATCATGTGTATTAAAATGAGCTAACATTTGTGTAAGTAGTATCTTTTCAAAAATCTTACTAAATACGTTTACTAAGTTTATCCAAAGTTTTTCGAATTTTGCTGCCGTTGACCCCGTTTGACAAGATGTCGAACGGGCAAGAATTTCACAAATTAAATCTTGATGAAGTCTTTAACAAACACTGGTACTAATTAATTATCACTTATTATATTAAATTTTATTAAAATACACGATTATTTATTAGTAAAATTAAATTAAAATATAAATAATGTATGAGCTGTTTGTTTTGACCAATTTGAAAAAAAATTGTTTTGTCATAATCCCCTACGATCGTTTCTACGTTCAATTTAGACGGAGACTCGTATTACTCGAACCCACAGCGATGCCCTCAGACTAAAATAGTCTCCGTCTATCCGTTAGCCTTTAGGAGCTCCATAAGTCCTTCTGCGGCTCGGCTTCGGTGCCATCTGCACTAGCCCTCTCGCATTAGAATAGTCCGAAAAAAAGATATAGGTCGCCATTAATACGATAGAAGATCATGCAATGTAATAGTGTGAAAAGAAATACCTCCTTGTGGTACAATGGGATTAGCGTCGGTGGCCTCGGTGTACAAGTCGACGGAGGGTTTGAATATCATGGGCACGGCGCCCTGCGCGACCTGCAGCAGCATCTCCTCGAGCTTGTACCAGTGAAGGCTAGCGGCGGGGGAGTCGGGCGCGCGGTGCAGCCGCAGCGAGGTGGCGGGCACGCGGCCGGCCGCCGCCAGCGGCGCCGCGCCCGCGCACACCAGCGCCGTCGCCGCGCGCCACACCAGCGGCAGCGGCAGCGCCCGCGCCCCGCCCTCTGACCTACTCTCTACCCATTGCTGACGAACGGAATCTTAAATGTAGTCTGACATAACGCAACGGACGAGTCGAAGTCTAGAAAACCAGCCAGGAAACCTTTGTACCGACAGTAATTCACGAATGCGGTAATTAATTAAATAACTGAAGATAATAATTAATTGTAACGAAATTATAAATACCTACTTCGATATACCTAAACTGACGTATTCATAAGATGAAGATCCATTTTTTTTAACTAGGTAGGTCACGGTTACCATGATTAAAATGAAGCTCGGATTGTATTAGAATCAGACACGAAAATAAGTCTGTGAAATATTTTAAGAAGTAAAAGGATCATAAAAAGGAAGATTACGATTTTAAGAGAAAATTAAAGGGCAAAAGTGAATAGATAAGTGAGTAGAGGTATTTAATTGTAGACATATTATACCTGATGCGCCAACATGTACTCGCGTAGGAAGGCGTCCTGTTGATGTGGGGGCTGGGCCCCGGGAGCGGAATAAGCGGCCGGCGCCAGCGGACCCGCCAGCCACTGCACGGCGGCGCTGGGCCGCCGCAGCGCGCTCGCCAGCCGCCCCAGAGCGAACTGAACGTGGTCCGTCGACAGCCGCCACCCGCTCCCTTCATAAACCTGTTCGTACCGTCATACACTCAGTGCAGGGGAATACACAATCCACGATACTATTTATAACAAAAGTTCAGTCCAGTAATATATGATATCTAAATAAAGACTTTCATATTTTAGTAAATTAACTATATCAAGAAATGCTATATGCGATGCGATGTATGCGAAATGTGTTTTGTAAATATATGTAGTTATCTGAATACAATACTCCAGTAATTTTCCGTTGACGATTGCTGTAAACGTGATAGTCAAAATAGTTCATACATATAATACGTCAATCCATCCATATATGTTTACATAGCCAACCAACGTATCCATAATGAACACTAACATAATTTAAACTATAAACTTCATTTTCAACAACCTTGCTCATAAAGTGGATCTAATTTCACCAGTTTTCGATATAAAGCAGCTCAAAGAATACGCGTGCATTATAAACGCAAATAGTGTATTATACATATTCTATAACTGCATTATTTGTTTTTTGTACATGTGCATGGCAATTTTATGGTTGAGTTTATTTAAAATGAAGTTGTGTTGAAAAACGTCGTATGATATACATACGTGCGTATTTAACACACTCGTGTGTTGTATTATTACCATCATAACACTAAGTTAGTTATACTAACTAATATAACTTATATAGTAATATACTATTGTAAACTAGTATAAATTTTATACCTGATAAGCTTGTTTGTAACTTCGATATGCATGTTTCTTTTGTCCAGCTTTTGAGAACCTGTGGCCAGAAAGGACCATGTGAAAAGCATATTTTCTGCACATTGCTTTAGAACCAGGTCCAGACAAAAAGCATAATGCCGCTTGTTCAAGTAACATAGCGCTGCGCAAGTCGCTATCCTCTGACGTCATGCGAATTAACTGTTTAGCTGCTTCGCCATGAAGTCCCGAGTTGTTTAAACACAACACAGACAACAATGTTGCTCTAACTGCATATTGAACCATCCTGTAAAAATATATATGTGTATATTTTCATATATTTCCATAAAGTATACATTAGAAAGTTAAAAGAACAAACCTGCATGTATTCAAATAGGTAACAATACTATCTTCCATATAACCTTGAGTTTTGCGGTTCGAATCTCCCGCCATGAAAGCACTAATCGCTGCCATTTCAAGTGCACCAGCATAACAAAGCCAAGCACTGTCTGCCTGGAATTCTCGTTTTGCTGTGTGGTAAGTATCAAAAGCGCGTTGCCATTGACCACACATAAACCACAAATCACCCAAACGGCGTAATTGAAGCTCCGGACAGTCATTTGAATATCTATAATGTATTACATAAAAATGATTAATTATATTAAAACTAAGATTGTTAATTATAACTAATTTAAAGAACTGAACATACATTACAGTATTATTGACTGTGGTGTTTCCTCCCTTTCCTGTTCCAAACCATCTTTTAGTTGCAGAAAATAATGATCGACTGACCCCTTTTCTGTTTGCAACCTAAAATATTATGTCATTCAATTAAACTACTTAAAGAATACTATTACTATATGATATACTAATCCGGCAATGCTTAATTTCCTTTAAAAGGACATTCCTACTTTATACATAATTACAAAGCTGAAAACCTGCAGCATATTTCCGTTATAGAGTTGGTTCTACTATTTCAGTTTGAAATTACTTTTTCTATTTTTTTGTTAATTCTGTAGAACTACTGAATAAATATTTTTCTACTTTCCTTCTTTCAATTTTAAAAGTACAGCTTATTATTACAATCAATAATAATGAAAAATTTACCACTTCAGACAATTGAGATATTTGTTTCTCCAAATAAGGCAAAAGTGCTTTGGATGCATATTCTTGCATAAACTTTTTAATTCCCTCTATGTCGTTCGCATTTAAAGCCGCTCCATGAACTTCTGATGTATAATCTGCTACTTTACCAGCAACACTGACACTTTCTGAGCTACCAGAAAATGAATGAGTCTGAAAATTGTGTATTTTTTATTATTTATTATATTTAGACAAAATTAATATTTCCGTATTGATTATTGTTATTTATAGTTATTCTATTCTTATTCTACTGTACAATGATTATTTATTTATATCACCAAAAATAATTATATCTATAATGAAATCGTATGAGCCGTGGTTATATGAAATATTTTGAACGAAAGAGTAGTTAATTGCCAAAATAATTAAATAATTTTTAATTTCTTTATCTATTTATCTATGTGTTCATGACAATAATGTCATAACTGATTTGAATGTGGTTATTGTTTATGTACTATACCAATATTTCCATTAAAATTTGTAATCTATTAAAAGTTTACAATAGCAATTTCCCTAAATCCATATTTTTAACCAAAATGTCATTTCAAGTTTAGACAGTATCAAACAAAGCGGTACTTATTATCTAATGACATACTTGCAGACTGTTGGCGTTGTCATATATATCATTTTCAGCAGTCGTCAAAGGATGTGAGACCTCTTGAGTTGTGGAATTATTGGAATCATCTGCTGTCAGATAAATATTGTGTTAATATTATTAATAATAGTATAAATTTTACGTTTTGTATATTTGTAACTTAATCACTCTTAGATAGCAGAATATATTGGAATGACAATTGGTAATTAGAATATAAATGATAGTATTACCAGATATTCATGCGGACACATGATTAATATGATTTAGTCACTATTATTATATTGTATTAGAATGTAATATAAATACAAGTGCACAAACGAACATACCTGTAATTGTTATATTAGATGATGTTATAATGGCTTGAGGTTCAAGAGGAGTAGTTGCCATATTTGGTAAAGGAGTTGTAGTATCAGCCTGTAATTATAAATCAATGTCAAGGAACAACTACAACTAGCAATCAATTAACTAAAAAGTAACCCTAATTTATAGAAAAGTTACTCAATACAGTGTATTCTGGTTTTGAGTTTGCCAGTACTTTCATTGACAGTTTCATCACCGAGTCTATTCTGTGTATAATAGTAACTTTTACTTGACAAATAATTTTTCATATAATTTCCTTCATTACCCAAGCATCATGATACAAAAAGCATTTCAAAATTCTGAAGCATACAAGGATTATATATATATATATATATATATATATAATAAAATGACCAAATAAAAAAAGTTTCATCGTTTCATCTTCAAAAATAACGACACTTCCATACATAATTCTTTCAACCCCTTATAACCCTTAAATCGCATTTAAAAGTAGCCTATGTCCTTTCTCAGGATCTAGACTAACTATGTAGCAAATTTCATTTAAATCGGTTCAGCAGTTTTAGCATGTAAGTGAGACTGACAGACATACAGATAAAGTTACTTTCACAGTTATAATATTAGTGGGGTATTTTATAAACTAACCCAAAAAAGCCAATGGAAAAAGTTTCATAGATCTGGCTTCAATGACTCAAATGACGAATTCACCTAAAATCTTTCATCCCCTATTTTATTTAATCCCCTTAAGGGTAAAAATTTTAAAAACTTTGAATATCATATTTATTCACATTTAGTTACCAGCCTAAAATATAAGTTTCATGCTTCCACCTTTTAAAAATTACGATACTTACGTACAACCTTGCACCTACGATTTCAACCTCCTTACAACCATTTTTTTCCCATCCAAAAGTATCCTATGAGTTTTCTCAAGATAATTATTTCTCAAGACTAATTGTGTAGCAAATTTCACATAAATCTGTTCAGTAGTTTTGGCGTATAAGTGAGACTGGCAGACAGACAGAATTACTTTTACAATTAAAATATTAGTAAGGTATTTAATAAACTAACTCAAAAAGCCAATGAAAAAAGTTTAATAAATCTGGCTTCAAAAATGATGATATTACCCAATATCTTTCATCCCCTAATATATTTTACCCCCTTAAGGGTAATTTTTTACAGACTTCGAATGTCATATTCATTTATATTTAATCAACAGCCTCAAAATACGTTTCAATCTTCTAGCTTCAAAAATGACGAAGTTACATAAAAACTTTCATCTCCTTTTTTATTTTACCCTCTTAAGGTTAACATTTTTACAAAATTTTATGGCATATTTATTTATATTCAATCAACAGCCTCAAAAATCAGTTTCTAGCTTCAAAAATGACAAATTTACATAAAAACTTTCATCCCCTATTTTATTTTACCCCTAATTTTTACAAACTTAGTTTGTCATATTTATTTATATTTAATCAACACCCTCGAAAATAAGTTTCGATCCTCTAGCTTCAATAATAACGAATTTACATAAAAAAAATATCCCCTAATTTATTTAACATTTTTAAAAACTTTGTATGTCATATTTATTTATATTTAATTAGCAGCCTCAAAAATAAGTTTCAAGCTTCTAGCTTCAAAAATGACGATTCTTCCAAACACTCTTTCATCCCCAATTTCAACCCCTTACAACCCTTTTTTCGAATTAAAAAGTAGCCTATGTCCTTTCTCAGGGTCTAGACTATCTGTGTACCAAATTTCATTTAAATCGGTTTAGTAGTTTTGGCGTGAAAGCGAGACAGACAGACAGACAGACATTTATAATATTATATAGTAAATATAGTAATATAGTATAATATAGTAAAGATAAATATTTGTCATATTCATCTAATGAATTAGTTACAAAAAATGATAATTTATATGTAATTATTTTCACATATATTATTCATTCTAATACTTGGCTGCCTAACAGCTTTAACTCCATACATGTAATCTCTATAAAGTAATTTAAAGCAGAAAAAAAAACTACAGTACAAAAAAAGTTCCATAGCAAAATGAGATTAAAATTATAATGGAAATTTAATAACATAAAAGATTTTAGATATATGATCTAATCAGATGCTAAATAAAATTACTTTAAAAGTTAATACTAAAAAAAAACAAAGAACTCACATTTAAATCATGAGACCTTTTTATGCAATGAGCCCAGTAATCTGTTGAGAGGTGTGGATCTGTGGTACTTTTAGAATTAATAGACAACATAAAACTGTTACTGGCTCCAAATGTTTGTTTTAGTGTTTCAAATGTAGTATCTGCCCTATAATGGGAAAAAGAAGAATGCTTTTAAATCAAATGTTTATATAAATGACAAATTGAAATATTCCAGTAATACAGTCATACTTCTCTTTACTAGTACTTGACACGTCATGTAATAAGAGGTAAGATTTAAGAACTCCACTGTTGAACCACTTTGGCAATTTAGGTGGAGTGATATTCTGCAATTGGGCATATTGTTGATTTAGGGAATTAAAACAGTCTATTATGTTTTCTTCTTGTGATGTTCCCACTATAATACATGCCAAATAATGTTTCGTAAATTCATGGTCTGATGGAAACTGAACTTCAAGATAAGTTTCCCTCCAAGCATCAAACCATGGTGTGGATTGTGGTACTTCGAATGCATGACCTTCTGTAAATAAATTTGTTATTTTTTCAACACTATTACATAAAGTTCATCATACTTCACACATACTCTCTGTATATTCACAACTATGATTAGATCAGTTGACAATATGACTGGGGTTGATTCTTAATTACATATCTATCTCTTTATTATTATTACTAACTTAGCATTGTATTAGTCTGATATTTTTGAACTTCTATATAGAAGTAAATACATAGATTCAAATAATAATTATTTATAAAAGTAGTTAACAAATCTACCTAAATCAAGTGACTTTGTTTTTTCATTATAATTATATAATACAGCATTATTTAACTGCCTTCGAGCTTCCATTGGTTGTACTGGCTTCCAGTTCACATCTCTAATAATAATTTTCCAATTCTTGATAGTACATATACTCCCACCTGGCTCACGAAATTGACCTGTAAGTACAATTAAATTTTTAGCTGTGTACAATGTGTTTCTATATTTTTTAATAAGAAATTACAAAAAAGTTAACAGATAATAATTTAAATTATAACAATATACAAGTAATCACAGATGTAATGATAATAAAGTTTCCCATGTGTGGTACATAGTACAAGACATAGTAAATATATACTAATTTCAAATTATTTCAAATAAATTACAAAATTTCATAATCATACAAAATAAACATATTATCAATTAGTACAATTGATAATTTGGCAGACAGATATTTATTTATTTGTGAATGATTATAATTATAATGTACAGATCAAAATTAATTTGTACCATATCAGGAATAAATTTTAATCATTACTAGGAAATGATATAAATAGTTTTTAACACTGCATAGCATTTGTATTAGGCTCCTAATGTTCATATAGATTTGAATATATGATAATATAATTAAAATAGTAGATATTAATAAAAGCCATACATCACTAGTCAAACTCAAAAACTATAATGATTTGCTGTCAATGTATTATTTATTGTTAGCTAGTGTATAAACTCATGTATAACTATTCATTTTTATTGTTTGAACAACATAACCACTCATATCTAAATGCTAATATATTATATATAAAATTAAAACAATATGGAAATAGAACCATTACCTTCCCAGTCTAAATTAGCGAAAGGTTGTAAGAGTTCTACTAACGACAAATTATTCTTTGAGACGATGTTATCAACCTTTGGACTACACAAAATTGCAATTATAGGCGAAAAAGAGCTTTGTATAAACTCTTGAGCGGTTTTTCCTGTTTTATTCATGATTTTTATAGAATCAATATTACACAGAGCACAAGCATAATACGGATGGAACGTCCACTTAAATCAACTATACTCATACAATTAAATCACTAGAAATCAAAATTTGACCAATTTTTTTATTGTTTTCAAAGGAAATTAATAATTACATTATTTCAATCACATCAAATAGATCATTCTGACGAATTCATTTATATACAAATTTCCATAATCATAAATGACAATCAAATGTGACAGTGACAGTTAATCAGTGTTACCAATACGACTACTACATAATATGCTACATTGTTCTTAAAATTATGCCAAAAATATGTTAACATTTTCCAATGTTAAATAAATCGTCATTTAATTTTAAATTCTTAATAATCAACAAAATCTAAACTTTTATGTTTTTTTTTTATAACATAGGTGACTAACGAGCATGCGGCTCACCTGATGGTAAGTGATTACCGCCGCCCATGAGCACCCACAACACCAGGGGAATTGCAACATTGTACGTTGTCGGCCTTTTAAAAAGGAATAAGCGGAATACTTTTAAAAAGGAATAATTCGGAAATACCATTGCTGGAAGGTGATTCCACAATGTAGTTGTGCGAGGCAAAAAGTTTCTAGAAAACCGCACTGTGGAAGACCGGCATTCATCCAGATGATCAGGATGGTATTTCAGTTTCGGGCGGGTGGTACGGTGGTGAAACTCAGCAGCTGGTATTAATCCGAACAATTCCTCAGAACACTCCCCGTGATATATGCGGTAGAAAATGCACAGAGATGCAATATCACGCCGCAAAGCCAATGGGTCGAGTCTGTCACATAGACGTTGATTACCAATGATTCTGGCTGCTCGGTTCTGAATGCAATCAAATGGAAGTAGCTGGTATTGTGGTGCTCCCGCCCAGAGATGAGAACAGTATTCCATGTGCGGCCGGATCTGCGCCTTGTATAATTGCAAGCGATGGGCCGCCGTGAAATACCGTCTCACTCTACTGAGTACACCAAGCTTTTTTGAGGCTATTTTAGCCTTGTCCTCCAAATGACCGCAAAACTGAACGTCACTGGATATATCAACGCCAATGACCTCGAGATTTGGCTTCACATCAAGGAGAATGTCTTGAAACTGAGGAGATACGATAAATGGATTCTTTTTAACGGTAAACGCGCAAACTTGTGTCTTCTTGGGGTTGAATTGAACACAATTTTCCTGACCCCAGAACGAAACTTGATGGAGTGAAGTTTCGATTTCGGACACAAGTTTGTTCCGGTACTCTATAACTTTTGCCTGCGACATATTAGCATGGCCGCTGTACAAGGCATCTCCGGTACTGTCATCCGCATAGCAATTAATGTTGTTGATTTGTAACATGTCATTGATATGCAGAAGGAACAGAGTCGGAGACAGCACACAGGCTTGTGGAACACCAGTATTCACAGAGTGTGGGTCGGAGCAAGCACCATCGACAACGATCTTGATGCTCCGATCAGCGAGAAAGCTGGCGACCCATTTGCATAATTTCGTAGGCAACTCGAAGGATAGTAGCTTTGAAAGAAGAGCTTTGTGCCAAACCCGATCAAAGGCTAGGCTAGCTAGGATATTGCGAAGCAATATCCAGACTAACAGATAGGGCCTCCCCCTTACTCTCAATAGCCTCTGCCCATCGATGTGTTAAATATACTAGAAGACCAGCTGAGCGACCCTGGCGAAAGCCATACTGACGATCAGAAATCAACTGGTTCACTTCTAGGTATCGTAGGAGTTGACGGTTGACAATCGACTCCATGGTTTTTGAGAATAAGGAGGTGATGGCTATGGGTCTATAGTTAGCTAGATCTGAGCGATCTCCCTTCTTAGGGATCGGATGAACCAAAGCCGTCTTCCGAAGTTTCGGGACTACACCTGTAGAGTACACGGAAAAGACGCGTTAGTACCGGAGCCAACTCAGGTGCACACGTCCTGAGCACAATAGCAGGAATACCGTCAGGCCCACTCGACTTGTGGATATCAAGGGAGAAAAGAGACTTACATACCAGCTTTTGGGTAAATTTTACCTCTGGCATAAAAGTCTCACACCGCGAGATGATCGGCGGTGATTGCTCTCAATCGTCCAGTGTCGAGTTGGATGCAAAAAGAGACCCAAGGAGATCGGCCTTCTCCTTAGCATGTTGGGCCAACGAGTTATCCTCTCTCCGCAATGGTGGAAAAGATGGCTGACAGAAATTTCCCTGAGCAGCTTTGGCAAGAGACCAAAAAGGCCGGGATCCAGATGGAAGACTGTTTAGTCTCTTACCAATTCTGCTGATGTGCTCCGACTTTGCTGTGGCTATAACTCTTTTGAAGGACCTGGAAGCGGAGTTATACTTCCTTTTATGGGCACTGGTATCTGGATCACTCGACTTCACAGCTGCAATCCAGGCACGGAAGCATTCCTGCTTATGGCGAGACGCCGATCTACAGGATTCGCTATACCAGGACTGAGATCTACCTGGGAATTTGGAGTAAACATCTCCATTCGCTGAAGTACTACATCGGTGACAGATTCAGCTATTTGCGTCTCCGCAAGGAAGAGCAAAGTCGGCCTCGCCGTCTCTAGGTGGTGGTGGACGGCGTTGAGATTGCAATGAATTCCCCTGATATTGCAAAAACTGACTCTGAGCAAGGGAAATGCCGATGGAGATTTGCTTGGTTTCCTTTTGGCCAAATTGAGCGGAGTATCGCCCACCACAGAATACGCAGGGCAGCCTGAGTGTGATATCTCAGGGGTACATTCTCCAGTAACACGGTTACTGGTACCACCCTGGGGTTAAAATCTCTTATATTCCGCTGCCATGGTATGTAAGAAAGGGGTGGGTAGGGGAAGGAAGTAGGAAAGGGAAAGGGGGGGGGAGGGGCATCCACCTACAGCTCACCATGCGAAACGCGATAACGCGATAACGCTTAATGCCGGTTTTCTGCCGAGGTGGGGTATTTCCCGGTTCGAGCGGCCCAATCAAGCTGAACAACCACGCGTGGTTGTTTAACTATGTTTTGTTATGATATCAATATCTTGATCTTCATCTTGGACGGATAATCCTGCTGATGTAGATGTGGAAGCTTCATTTTCGAAACTAACTCATCATGGTACCTATAGATCGCAATACGTCATCTGTAATGGTGTAAGAACAAGAACTTTTCCCTGCAAAGTTTGTTTTTAATTAGATTCATTTGGCTGTAAACTCGTTCAATTTCTGCGATAGAATGTGGTAGTGACAGTAAGGATATCGCTAACTGTGATAAAGTGTTATTATTAGAATGGTTTTATTTCATGGTCAAAATATGCTATATGCTAAACACCGTAAAAATATGCCAAATTGGCAACACGGTTTGACTTTATGTTGGGCTAAAAAGGACTTGTATCCAGAGCCGTAAAAGTTTAATAAATAAAAAATGTCAATTTTGATATTTAAAATTTTAACATTGTTTGTCATTGGACAGAGTTTACAAAGGCTAGTGGCAACACTGTTTTCAAATTTTCTCTTCGTAATCATTATTTTTTACGTAGTATCAGTAGTATAAAACAAAGTCACTGTCTGTCCCTACGTGTGCATAAATCTTTAAAGCTACACAACTGATATTGAAGAGTTGGTTTTTAATAGATAGAGTATTCAAGAGGAAGGTTTAGGTAATACATGCATAATATTGTAGAGAAACACTGATAAATTTAGGCAATTAGGTATATTGTGGCATTGGGGGCAATGCTAATAGCATTGCCCCCGTGCGAAGCCGGGGCGGATCGATAGTATATTCATATAAAATACAATATGAAAATTAAGAATGTGGAAAACAAGAGGACATGATTGTATTCCCTAAACAACCACTTCCATTTGCTTTTCGTGTAAATGCTAAACGACAAAAAAAAATCTCGCCCTCTACAGGAACAAGCCAAGAAGTTAATGATGGTAATCAATTTCCTCCCGGTCCAAAACTTCAGAAGATCGCTGTTATGAAACACAGTGAAAGTCAGCCGCGGTTCCAATGGCGAATAGAGAAGCGGGACCCTCGATACAATGTAAAAGATATCAATAATTTCCTCACGGTTCAAAATGCCATCAAATCATCGTTAAATTTATATATTGAAGAAAAAATACCCAATTGGCTATACGCCAGCTGATCGTACATGTAAAAATTCAGTCATTTCCTCTCAATCCCAATTTTTTTTAATGTTAGTTCATATGACGGCAGTGTTGCCAATAACCGATTATTATCGAGCCACGAGAAATTCGAGATAATCTCCCATTTTCTGCTTCTGTCCATAATTGTATGTATTACTATAATTAATTGGACTGGTAAACAAACTGACGATGACGATGATACCGTCACATACGTACATTGTTAAAATATTATATATTTTCACAGAGACGGCAGCAGTATTACGAACATTAAGTTCATACGTCGTTATATGATGTCCGCTATAACCCTCAGACGTTTTCATTCTGGAGAACTAAGAAGCCATGCTTCAATATGAAATTAAAAATACAAAATTATTTGCATTTAGAAAATGCAAATAATTTTGTATTTTTAATTTGTAAAAAATAAAAAAACTTATTTACCTTTGAGGGGATGAACAAGGAATATTTATTTTAGTGAGGATACCTATGTACACGTATATAACTTTTGTTTTTGCAACGAAAATATAGTAATCATATGCCAGAACTTTATTAGCTTGGATTGGCGCCGCATATTAAACTAAAGATATCAAACTTCTACTTTAGTCATTGTTATTGGGAATTATAAAACACATGATTCCTTATTTAACAGACACAGTTGGTTAAATTAAATGTTATTAATTCTATACACGCCATTTATTCCATACCTATCAAACACGCACTTGGTGGTCGAACCGCTACGCTTGCTATCAAGGAATTGCTATCGTATCGAGCTGCTGAATAGACTGACAGACGTCAGGTTGCTGGTATAAGCCTAACATTGCGATAGTATTCTAAGAAAGATCCTTAGAACAGATAATTGTATGGAACCATAAATATATTTATGGTTTTCTTGTTTTGTTATCATTAGTTTTCTTTTAGTTGCCCTAAGAATATTAAAAATAAAGGTACTGCCGACTCGGGTTCAAAATTTGAAATTATCAGGTATTATTGATTATAAGGCAAATTGATTCATAAAAAGTTAGACATGTCTTGTATTCGTATTTAATGAAAAATTCATTTTACAAAATTCAGATATACCTATTTAACCAATTACAAATAATATATTTTAATGATGCAAAAATTAATCTTAAATGCATTACATAAAAATAATTCTATTTTGTCATATAAGTGTAATACTTAGTTATAATTGATAAAAAATAATGTCTAAAGATATAAAGAAAAAAAATATATAAAACAAAAATTGCTAGGAATCACACTTCCTAATAATAATAAACCTTAATTACAATTTTACTTGTCCATTCAAATGTTCTTTGGCTCACTTCTATTGTCTGAATCTGTCAAAATGTGAGAAGGTATAAATTGCAAAGTGCATAAAACAAGTATTCTAAAAAAATTGCATAAAACGAACATGTCATCCTTTATTACCTTACTGATATTATATTTATTTGTTAACAGTTCTATTTTATGTTTCTGCAAATCGAAATGAAATTGAGAATACCTATAACCAAATTGTCAAATGGTAATCATAAACTTGGTTAAAATACAGAAAACAAAAAATATTATCGAATACAGTTGACATAGTAAGCTTAAATGATATCCATTTGACCCATAGACGATCGCATTAAATGTCAGTCTGCTGGTTGCGTATTTGCCGCGTAACTTTATATAACTATGTTATAATAATAAAGGGAGATTCGTTGTTATTTATATATTATTACAATATATACGTGCACATTGTAACGTGATACTTAGACGTTTGTTTTTCTTAACGTGGCATATTTCAGTAAACAAATGTAATTTATCGATAGGCCAAGACAATGAAAAATAAATTCATTTTATAAATTCACAGATCTAATTTAGTTCCCCTTCTTGCCCTCTGTAATCTCAAAATGTATAAAAAATAATAATTTAACATTAATTACTTAAATTATGAACATTAGTATAATTTGCATCATCACTTTATATCATATTACCTGTGAAGATTTAAAAATTAATATTAATTTTCCACAATTAGACTGAGTAAGAAGTTACTGTGTTTTGTAAACTATTTATGCCAAGGAAAGAAATTATACATATCGAAAGAAGCTTTACAAATTACAGATAATATATACTTATTCTTTTATGTAAACAATGAACTTATTAATAGAAACATAAAATCATAAGTCTGTTGCACGTGTTGCCTTGTAATACACTGATAAGTGAATGATATTAGAAAGTGTCTAACAATTATTATTTTATACTTATATTTCAATATTTACAACAAAAGTCACAATATATCTACAGAAAATATAATAGATTGTAAAAGATACCCACTGACAATACAAACTAGTACAATATGACATTAGTTCTTATTCATTATGTTGCAATTAGATGAAATTTTTACACAAGTATCTATCAGCGTATTTTTCTCTTAAATGTTATTTCATAAAAATAGGACTGTAATTTGTAAATTTAAACTCAGAATGTAACTAGATTTATTGTCAGATGGTGTATTAATAATAATACCTACAAGTTTACAGTTTTTGTTCAAGTAAACAACACTCTTCGTGACATATATTTTTTTGTAAAAACTCTTTATATACACCTGATGGTAACAGAACATAGATTAACATGAGAACCAGGAAAAAATGCAGAGCAGAAAGTCGTCTCTGGAGAAGTGTATAAATAAACAAATTATTCTGTGCCATGGGCCAGAAATACTAAACATAAATAAAAATAGATTTATTTTCTAACACAAATAATAATAATACTTTTCCTTAACAACTAAGTAATAACTATCGGTAAACAGCTTCACCCATTACCTCTCATACCGTAGTTGATAACCTATTTTAGTATTTTACCTCTTACATATTATAACTATATTATAGTAAGGCCCTCACTATACAAATCCAAATTGTTACGGGTAATTTATTTTTATAAAGTTAAAGATATGAACATGTTAATAGCTGTTGAAGTCCAAAGGCAAAAGCATTTTCAACATCATCTGCTGCTACAAATTTATCTAGAAAAATAATTATACAGCAATGTGTCTATTCTTATCATAACATCGTATATGTTATGATATAATACTTAACATAGTGCTACTAATAACCATATTAGTAGCACTATATTAAGTATTATAATCAATATTTTGCAAGAATTTCAAACTGATATTAGCAAATTATGTTAGTAAATTGATAATTAACTACATGTCAAGTGCCATAGCAAAGGCGTTAAATGAAGAAGAAAAGGCTAAGAAAATAGAACGCGTGTATTCTCTCTATCTAAGTATCTGTCGTATAATCTGATTTCTATGAAATAAATAAAACAATAATAAAAAAAATAACATGTTCACATCGGATATATCGTTCATATGTAGTTATAATAATTTTACTAGACGAGTTTTCAAGCACTATCCTGGTCCTATTGAGATTCTATGTGTAGCAGTATATATATCAAAATATTCACTCATTTAATAGGATTTAATTTAATTTTTCAGTGAGACGAGGAGATCGAAGACGCGCCAACACGAGAAAGCACGTTCGTCTCTATATCATAGAGTGCGGGTTTAAGTGGGTACAAACGTTTGCACAACAGGTAGGTCGCTATTCAAAGTTCGAATTGAACATATTGATGTTTAGGTCCTCAAAGGTAGCGGCCCCGCTCTGGTCGAGTATCTGCAGCATGTCGGACAGCTCGTGCGGCCCGTGCCCGCCCTCGGGCGCCGCGCCCGCGCCCCCGCCCGCGCCCGCGCCGCCCTGCCACGACCACATGCCTGCAACACATCCTCCTCTACTCACACACTGTCTACACACCTATTTATATTTTGAAAACTATCGTAGCAACACTACAAGGCGTGAGGCCACTATTGGATCACTGCGCAATTTACGATACTAAATTAATTAATATGTAAAAATGTATATTTTACCTGTATCATCGGTTTTAGTTTTTAAAGTAGATAAATTTTGTCCTTTACACTAAGTAATTTGGATGAATAAAAAAGTTAAGACTATAATAACAAATACAGCAGTGTGGCAGGTAAATCTTATTATTATTATTATATTATATTAAAAATAGTCATCAGAAAATAAGTGGTATATACTGACTGTGCGGGTGCGGGTGGTGGTTGTGGTGGTAGTGCGCGGCGGGCGGCAGATAGGCGGGCGCGGGCGGGGAGCGGGCGGGGCTGCCCCCCGGGCCGGCCGCGCCGCCCCCCGCGCCGCCGCCGCCGCCGCCCGCGCCGCCCGTCGTCGTCTCCCCGCTGTACGCATACGTCTCACCGCCCGCGCCGCCGCCACTCTGTCATCATTTGCATTAGGTAATAGAAATGGCAAGCGAGCTCACGGCTTACTGATTGTAAGTGACAACCATACTATCAGGTAAGCCGTGATCACCTATACACATGAACAGGACTAGAGACATGTTACATGAACAGTGCTAGAGACATGATATATATTAAAACAGCTAGCCTATGTAATTATTATTATTCTATATGTATAAAATAGACATATAATAAATTAGGTGCGTTAATTAACTATACCCAGTTATTGACAAAACGACATACATACTGGAAATTTAACAGCTTTTTAGGTTTCACTAAAGTATGTATTTGTACCACTGGAATGTGTGCACTACTGCACATAGTATTTAATTTATTAATAACCAGCTGTGCCCGCGATTTCACCTGCGTGCTTATGTATATATTATACATATAAACTTTCCTCTATAATCACTGTATCCATTACTGAAAGTTGTATTAAAATCCGTCGAGTACTTTATAAGACGCGACTACATTTCATACTACGTAAAGATGAATACTACGACGTTCAAGGAATCACAAAAAAAAACGAATCGTACATACTAGACAGAGTACATTGTAGAGCGTAGATGTGTACGTACCGGACGGAGCGTGGTCCAGGTGGTGTGTGGCGGCGTGTTGGCGGGGCGGTGCGGCGAGTACTCGGGCGCGTAGTGCGGCGCGTAGGCGGGCGCCGCGCCCAGCCCCGCCTCCGGGGAGCGCGCCGCCGCGCCGCCCGCGCCCGCGCCCACGCCCACCGCGCCCACACCGCCGCCAGCTGCACAAATACGTACAACCGACTACAACTCACTGCATCTATACTATGTTCTTAAATCTCGGAGACTAAATTGATAGGTGTAATGGCAAATTTTAGAATAATGGAGCAATGCTTGCGATTTGTTTATATTTTAGCTTACTGGTTATAAAGCTTTATACGAAATTTCCACAACATATTTTCATTTACGTACGTATATACCCGCGTATCTGAAATACCCTCACCAGAATGTTCGTTAATCAATGTGGGGCCTTCTAAAGTAACCTAACCTAGGTTACTTTAGTAGGCCCCTTTACTTTTTATCCTGATCAATCACACACATAGTAGCTGTCTTTACACATACGCTTTGTCACATTGGAAATCCAGCACTCCCGTCTACTTATATCGTGCGTTTTTAATGTACAATTACTGTAATGTATAATCTTATCTGCAAAATGGCCGGCATCTAACTATTCAGCAAATACTTAATTACAGATTGGATAAAAATGATAAAAAATATATATAAACAATCGCTAAAGGTTGCGTGCACGCACTTAAATCTCGCGTGTCTAAATTACATATATTTGCAGTACCTGTCTGTGCATGATGTTGTTGGTGAAGTGCAGGTGGAGGAGCCTGGTATACGTCTCGGTGACGTAAGTGATAGTCATATGTCTCTTCTGGTACGGGCTCCGTCCCCGCATTCCCTAATGAACGACTGTAAAAGACCATAAAATATTAATAAATGTCACAAAAGTAGACCTATATAACATCACAATTTAATAAGTAATAAAAAACAATATAATGTTAAAATACATTCAATATGCAAAAAGTTTGTTCAGTTATTTATTGTAGATGTTTTTATGTTATGATGAAAAAATGTACAATTCTACTTACTTGGCTAATGTATTCGTACAGACGATATATTCTACGTCGTCATTGTATGGATTCAAGAAAGCAAATGCTGATGTTCTCAACCAAACCCATTCTTTGCTTTTTGTGCGAAACCGATACATTAGTGAAATTATTTGGCCCTTCAATTTCAGCACTGTAACAAAAATAAAATTAAGAAATGATACTCAAAAAAGATCGTGTTAATATTGTCACATTTGTTATAATAATTAACAAAATAATTATAAACAAAACAATATAGACAAGACATAATATCTATAGTAATATTATTGTAGTATATATAGTCTTTGGCATAATTAATATTGTTCATAACGTACTCCTAATTAAATAATGTACTCATAACGTACGGCCTAATTAAATGTGAAGCGCAATTTAGCATTTTATTTATTTAAATATTTAAATACAGTACAAATATACAGTACAAACATTACATTTTCAGAACCTATTTTAAGTATTCTTTTACCTAGTATTTTTTTAAGTACTTTATATTAAATGATATATCAACATGGGCATTGTCTATTTAAAAAGTTATGTAAATTTCTACAACAATTGTCCCACTGCGAAGCCGAGCCACCATCAGTCTCATTCAGTAGGTTCTAATAAAATAAATAAGACAATGTCGAGTTATATTCTTCTTAGCACAAAGAAGTTACCTTGATCAAAGTTGTCTCTCATATGCTGTTGGTCCTCGAGATGATAAAATTCGTAGCAAAGTTTCCCCAATAAGTCTGCAGGGGCGTAACCCACCACTTGTGTGGCGCGCTGGTCAGCGAACGTAAAGCGGCCGTCCACTGAGTGACGAGACACGAATTCCACTCCCCCTGTTGATAGACTATTTTCAGACGCGTTAGGCGTCGATGTTACCTACCAAACAAATTCAAATATATTTTTATAAATAATAAAGCAAACAAGAATACTAAATTTTTATTTCTCTAGTTAAATAATACATAAATTCGGAGTTAGAGTAAGATTTCCGCATCTATTATTTGTAAGATCCTTTGACTTAGTATGTAAGTCTGGGTTCCCCAAAATAGAAACCATCACCAAAACTTACATTGTACAAATATGATTTATGTAAGTTATTTTTCTGTATATTACTTTCATAAAATCTTATAAATCTATAATGTATATAAATTACCTGTAAACGTCCAATTGCAACGAGGCAACAATGAGATGCATGAAGTTCATCTTCTACTGGTCGATCCATCTGCATTCCTGGAAACAGATCTGATGTCCCCAAATACATAAAACTACGGTTGTAAAATATCGTAAATTGCAAATTATTCTCAAATTGGATAAGGCTGTATTTATAATTATTCCAATTTATTTTTATTAAAAATTGAATATAAAAATGTGTTGATATTTCAACATTGTTCATAATTTTTATTTTAATATGCATAGATTCGATATTTTAAATGTGTAAAAATAAATCTTATATATAAAATTCTCGTGTCACAATGTCAGTTACAATACTCCTCCGAAACGGCTCGTCCACTTTTATGAAATTTTATATTTATTCTGTAGCTCTGAGAATCGGCTACATCTATTCTGCATACCCCTAAGTGAAAAGGGTTGTCACAAATGTCTAGGATGAAATTTTGGCATCGTTTGGATATATTAGTAAATATTATATAAAATAAAATATATGGTAGAAAAACATATCGAGTTACATATAATAGTATCTTATTTATTTTTGACTAAATATTATCGGTACCTTGTTCTGCTTATGGGCGATTTACGATCGAAATATGTTATTGTTATTATGTCTAAGTTCTATTTAGATTTTTGAAGATCAATTTTATCCTAATAAAATAGAGCATATTTTGTCTGTCGTATTTGCATTGTTAAAGCGCACTTCTAGTCCTCCAATATATTAAGGATAGAAAGGAATATAATAAGAATTTGCTCAAACACCTTAATGATTTTAAAATTTCTGTAACATAAAATATCAGTGCCATTGTATTAGATACGATGGTTCATTTTGTGGCCATACTTTACCTGTGGGAGGCCAATTTTTTATGTATCCTGTGCAATGAACTACGGCGTAGTTGTGTCCGTCATGCGAAGGCCCCAGCGAGTTGCGCGCGCGCAGGCGCCCCAAGTGAGCACCCTCGCCGGTGCCGCCCACGCGCATGCGGCATATGAATCCGCGCCGCGAACCCATCACTTGCCGCATTGATGCTACAACACAGCCAACCGCAGAATTAAGTTAATATACCCATATTTTCATTTAATTCAATACACTTTGTACTTGGGTATATATCATATTTAGAGACCTGAATGAATTTAATATTGATGACAATCATGAAAGAGCAGTTTATTGACTTTGTGTATGACGGCACACAAACAAGTAGCTTTGGACATGTGAATTCAGTGGTAAGAACGGTGATATGTGCTCTGATGCAAAACGATATTACCGTAAATCAGGACATCACTACATAATATAAAACAAAGTCGCTGTCTGTCCGTCCCTATGTATGCTTAAATCTTTAAAACTACGCAACGGATTGTGAAGCGGGTTTTTTTTAAATACATAGAGTAATTCAAGAGGAAGGTTTATATGTATTATACATGCATAATATTGTAGAGAAACATTGATAAATTTAGAAGTTTCTAATGTGATGTCGTAAATAAAAAGTTTTTTTTGCGCTTACATTTAAAACTCTGGCTGAACCCCACGAGATATTAAAATAATGTATTACAGTATTGTACACCTTAAAAAGGTCCACAAAAAAGTCCTTGATGGTATATGTCTATCTCTTAACGATAACCCGCAATAACCATTTTTTATACTTTACATTTTACGGGAATAAAATGCCTTATTTACGAAGTGATTTTAAGCAATACAGCATTAATTGTTATCCAATTAAGTAATCGTTAAATACATTATCCATTTAATATAGATCAATATGGCCCTTTACAGCAGGTAATTTAAAAAAATGTTTCCGAAGATATTACAGACTAGCTGTTCCCGCGATTTCGTCCGCGTGGAATTTAACTTTATTTTTCTAAAATAAAAATAGCCTAAGTTAGTCAGGTAGCATATGTAATAAGGGGTATTACATATGCTACCTGCCAAAAACAGTTCCATCAAAATCAGTCCAGCCATTTCAGAGATTAGCCGGAACAAACAGACAGGCAGACAAAAATTGTAAAAAATATTTAAAATATTTATATTCATATGCATGTAGTAATAAACTGTTATTTCAATATTACAAACAGACACTTCAATTTTATTTATATGTATAGATGTAAAATGCAGGGACGTAGCGATGCGGCGGTACCGACCCGGCCGGCGGCGCCAAACAAAACATGTTTATACTGTCTAATGACAAAAAAGCTGTAAACGTTGTTTATAAGGACATTTTGTAGTAGGTAGGTAAATTTAGTATCAGCATTGCACTGCTGCATTGAAGCCGGGGCGGGTCGCTAGTAATGTATATGGTATCCATATAAAATACGCGCAGTCGGGTGCCTGCAACCCGTAGGTGCACTGACATGTATAGTAGTTAACAAGCTATCAACTGAAATTGAAATGACGCTTACATTGATGCCCTTCTTTCTTGACCGTACCGGTCTTCAGGTCTAATATGCGCCCAGTGTTTTGTGGTTCTTGAGTACTTAATTGTTCCCGAACTTTTTCAACATCATCTGGATGGACTTGATCATATAAACATGAAGAATACCATTCTCCCTGAAATTAACACGAATAATTTAATTATAATATTCATAAATATACTTTGTGTTGATGTTATATATAACATTAACACTAAATATTTACAATATTGTTGAATTTTCAAAACCAATAAAACTTTATAAGTATATATATTTATATAGGCTATAGCATTGTTTTTTTAAATATATTATTGTAATGAAATAAATTAGGCAGTATCGACATAATTTGATACAGAGGAATAATTTATATGATATAAATTTTTTTTTACTACAAGAACATATTTATACAATCAATGAAATCAAATAAAAGTTGCGATTGTTGTAAGACTTCAGTAAAACGGATGTAACAATTTTGTAATAAGTAATTGATACTTACTTGGGAATAATTCAAAACAGGGGCTATACTGTCACTAACATAAATAATACGACCCGTGTCGCAACTGACTACGAATAAAAAACCATCCGCTGCTTCTAGTATTAAGTGTTTCAACTCCTGATCCGTTAAAAATGATGGCTTGTAAGTGCCATCCGTAGAAGTATTTCCAGTACCTACGGAAAATCGAAAATAATCAAATAATGACATAAATTGGCATTTCAGTGCAATTAGCAAATAGTTAGTTAGCATTGTTTTTGTTGAATAAAGGTCTCACCCCTCAATGCTTTCATATGAGCCACTGCCATACGTAAAATGGTAAGTTTGTCAGGTTTGCGAGCAAGAGCAGAGCATGTTGGAACCATATCAGACAGTTCCGTGATGTATGCTGTCATCTTGTTTCTTCGACGACGTTCAATCTCGCAATGATTTTCCCGGCTAAACACAAAATATTTATTACTATAAATAAAAAAAAAACAAAGTTCGTTAAAAATTAAAGCTTATTTACATACTACTTCATAGTTATACAGGCTGTAACGGAAAGTACCTATATTACATAGTTAATATATTCAGTCAACGAGAAAATTTAAACAATGCTAATAAGTAATATCATTGAGTATTTTTAAGAAAGGAAAGGCGCGCGTGTCGCGTGATAAGACACGTTTTCAATCATCACACGGTAAGTTGAACAATGAATGGCATGGTTATGGGAATTTAGAAAAGTACCTATGCGTTTAGCATGTTGTTGATTTATTGAGTATAATTCAATTATTTATGATTTTGCATGTCAGTAGCCTATTATTATTATGTTCTAAACACAGCAATGGTAGGTATGTAGATATCTAATCATGTAGTGAATATATTAGATATACTAATCATAATATTAGATATACCTATTAGTTTGTGTGGTTGAAATATCGTACAAGAGGAAGCTTTTAAAGGTTTAAAAGTTTGCAACTCTTTCCCTAAGCATTGCTCGAGGCATATATGCCATTTTTTCTCATGTCATTTACTCACTATAATAAAAATTCACATATTGTTATTTATAGCATTTGACGACGTCGGTGGTCTAGCGGTCTAGCACACCGCTTTACGACCGATGGTCGCGGGTTCGATTCCTCGCACGGCACAAACAATTATATTCGTGAGTATGATTGTTTGTATCGGTCTGGGAGTTTTCTATGTATAATATGTATGTATTTACAAAAAAATATCTAATCAGTTATCTAGTTAACTTGCTTAATTTGGATCTAGATGGCGCTGTGTGAATTGTCCTGATATATTAAAAAAAAATATAGCAGTCCGACGGCCTCGGTTATCCAGCGGTTTAGCACACCGCCTTCCTACCTTACGTCGCAGGTTCGACACGGTACATTTGTATTCATGAGTATGATTTTTTGTATCGGTCTTGGTGTATTTTATGTATATTATGTACCATATGTATTAAAAAAAAAGGTATCTATGCATTTATGATCTTGTCTAGTACCCATAATAATACAAATTCTGCTTAGCTCGGGACTAGATTACGCTGTGTGAATTGTCATAATATATTATTATTATAGAAGTTGTGGTTGTGTAATAATAAATAACCAATTAAAAAAGCCCTGTATCTCTATTCAAACTACTGACAAAGCAGGTCGGTTATCATTATAATTATTTATAAAGGTATCGTCTTCTTTAAATGTGTTCCTGTATTTTGACATGATGACGTAACAAATCTATATTAATAATTTCGTCAAGGGGTATACCGTACCCCTTGACGAAATTATTAATGTAGATTTGTCCCAGAGTAATATTGTAATAGAACTCCCAGACAGTTGTATCAAAATAGATTTTCTTATTTTTCACTAAAATAAAGACTAACTGCCTTTTTAGTAAAAGAAATTACCTTTTCATAGTGTCATATATTATTTAACTGATTGTAAGAAAAAAAATGTTGGTTTATAGATTAATACTGTAAAAATTACTATTTGTACGAAAACGACAAAAATATATTTTTATTCTGTATAACACTTTTGTGTTTTTTTTATGTGGGTAGCTTAACTGACAACACACTAAAATAAGAGCTCTGTATTTATTACTTAAATTAATTATATATTTACAGTTACATAGTTTATTTATGCTAAATTTGAAGAGATAGTGTGTTTTTACCTACTAGTATAATTATCTCCTTTTTATAAATCATAATGGATGCATTACAAGGCACATTTTCATCCATGATGGAACAATTGAATGCAAAGATGGCTGTTTTTCAAGTGACTTACAGAAAATAAACACAACACCAAGCACTGTGACTACATTAGCAGCGGACTTTGCAGTCTTTCAGTCATTTGTATCCAGCACCTTCTGTAATCTGCAGCAGCAGTTGGAATTGCTAAATCGTCAAATGGACCAATTTGAGATGCGTAGCCGTAAGAAGATTCTGTTATTTCATGGAGTCCAGGAGTCCAGTGAAAGCAACGCATCACAGGATACTGTGAAAGTCGTAGCAGAGAAATTAAATATTCACAATTTCTGAGAAGTCAACATTAGTCGGTGTAACAGACTTGGCCGCTCTTCTGGTGATAAGCCTCGTCCTACTGTGGTGAAATTTACTGATCTTGCTCTGCGTAATAAAATTTGGTTCGCTAAAACTGCATTGAAAGGTACAGGAATCACATTCTCCGAATTCCTCACTAAAGGAAGACATGATGCGTTCATGAATGCGCGACGTCACTTTGGCATCAAGAAGTGTTGGACGCGCGACGGTTCTGTGATTATTGTTGGAAGTGATGGTGCTAAACACCAAGTTACTACTACTGCTGAAGTAAACAATATTATAAACTCTCAATCCGTCAATGTTTCGGCTGTATCGCAGCCTGCAGTTTCGATTGCGCAGGAAGCTGGGGCTCTGCAGCACCGAAGGTTCCCGCTGGGGTAGCGGCTCGCGCCAAACGTTTCGTCAGAAAGTGAGAATGTGTTATTCCTCTAATGATTTTTGTATGTCGTACTCAACATATAATTAATACATTTCTTCCACTAAAATATGTCACCCAATTGTATATACACCTTACAAGTGTGTAATCATAATTATAGTCTATCTGGGACGCTGCTTGTAGTCATAACTTTATCCAGCTCATTACTTTAATATTGAAAATGTAGGTAGTTTTCGTAGTTACAAAGCCTATGATATATTAATATTTACTATTTACATGTAACCAGCGTGGGAAGGCCTCCAGCAAGGTGGACCGACGATCTGGTCAAGATCGCTGGAAGGCATTGGATGCGAGCAGCGCAGGACCGATCGTCGTGGAGATCTTTGGGGGAGGCCTATGTCCAGCAGTGGACGTCTTCCGGGCTGCGATAATGATGATGATGATGCCATGTAACCAACCTCACAATCACAATTCAATTTTGTTTTTTTTTTTTATTTTCATTATTATTTTGTCTCTCGTTATCAGTATAATATATTATAATAGTTCGTATTGATTTGGTGGTTGTTGTGTTGACACATGACAAATTGACTTTGTAAAGTGACAAGTGACAGATGTCATATTATTTGATCATTGAAAACGTAGATGGAGAATGTTATATATTAATATCTTTTTTTTTTATATTATAATTGTCTTTGATAGCTTCTTTAACTTTTTTTTTTGTTAAATATTTGAATATCCGATTTGTAATTATTTAAAGGTTAAATAGAGGTTGTTACACATGATTATTCCACTATGTATATATATATATATTTCTCTTTTCGTTTATTACTTGTCATGGACACTTGTATGTGTTATTATTATTATCTTTTTTTTGTGATATCATTTGATTTCCGATATGAATTCCGCTTTCAGTTATGAATGTCTTAAACGAAAAAATGCATTCATGTCTTACATTCCACTGGCGGGTAGAGACAATGTCTTGTTTAATTCTAGTTATATTTATTATTTTAGTTTAGTATATAGTATTTATTATTATTATTCTATATTTAGATATAACTGTATACAATAATGTACGACATGCATAATGTAAGCTTTCACTCTGTCTCCTCATCCTCTTCTACAGACACTAGTTTTTATGGTATACCCACACCCTTAGACGAAATTTTATATACCGACTTCGATAACGTACCCAAAAATTTTTATGTTGTGCACATCAATGCACAGAGCATTCCAGCTCACTTCCCAGACATGCTAGCGTCGTTCGATGTTGCCAATATCCAAGCTATACTCGTCTCTGAATCTTGGTTGAAACCCTGTCTTCCTTCTTTCTGTTACTCGCTGCCTGACTTTAATCTCATTCGCAATGACCGCGTTGGCAAGGGTGGTGGTGGTGTGGCTATGTATCTCCGTTCACACATTCCCTACAAAATAATTTGCTATTCCAATACTACCAATCCCTCTAATGAAGCTGAATATCTATTTACTGAAGTAAACCTTTCCCATTCCAAAATTCTTTTAGGTGTTTTCTATAGCCCTTCTCCTTCAATAGATTACTTCGCTCCATTAGAAAACCTTTTGGAAAAGATGATGCCATCCTATGAGCATACTATAGTCATGGGTGACTTCAACACCTGCCTACTCAAAAATGACTATCGATCCGATTGTCTACGGTCTGTGGCTAAGGCTTGTAATCTTACTATCCTCCCGCTTATGCTACACATTACTTCCCTAGTTGCAGACCGTTACTGTTGGATCTCATCCTTGTCTCATCTCCTAGTCTTGTTGCAAGCCATGGTCAACACACTGCGGATGCTGTTTCATTTCACGATCTTATTTTCCTTTCATTCCAAATCCGAACTCCTAAATTTAGACGTAAAATCATCATGCAGCGTAATTTTGGTACCATCGACCTGGATTGCTTGCGCAGGGATGCCCTGGACTCTGATTGGGACTCGGTTCGAAATGCTACTTCTGTGGATGACCAGGTAGACATATTTAATAACATTGTCACTGAGCTGTACGACCGTCATGCTCCTGTTCGACCTGTTCGAGTGAAACATCTACCTGCACCGTGGTTGACTAAGGAAATAAAAGATATTCAGGGCAGGAAAAACAAGGCTAGAGCAAAATTTAAATCCAATCCAGACAAATACCGAGATCAGTACATAAAAGCTAGAAATTACTGCAATAAGGTGTGTAGAGAGGCACAACGTCGCCACATTCATTCATCCGTAGAAAATAGTGATCCGGCTAAGGTCTGGAAACTTCTTAAAACTCTTGGAGTCGGTAAAAATCACTATTCTAATTCTAATTTTGTTTCAATGTCGATATAGACAGCCTTAATAGGCACTTCTGTACTTCCACTGTTTTTGATAATACACTAAATCTTCTTTCTACCGCACTAACCCCAAGTTTTCCATCCTTTAATTTTCGTCTGGTTACTTGTGATGTTGAGAAGAGCTTGCTATCAATAGGTTCCGACGCTATGGGAACTGATGGTATTGGTCGTACTATGTACTATCCATCTCATCCTTGACATTATCTTTCCAGTAATTACCTTAATTTTTAACAACTCGTTATCCTCAAGTGTTTTCTCTTCCATTTGGAAAGATGCCAATATTATTCCCCTTCCCAAAAAATGTAAGCCGTCCTCGTTCTCTGATTACCGTCCTATTTCTATACTTCCTTTCCTGTCCAAAGTTCTTGAACGACTTGTTCATGACCAACTGAACAACTTCCTTTCAAAAATCATCTCTTAAACCCTTTCCAATCGGGCTTCCGAGCTGGTCATAGTACGAATACCGCACTGCTTAAAATCACCGATGATATTCGATATGGAATGGAAAATTCACAACTGACTGTTCTTACATTGCTGGATTTCAGTAGTGCGTTTAACACCGTCGATATCGATGTCCTATTGGCACGTATGCGTTCAATTAACATATCTCCAATGGTAACAGACTGGTTTCAGAGTTACCTGTATGGACGACAGCAGCGTATACGAGTTGACAACAGCTTCTCTTCATGGTGTCGAATTACTGCCGGCGTTCCTCAGGGTGGCGTCTTATCTCCGCTTCTTTTTAATTTTATTACTATGCAGCTTCATTCCTCCTACCACCTTTATGCAGACGACCTCCAAATCTATTCGCAAGCCCCATTTCATAACATTGACACTGCCACCCTTACAATTACTGCAGATCATATCTAGTTTGTGTAAAACTTTGGACTAACAATGAATGCCTCAAAAACTTAGACCATCGTTATTGGTAGCCCTCGGTATATAGCAAAAATCAATTGGAGCACTCTTCTTCAAATAGTGTTGGACGGAGTACGCATTGAGTACAGTGATAGCGTCAAGAACCTGTGCATCCAATTCGACAGGACGCTGTCTTGAACAGTTCAGATCGCCGAAGTGATCGAAGTCCTAGATAAGAAGTCGACCGCAAGATTTTCGATGCCGCAGGCTCACTCAGGAAACTAGGCAATTTCTTGCCAGTCAATACCAAAGTTTCGCTTGCACATACCCTACTTCTTCCTATCCTTGATTACGCCGACACCTGCTACCTAGACCTCACCGAAGACCAATTAAACAAACTTGAGCGTCCTCAAAATATTTGTATCAGGTTTATATTTGGACTTCGCAAATATGACCATGTCTCACATTATCGTGCACAGCTTAAGTGGCTTCCTATACGCCTTTGCCGTGACTGGCATATTCTTTCTCTTCTTTACTCCGTTCTCTTTAATCCTGCTACTCCTAACTACCTCAAAGGTAGATTCTTATTTCTCGGTGAGGCACAAAATCATGGCTTACGCAGTGCAACAAACCTCCGTCTCAAAATCCCTTCCCACACATCCTCATTCTACACCAAATCCTTTTCGGTACATGCCGTTCGACTATGGAACTCATTACCTTCCTCCATACGTAGCTCACGATCACTACCCAGCTTTAAGAACTCGGTCAAATCACATTATCTTTCCTTATGTTTCTTTTCTGTCGTCATCATTGTTATATTACTAGTAGGTATTATTCCTATGCGTATATCACAGTTACTTGCTGCTTGCATTATTTTGTGTTGTGTTGTATCTATTTGTTGCATGTTGTTATGTATGTATGTATATATATATATATAATATTAATATTGGTGTATACTGTTTATATATGTAATATGTTATGTTATTCATTATTATTAATTTGTCATTATTATTATTATGTTTTTTTTCTCTTCTATTCTAGTGCCACCTCCCACCTTTTGTTTTTTCTCCTCTACCCAAAGGTTGCCTGGAAGAGATTGCATAAGCGATAAGGCCGCCTTTTGTACCCTTTTATTTTAATTACTCTATTAATGTAATTTTCCTGGTGCAATAAAGAGTATATAAATAAATAAATAAATAACACTACGACATTACTGGAAACATTAGTATATGTACGTAAATTATAAAATTCTGTTATGGAAACGTCATATTAAACTTTAAAACTAATTTGTTAGAATAAAAGTTTCCGATTAAACAAATCGGTATGGCTACACCGCTACAGGTGGTAACATTTTTTTTTGTTCTGTTTATGCTTAATCGGAAAGGCAAACAGAAACACAATGAACGAAGCTTTACGAATCTATGTCTTGCTTACCTTTAATATTCTTTGAGAACCGATGACTACAGAAATATCTATCCAAGCGAAGCCGGGTTTTCATCTAGTACTTAATAATTCTGAAGATACCTTTTGCCTATTTTATTTTTATAACTAACTTTTCGAGATAAATTAAGGTAACGGTCTTTACGAACTCCTCACACGCCACTCCTCCACTTAAAACTTATATGGTAAGGCAAAAAAAAATAGCAAATATGTACCTTGCAAATCTCTCTTTGTCTTGAATGTTGTCCTCCTCCATCCTTGTGTATTTTCCGCCGCTTGCGTCGTCTTCATCGGATCTGTTGTGGCAAAATACTGAAATTAATCGACCGATCGATTATCAATTTTTTTAATATTTGAACCAATTGAACCAATTGAAATAGACGGCTTTATATTTTTTATGTAAATATATCTATTTTAATACTCTTAAATATGAATTTGTATATTGTTTAATATTTATTTAATAACTGATAGAAATAATATAAATATATTTTTCATTTTGATTATTTAATTGTATACTTTTTAATATTTATTTATGCCGGATCTTACCATTTCGTATCAAAAACTAACGACCAAAAAACTCGAATAATAAACAAGTAGCTTTATCATTCACATTTCCAAACATTATTAATGTAGTTTTAGGAAAGTTTATAGTAAATACACAGTTATTTACTAGAAACTTTTAGAGACCACTGGAGTTATGTTATTATTATTATTAGTATATGCTGTTGCTATCACTGCGAGTTTGGGTCCCCACGTTTGTTTACTTCATAACCATGCAAAAATGTACCTAGTAGTCATTGAATAACAGGTTTAAATATTTCTAAAAATCAATTGTGTTGTAGATATTGTAAAGGAGGATATATAAAAACAAATATTGTCTGACATAGATATTCTAGACGGATGACGAAAATTTACAAATGGCACCTAAATTAATTACTAAAATTATCTATTATTATTCTGAGGATGATATATTTGAATTAGAAAATTAGGAAATTTTAATGCCTTCTTCAATCTTTCATTATAATGGTATTGAAATTAACCAATTTTAGATAGAGTCAAATATTTAATAGAAGATTGACTGTGATTATAGAACCTATGGACATCCTCCCGATACAACATATATCTTCATACCAAATTTCATAAATTTGCATTGATGATAAAAAGGTAACTAACACATTTTTGAATTTATAATATTGGTATGGATGGAACTATGGACATATTATAGAATTTAAATAAGTGACACAACTGGCAACATTGAGTAAAATAAGATATCAATGTATCATATTTATACACAACATCTAATGTAATTATAGGATTAGGAACATCAAATTAACTGAGTAGAGTCAGAATATAGATGTTTAAAGCCATTTATAAGTTTTTTTATTCTATATTGGTTAACTTGGAATCTCTTCAGCATTTCTAATATATCGTAATTTCAATTTTTACCATTTGAAAGGAGTTAAACACTGTATGCAAGTAAAGCAGTACAAAAATTACTGAAATATAGGTTCAAATGCAGATAATGATGTACATTATCCACATTTCTGAACAGGAGTCTATGCTTAAACAGTCTATGTCTTATGTTTAGTATTAATTACACGAAAATTAAAGAAATGTGTTAAGTTGACTTCTATTAGCAACAAAATGCATTAGAACAATATGATAGATATCATAAGTAATTGATAATCAATATATTAAGTTTCTATTAAAGTAGGATAACTATTGACAATATTAATTGAAGTAAAAAGACACAAGTAGTAGATAATATCTGTCTTTATACTTCAATATTAAAGGCTATTTTCAGAGATTATTGTCTTTTCTTGTCTGTGTCATCTGGGGTTTATTGTAAGTACCTACTATATTTTACAATACAATTTGACAACTTTTGGTATGACCATCATATATTATGTTCAAGACAGCTTGCAGATTAATAGTAGAAAATTTTACAGGACTTGACTGTTTGTTGTTATAACAAATCTTATCAAACTTAATCATAGTCCCCTTTTGATACATAAGAATATAATGGGTTTTTGACCCAGTAAAGGACATTCTGTAAAATTGTTATGATATATTTGTGGTTCAGATTTTATAGCCTTTCACAGTGCAATTTAAATAAGAAATTTATAATTTTAGACCTTTTAAGAAATAGTGATAAAATAATTTTACCGATTCTAAGGATTAATATAGAATAATTTTGCACAGTACCAAACTATATTAAATGATTATAATTAAATGAATAATTTGGTGTGATCTTGATCTGACTAATGATATAAAAAATTGAAGCACAAATCCTAATTGTTAAAAGTAAATAGAGTATAAAAGGTAATATATATTAATTGATAGATATAAGTTACTCTCTTAAATTACTGGTCCTACAATGTGTTTATATAGAAAGGAAATCCCATATTATCAATGCTGGGTAGATGGTGCTGGAGGTCACATTTGCATGACTATAAATTATTCCCGTATAGAGAAAAGCATGAATTTGAAATTTGAAAATAATTATCAGTAAAATATGGCAGTTGGCATTTTGAGGGAAAAACTACTTTACATACTACTCTTTTGTATATACTACAAATGTAAAGTAACATAGAAATTAAAATACTATATGCCGTTTTCTTTAAGTTGGGTAAGTAAATAATTAATTGAATTCACTTACCCAACACTGCCAGCACGGCGCTTTTGTATATCCTTTGCTGGGTCAGCCCCTATAAACATAATTTTAATTATTTGGTCTTGCTACATTTCAGGAACTCAGTATTCAATTAATTTGTAATATAAGTACAATACAATATATTGAACATTAATATTTTTGTATTACAATAATCACTATGACTTGAGCAGATATATTTTGATATTAGTAGAAAATTCAGTAAAATTTATTATTATTTATATATATTATATTACTGTATAAATTGTAGTAGCAAATTTTTTTTTAAACTATACATAAATTATAATCTATGCACAAAACCAAAATGAGCAAGCGTCATTGAATATTTGCTGCAACGAAATAATTTGTACTTGTCAGCATTATGTACGAGGTATACTTTGAGATAGCCTATCAAGTGATACTTAGTTTCATCACAACTGTCTATGTACATAACCATTGATTTATATAAATTTTCAACTTAACTATCTATGCTGTTAATTCATATATCGCCAACCTATTAAAAACGAGACAAATATCATAATCTCTCTTTTCATAGTTAGCAACGCGTCACACAGCAACGTCAAATTAAAAAATAGGTCGATATCTTTTAGACTTACTGACACATCAGACAATTATAATTTTGTTATTTATGACTGAATCACTATGTGAGTTAATAAGAAACAGTAAATAAATAATGGCAAAAGCTTCAATTAAATTAAAAACTGAGATTAAGTAAGATAACCAACCGGGGATAGTTGGAGCCACGGCAGACATCGGTCAACAAACTCATTAGTTCTTTCTATAATCTCACTAATCTTGTGATTAAAAATACACAATATTTTAAAAATCACAATAGTAAAACACAAAAAACACTCAGTATGTTTATATCGTATGCTCCTCAACACAACACAGACGCCATTTTTGTCATTTGCATATTGTTATTACCAGTATAAAATACAAAATCACACAGAACTGCCAATGTAGCCATGTATTAAAAAAATTGTTCAATTTGTAAAAACATGCATTTAAAAGAAAATAATTATGTTATTTGTTCAATTATTGTTACTTCACACATTTACAATCTTCACCCTCCACTCTCTTCTGTTGACGTTTTGGAGCGTAGTCGAAGTCGTCCTTCCGTATAGATTTTGTACCTACTCTATGTTAACCGGGCACGGTGTCGCCATTCGAGAACCCTTCCTCCAAACGCCTGATATTTGTTTATTCACGCCAAAGGCTTTTAATAATTTATTTATTTAAACGTTTAATGCACAAATACAATTTATAAATATACATATATCGGTCCACCATTTAACAAACTGAAAAATGAATATAAGCGATACGATATCACTTCAGGCTTCGCTTTTGGGTTATACCAGTCACTAAAGAAAAGCAACACTCACTATGTGGATACCTAATTAGTTAAAGATTTTCGTTAAAATGTGACATACAGACAGACAGACAGACTTTTGCTTTTAAAATCTGAATATGAATTTTTTGTATGTACCTACTTATCTGTGGTAACGATTTACGCTGGCGTGGCACTAGTGGAGGATGATGGTACTAATAGACTTTACTTCGTACTCAATTTATGAAGTAAAGTCTATTAGCCCATCAGTTTGTAAAGTGTAAACGAAATGACACACTACACACTAGCTAATGCACAATACATATTACACAGTTTAAATATATAATAAGTTCATATTATTTATCAAATCAACGATTTTTTTATTTTATGCCTAATTACAATTGGTAGGTAACACTTTTTAATATTAACATCTTGGTTCTCAGGAATGAAATTAGATAAGACTGTGAAAGTTCAAGACATGTACCTCCACACCCTATAATTTCTCTGTCTTATCTTACACTTCAATAATCATACAAAATAAGAGGCGTACGCCTGAAATAAGTAAGACAGATGTATCTACCCACCCCGACGAATTTTTATAAAGTATACTGGTGTCTTCTCTAAACGAGCATAGTTATCCTTCGTAGTGTGCGAACAAGTATATGTGTGTACATTAAACAGTAAACATTTGTTCTTCAAATTTCTCTATTAGGTAGATACTGTATGCCCGCGTACGTAGATACCTAACAATTTTCTGACCCTGTCTGTGGTAAGTAATTATAAAACAGCCCGGGAAAAAATAATTTCTATATTATACAAAAACATAGACTACTACAATTACCTACCTCGCAGAAAAGTATTGACTTTGAAGTACATTTACTTTTTCATTTGTTTTAGAAATAAATTGTTTCTGACATTAATATATTTAACTCCCGTCTCTAAAATAAAATAATGCAATCATATTTTAAAGTATTCAAAATTAGATATGTATGTCATCATATGACAGAGCAATATTTGTAACAATGAGGATGGATGGTGAACCAGACGCGTCTTCTGATACAGCAACCAATTGTAATTTGCCCTCTGCTTCTGAAACGTTATCGGATGTCAATCAAGCCAAACTAGATTCATTAGAGAAGAAAGCTGTTCATTTAAGGTCAATATTTGCTATACCTGTAGCTATTTAGATTGTGTTTTCGTCGCATAGTAGGTACCTAAGGTCGTTACATTTTAATACGTTATTTGAAATCAACACCTATTATTATTAGCTAGTTATCCGTTTACATATAACTGATGCCTAAATCATTAAATAATGACACAAAGTTATTTTAACATATTTTTACTACATTGACTTATTTCAGATTGGTTTTGGAAAAAGATTTTAAGGCCGCTGATATAAAATGGAGTTTGTTTGTAGCAGCTGCTTTCAGTTTTCGCTATGAAAGCTGCCTCAAACCATTCCCGCCATCCTTTATTAAAAATGGCGTTAAAGATATGGATACTTTGGTAATACATAATATTTTCTTTTCCATTCCTTTTGAATTTTGTCCACCTGCCCTATATAGGAGAAGTATCTACCTATTATTACATTTTGGGCTATTATCCTGCTGATTCCGTAGGACCGTCATCGATGGATGTTCGGATATGTGATAGCATTAGTTGAGGTACGCTTAGAGAGTTCTAGCAGTTCTAGCTTACGAGTTTCTAAGTTGAGTTAAGAGCTAGAATAGGTACATACAATATGTGAATAAGCTCAATCAAACTTCACTCCACCTAGTTCCTATGTATATTAACAAGAACTACATAATGAAATATGTAGAATAAATAATTCCTATGACGATAGATAACCGTCTTGAATATTGTTTTCAGCTCAGTATTATTACTGATGTACCAGCATTAGACCTAGTCTTACAACATTTAGACAACCTTGAAACTTTGGGTAATATTACTGATATAATAGATTTGTTATTCTATGTATTGGTGAGATTAAAAGAGCCCAGTTTGAAAAGTATTCCTACAGAAGCGGTATGTAAAAAATGATTTTATTAGTAAAGTTATTAGTTAGTAATATGATTATGTATTCATCATAACTATACATATAACATTTTTTATTTTATTTTGTAGAATCCGATTCTTATGTTCTTATTTCATAAATTTATTTTTCAGTACGATAGTATTATAACAAATGCACGCGGTGATGTATCTGCCTCGCGACCTCAGTACATCTTTCAAGTAAACAGCTCGTGCAAGTCCACCATAGAAAATAAATGGAAAGCATGTGCAAAAAATCATGACACATTTTTTGCGTTCCATGGCAATCGTTTAGAAAATTTTTACACTATATTGAATTTTGGATTGCAGCAACATTTGAATAAGGTAATTTAATTGCCTCCAAATATTATGATACTAATATATCATGGTGTAACATCTACGAATACCTGTGTACTTTTAGTTGAGCTTGATATTTTTGTATGTAAGTGGTAATCATGGTAATCATCGTCTATATGCATTAACAGCAATACGAACATCACGTTATCATGTGACGCCCCTGTTCCTCAGGCGTTGCCATTTTAGAGAACTAAGATTTCATTACTGATTATCTCAATCTTCAATCACAACAAGTTGCTTGGCGAATAAGGTAGATGAAACTGAGGTGCCCAAAAAGAAGATATTTTGCAAAAACGACTTCGTAAAAATATGTTCATATACAGAATACGTTGCTGGGTAAAGGAGTTTATTTATCACCGGAATTAAATACGTCGCTACCCTTTAGCCACGGAGGCTTTGGATGGGGTGCAAGTTGCATTGGTGGCCACTTGTCATGTATAGCAATGTGCGAAGTAATTGACGCTCCTGAAGGAATCAATTACCAAAAACCCGTATCAAAAGAAGGTAAAATAAAAGCTTGCCCAATATGCTAGTTACAATACGGAAGGAAATAAACGAAAATATAAATGAACAGGAATTTATTAAAGTACTTAATGATTGTGACTAATTTCTTTAATAAATCCTATTTATTTACGTTTCTGTTTATTTACTGTTTTTGCCTATTAATATATTAGTCTAATATTCTACAAACTGAATGATTAGAAATGAGCCAATAAAGTTAAGATAGATGTAGAGAGCGGAACTTGTCTATATAATATAGTAAAACGGCTAGTGCCCACTGATCTAAGATACGACATGTGGAATATATTTCCTCATGTATTATTTGATAATGTCGTTTGTATGTTAGATAACATGTAGATTTATAAATCGCTTGTAAGTTGGGCTGTTAAAATGTACTTTAATTTCATTTTTTTATTATCTCCTATCTTCTGTTACTCCTGAAAAATATTACAAAGAGAAAAGGTACAAAGAATCGAAAAAAGCAAAACGTTCAATAATGTAGGGATAATATTGAAAAAACGAAATGAATAATAATATACTTTATAATATCAATAGCGCTTCCTAGTGTTAGTTAACATGAACTAGTAAATGAGTTTTCAACAAAGACGTAAATCGATATTTTACTCACTTTTCACTGCGTGTGTAATTTTATATGAGTATCATAATTTTCTGTTATTAACTTTGGGTTTATTAACTCTGTTTTATGTATTGAAAAATTATGTTATTACTAGCTATACCCGCTATTTCACCCGCGGTAAATTTCGATAAAAATACGTACGCCTATGTGTTATTCTGATGCATAAGCTATATAGTATGTATATATACTTTAGAGTATATAAATTTAAGGTAAGAATATACAAATCCATGTAAAGTATAATGCATGATTAAGAATATGTAATTAGTGTTTAATTTTTTTACTAGTAGCTAGTTCTGATTTATTTTTATTCCTAGTAAGGTCACAAATAGTAGGTAATAATTGTAACTACCCAAAAATCATCAAAATCATAATTTTTGCGTGATAGCGTAACAAACATTCATACTTACAAACTTTCGCGTTTATAATATTAATAAGATAAGTAATATATAACCTATATGTTTCTTATGCCGTATCCCGTACCATAGTTGTATAATAGTAGGTATGCCTACACTCATATTTTTTACGGATGATATTGGAATGATGCACTGGACTGCGATAACGGTTTACGCCGACGGGGCACCAGTAAAAAATGGCATGATTATGATGAAGTCAAGCCAGTTAGTTCATCGTAATGAATTCACCGGTAATAAATCATGATGATTTAATAACAATCTCCTCCCCCTCTACTATAGCAATGTTTGTGCCTATAATATACGCTTACTACAGGTGACGGCATATACGAGGACCAAAAAAACAAACTATTAGATGAAGGGGTTAATGGAGCAAGTACTACGCAATATATTGTTACGAATTGTGATTTAGTAAGGGTTCGTTATCTGCTAATATATGCCAAACCACCTGCATCTATGAGATTCCCTACCACAAGTTCAAATCGAAATGGTATGTTTACTGTACAACAATTTTATACAATAGTATTGTGAGTATAGTCCATAGCTACGTACGATAATCAATACTTCCGAAGTTCTGAAACAAGGGATTTATACTAATTTATCAAAACAAAAACTTTGGTAATTATTTTTGTAACCAGTGCCTACTTTTATTACATTTTGGAAATGGAATAATCACCCGCTTGCGCTAATGTCGCTAATCTATACAGAGACGGGGCATCTGTAGAGGATCTATTAATTCATTGTGGTGATTTCATTAGAAATTTACCACAATCGATTCAGGGAGGTAGAGTGAAGTGGGTGACGCGAAAATCGATTTTATTGTTGTCAAAAATTATTTTTTGCACATGTTCCAGCCGGCAGTCTCAGGCAATGGTTGTCAAGACACAAGTTATTTTCAATATTACTTGGATATGGTTTAATGCTGGCGACTATTGGTTTTGCAAATAATCAACCCGTTCATTACTATTATAAAATATTGCTGAAGAAATTAGATTTTGCATACAGTAACGTCAAAGTGTAATGTAGTTTTTGTAACCGATTATGTTAAAAACATTCTATACAATTTATCTGAAATTTTATGTTTTGTAAAAGTAAATTTAATTGGTTTAAATATATGTTATGAAATTTTCAAATTTTTATGACTGAAGTAATTACATCATGTTTTTAATCAAAAATATTTGTCATGTGGAATCCGTTGATTTTAGAACAATAGTCCCCATGGTTACGGTGCTCTCGTCATGGACTAGAGCGTAATCATTGTACGATCTAATTTTTATTGTGTCGAATGTTCATCGAAATATAATGGAAAAGCACCAGTTTCAACTCATAATAGTTCTGCGTACTAGTGTCGTGTGTTGTGAATTTTCTCTTAGTGAACGAAAATCTATACGATTTAAGAAACTCCTATGTATTTAAAATAATTTAGAACATGGGTTTTATAATAATTACACATGAAACTAGTATTCCATATTTAATAAAAAATATTATTATAGTATGGTGGACTTTAATTATAACATACGTATTAACTCAAGATCCTGTCGCAATTGTACCACAAGGCCGAATTGTTGGGGTAAGAATGTCTATGACTATCTTGTTATAAAAAATATAATAATAATAAATAACCCTGGACAATTAACACAGCGCCATCAAGTCCCACAGTAAGCAGAGCTTGTCTTAAGGATACTAAACAACTGATATAAATAGTTAGATAATTTTGTAAATACATACATAATATACATAGATAACACCCAGACCGATATAAACAATCCTACTCAGGAATACAAATTCTTACACCGTGCGAAGAATCGAACCCGCAACCATCGGAAGTAAAGCAGTGTGCTAAATCGCTAGACCTCCGAGGTCGTCAAATATAAGTACAACTAGGTACTTGAAACATAATATTTTCAGATTAAGGTATACGCAGAAGGTGCGGTGGCACCTGTTGAAATATTTTTTGGAGTCCCATATGCCACTGCGCCTACAGGGAGGTACCGGTTTTCTGTAAGTCTACGATAATATTACTCAGAAAATCATATAAAGTAATAAAAATAATAATGTTAATAATTGTGACATTGTACTTGTAGGCTCCAGAGCGACATAATGGGTGGAGAAGAACATTTTTTGCACATCGTATTCCTCCACATTGTCCTCAATTTGGTGATAATGAAAATGATAACTATAGCGAAGACTGTCTTTTCTTAAATATATGGACACCACGGGTTAGACTATTTATTATTAACTATTAAATACTACTCAAATTGCTGATATGAAATTTTTACACATTGCCACCATTGTATCATAATGCAGAACCAGCTCAGCTCAACAGCTGATATAGAGAAGTGGTAACTTCTTTCTATCAGCCGTTTATCCAATTTCTCTATTTTTAACACAATATCATATACCACACTGTCCATTATTTTATTTTTCATTTTGTTATAACTAAATAACCATAAATAATTGATTGCTGGCTATGATTCTAGAATAAAATATTTTCAGGTAGCGTGTAGATGGCAAGTCCCTGCCCGTAGTAGTTATATTATATAGCGAATCATGGATAAAAGGAGGAATCGCATTGCCTTGTCAAGAACTAGCAGCAGAGGGCTTTGTCGTCGTTACGGTTGCTTATCGGTTACATTTATTAAGTTTCTTTACATTGGGGTCTAAATCAGCCCGCGGTAACCTCGCTCTTTTGGATCAGTATTTGGCTTTACTATGGATACACGACAACATTGCAGCGTTCGGTGGTGACCCAACTGCGGTTACACTTCTTGGACATTCCGCTGGTGCCGACAGTGTTCTCCATCATATTGCTTCTCCTCGTACACTAGGTAAATATTATTTTATCTAAAACAAATGTTTATATTACGTCGTTTTATTTCAATGACAATTCTAAGAGTCTGTATAAAAAAAACTGTTAGGAATATTTGGGAGTTTATTTAAATATTATATTAAATATATTGTTACGTAATCCTAAAATAAAGCAGTACCAATTCGGTGATATCTGTACTCATCTACCTATAGTCCGCGAGCTAGAAGCTAATTTCGCCAACATTTTCCCCTCGGCCGAAATTTTCGAAACGATTAAGGTAGTTGTATAATAAAGTCTAATGCAAGTTAACTGAGATTTCGAGGGTGGGTCAAAAACATTTCTTACATATAAAATAGACCTTACGCTTTAACATTAATTTAAATTCTTATTTACGAATTTTAATGGGTTGTTTTATAATCACTAGATGGCGTTATTATAATCATTTAACAAAATTTTAAAGGTTTTTTCATTTTTCATAGATATACGTATATCTAAACCTTTATAATTTTGATTTGCAAAGAATCTAGGATTACCATAAAATCTTCTACATCTATTTATGTATGAATTAAATACTTTATTTAATTTTCAACAGGTTTGTTTAAAAGAGCTATAATAATGTCGCCACGAGATCCTTGGAAAATAGTGGACGAAGGATATAACTTAGATGCTAAAGACGCTATACGAATATCTCGAGAATTAGCACATCGCTTGGGATGTGCTAGTACTATAGATCAAGAAATATTAAATTGTATGCGAACTCTTTCCATAATGGACATTATGACTCTATATTCTGTAAGTTTTATACTATTTATATATTATCATGTACCCTACTTATTTTGTTTACAAAATGTAAAATGTTCCATATTATTATTTATTAACATTATTAGAATTCCAGTTGGAGCAAATATATGCAACCAGTATCTGATCACTTCTTGCCAGAATCTGAACAATATTTACCGACGTCACTGCCAGCAGCTCTGTCGGGTGTTAAACAGTCCATCATGGAACTCGACCTACTTTTGGGAGCTACTGACCTTGAGTTTATAAACTATAATGGTTTGTATTGCGTGGCCGGTGAAAATTTTATCGAGGTTATAGATTGGTAAATTGAAAACGTAACTAATCTAACTATGTATCTGCGCTATTCTATTGCAGATGAAAATTATGGACAACTATTACGATTAAACACATCGCAAATATCTAACTACATAGATGAATATGCTATACCGGATATATTACGGAGATTTTCATTACATCAAACGGAAGCAATACCGATGGTATAATTTTAAATGTATCTATTTATAATAACATGTTATCTATTAGCATTGAAGTCACTTTTATGTACTATGCGATGCATCGTATTTGTAAATAATACGTTTTTTGTTTATTAGAATACCTACTCTAATAAACAAAAAACGACCTATAGGTACCTACCTAAGTACAGTTCATTTTTATTTTTTGTTTTAATACGTGCTTTGTTATATATGTGCGTTTGATTAAATGATATGTATTTACAGTAAGTGAAATGACAAAACCCTGTTTAGGAACATGATTATTATTATGAATACTATGGCACCTGTGGTTGAAAGTCCCTATCTACCACATAGACATGATGGATGAGGACCCTACCTGAGGATTAATAAGACTGATCTGATTTGATTAAAGTTCAAATCAAAATTATAGCACTGTTTCTGCCCGTATATACTTACTATTTAATAATAGTGCAGTAATTAAAATTATTAGTATTTATTAAATAATAGGGAAATAATTGACTTTTAGTTGACACACGCAATTCGTTGGGAATATTGGGAAAAGAACATTAAAAAAGAGATTGCAATGGATTCTCATAAAGCGATAGAAAGTTTAGCTCGAATAGAGACTTCATCTAAATGGGACGCAGGAAATGCATTGATCGCCGCAAGACTAGCTCGACGCGTATCACGCCTCTACGCATACCGATATTCACAACCGTCGGACATTGATATGCAAGGTCGGCAACTGAATTTCACAGGTACACTTTATCCTATAAACCGCAGTGTAAGATGGTCCATGGTGATGGTACCTAATTAATGTAATAACACTATTTATTTAATTTCCTTCAGGTGCTATCTATGGCGCAGATTTAATTACGCTTTTAGGTGATGCTTTAATGCTCCAAATAGGTCGTCGCCGTAGTACATCAGACGAAAAACGAATCTCGTCAATATTTCGACAATACATTGGAAACTTCATTAAATATGGGTAAGGCTAATTATAACCGGCAATAAAAAAAATAAAAAACAATAATATTTTTTTACTACGTGTAACTATTTTTACCGCTGACAGACAATTTGAATATTACAAATATTAACCCTATACAGCAAAGCAAAATTACATAAATGAATTTATATATAGATCTCCAGGAATAGAAAACGAATGGAAACGTTACAAAGTCGGTGATGCACAGATTTACGACATACATCAAATTGACAAATACAACGCTAATAAAGATGGGATCTTCTGGTTGCAATATTTGCCACAACTTTATAATCTTCGCTCGATCTCTGAACACACAGAACAGTTAACATCAGAAAGAGGTTTGTAAGAAACATAATAACGCACATACATAAGTATATCTACATAGCGTTTGCATGCCTGGACCGATCAGCCAATTCTTTTTTTGTTGCTTGTTTGTTATTATCAGAAGGTTTTTATGAGAAAAAAACTAAAGAAAGTTGCGCGGACTATAGAAAAGTTAATATTGTCGTTAAGTTTTCTTTAATGTTTGACTACTGTATAGATAGATACCCAGAGTCAATATTCATAGTTAGAACAGGGCAAGGTCTGTCGAGTCAACTAACTAACATTTGGGAGTCAATATTATCCAGGAGTAGCATAATTAGGTGCTTATCCTTTCTGTTACTACAAAACGAGGATTACGAAACTTTGTTGTAATTTGTACATTATTTTAAATTTTTACATAAGTTTGCCGAAATACAATACCTAATATATAATTTAGAATGCGTAGTTGAACGTACATACCCACTTACTTAAAATAAATCATGTCATACATATATATAAATATAAATATATATATATATATATAATATCTGTAAATTCTTTGCTTTTTAGGTGAAACCAGATTGCGTGGAGGTGTCTTCGCTATGTGTGGCGTTTCCGTGGTCTTGCTTATATTATTATGCGTGTGTGTCATTTTATTGCGGAAGGAACGTATACAACATTCTTCCATTAATGATGAATGACGAAACCCATCGTTGATCAGCAATATTTTATTTCAATTATTCTTATAGCATATTCCTATTTACTGTACAAATAAAAAGCCGAATATCTAAATTTTTTTTATAAGTATCCATTTCTATACTTTATATTTTTATATACATATTTCCAATCAAAAGGTACTAATTACAATAATTTACAGTATTTACAAAACCATTTTAAAAACTTTATGAAAACTCAGATCTTCATGTTTCTTTTCATTACAACAGAACTTTGTACAAAATTTTAAAAAGACGGAACCTGTTACCTTCTGAGTAACAATCGATTATTAATAATGATATCAATAAAAACAATCGACTAATTATTAACAATTAATCTTTAATACATATAATCGATTTAAAAATCCTTTTTTCTTAGACAGCAGGCGTTCTTGTTGATTTTAAATAACTAGATGTTGTGTAAACAAGTTCATGAATACAAAAAGCTTTGTATTAATTAACAGTCTGCCTGTTCTCAAATATTTGAATTTAACAAACAATTATTTTAAATAAGGCTGTGTAATAAATAGTAGTCTCTCGCCTCTAAGGAGAGACTCGTCATTAGCAGTAGAACAATAATGATAAAAAAATATTTTTCACATTCACATCCGACTTATTTTTGAAAGAAATGTACTGAAGTTGTAATATTTACTTTAAATTCCTGTCAGTAACTATTTAGAAAATCATCATCATTACCTTATTTTATTGTTTATTTTATCCCATTAAATGCGGTAGGCGCAGTATGTCATTCTTTTCCACTGATCTCTATCGGCCGTTAAATACATCATACATCAAATTCTTAATTTATGAAACTCAGTTTTTTCATATATTGCCTGTAACAGTATTATAACATGCGCTGCTCATGATGCGGATGTATGTATATATGTAGGATGATAGAACCTACAAAACTGTCTGGAAATTTAAGAAACACAGTCTAATAGTTCTCTCAATAATATATATAAATTTCGGCTTTATTAAAATAACGTAAGTTTATTTATAAAATAATATATTTAGGGGGGTCCGGCGGGGGGTTGGAACCATACTAAGTGTCTGGCAATGAGCAGCACATGTTATAATACTGTTACGATCAATATGTGAAAAAATGGAGCATCTTAAAATAACGAATTTGATATGAAATTGTATACACCGTTGTTACCCAATATACGGTTTAAATGAGTCTAGTAGGATGAAGAACCAAGAAAACTCTCTGGCAATTTAGAAAACTCAGTTTAATTGTTCTCTCAATAATATATATAAAGTTCAGCTTTATTAAAATGACGTAAGTTTATTTATGAAATAGTATAGTTGGGGGGGGGGGGGGGGGGGGCCGGCGGGGTGTTGGAACCACACTAAGGGTCTGGCAATGAGCAGAGCAAGTTATAATACTGTTACGAGTAATATGTGAAAAAATGGAGCATCTTAAAATAACGAATTTGATATGAAATTGTACACACCGTTGTTACCCAATATACGGTTTCAATGAGTCTGGTAGGATAAGGAACCAAGAAAACTGTCTGGCAATTTAGGAAACTCAGTTTAATAGTTCTCTTAATAATATATATAAAGTTCAGCTTTATTAAAATTACGTAAGTTTATAAAATAGTATAGTTTAGGGGGTCCGGCGGGGTATTGGAACCACACTAAGGGTCTGACAATGAGCAGAGCAGGTGTTAATACTGTTTGTGAAAAAATGGAGCATCTTAAAATAACGAATTTGATATGAAATTCACCGTTGTTGTGAAGGATGGAGATCAAGATGACGAGCAAAAAGTAAAACGGCACCGTTGTAGTTGTAGAATATTTTTTGTATTAAATTGACTTATGTCATATAAAAACAATATAATATTATAAAAAAACATAAACAATAAAAAAGATATAAAAATAGTTTGCAACATCGTCCCACCCGTGTAGCACTTTGCTACACAATTGTGTCTTCGTGCAATAGGGCCAGTTTGCGCACGGGTCTCCTCAGCATGCCCCCTTTGGTGGCCACATCTGCTACTCGCACGACTCCATCTTTGCCTGGGAAGACCCTGGTTACTCTTCCCATAGGCCATACTCCTCATGGTAAATCAGGATCGACTAGTAAGACGATGTCGTCAACTTTAAAATTCTTGAACACGCCTCCTTGCTGTTTTTTAGGTTTTAGAGTCGGTAAATACTCTCTAAGCCAACGGTTCCAGAAGTGTTCGGATAGGCAAAGTGATTTTTGCCACTCCTTCCTTAATGAAAATACTCCATCATCTAGCCTCAAGGGTAATTGTTGATTGGATGAAGTACCGATTAAAAAATGAAACGGCGGAAGGCTCTGACATTCTTCGTTTTGTGTGACGTATGTTAAAGGCCTGGAATTGACTAGAGCCTCCGCTTCTAACAAGAAAGTATGAAGAACTTCCTCTTTTGGTGCTCTCTCCTTTAAAGTTGTCAGGAGATCGTTTTTGACAGTCCGTACTAAACGCTCCCAGCAACGGCGATGCAGGTAGTATGAATTTCCATTCACAATGGTTAGCGGCAGCGAAGTCTTGTACGGACTGGTTATGGAACTCGGCTAATTGGCGATTCGCTACCACAAAGGACGTTCCATTATCAGATGTCATTATTTTCGGTACTCCTCTGCGTGCTATAAAGCGACTTAAACTGGCAATGGCAGAATCAGATGACAGATTAGCGACGATTTCCAGATGAACGAGTGTCATACATGTAAATAAGGCAATCCAGCGTTTCTCTCTGCGGCGACCAATTGTGACTTCCACCGGACCGAAGTAGTCTAAACCGACGTTTGTAAAAGGACGTGAATGGTGATCAAAACGCATTTCTGGTAGGTTATCTGTTGGAGGAATCTGAGGGTTAGCCTTGCGTTTCACACAAAACATGCATCTTTTGGCGATCGAACGGACTTCACTGCGGCAACGAAAAATCCAGAACCGTTGTTTTAACTCGTTGCAAACCAACTCGTTGAAAGTGTGGGCGGCTTTGACATGGTAGTGACGAATAAGAAGACGTACAGCTGGATGACGACCATCGAGTATAATAGGGGATACAACGTCACAATCAACGTTTTTTAGGCGCTTGATATGGCTATCCAACCTGAGATCCTCTTCGTCAAGTACAGGAGACAAAGAAAATAGTTTGCTCGATTTAGGCAGAGGTTTGGAGGTCGATCTTGTTTGGAACACAAACTGTCTAACTTCGAAATACCCATAGCATCTAAACGAAAATAATCTTTAATGAGATCCTCAATAACTAAATCACTACGACTGCTATCGTTGAAAACGGTGTAATTTATAAAATTAATTGGTTTAGTCCACCTAGTTGACTTACCATACAAAACCCAACCTAAAGCAGTACTGCAGTACCCAACCTAAAACAGCAGCTAATGGTTGGTTCTTAGAACCTTCCCTAACTTCACGACTTACTGTCAAATACCAGAGTTCAGCACCAATAAGAATTTTAGGAGTTGCATCTACAAGTGTAAGTTCACTGCTCAAATCTCGAAGATGACCGTGTTGTAATATATCGTTTCGATTGACAGTTTGGGTGAACAATGAAAGTGAGTCGATAGCTTTGGCGTTAGTGACAGAAAACATCTTAGAACAGTTTTTACCTTTTATTGAAAAACTTACATGCTGGACATGGTTATATGTAGACATTCCGGCGACGCCGTCAACCTTAATTGAATCCTTTGGCCCTGTGACACCTCAGAATCGATTAAAGTCGCCGTTGAACCGTCATCAAGTAAGGCGTATGTAGCATATTTTCCGTTAGGCCCGCTTACTTCTACCGGAACGATTTTTAAAAATATTTGATTATGTTGCAATGTGCTGCTGTTGTGAGAATAAGTGTTAGTAACCATGACGTTACTTTTCTGATCAGTTATAGGCAATTAAACTACTGTGGTTTAAAAAAGAGTTAGCATCTAAAAAGTTTGAAAAAGCAAGAGCCAATCTGTTTCTTCTTATTCTTTTGAGGCTGCCATTCACAACATTATAAATCCTATTTGTATGTAAAAACCGACCAAATGCGATGGGGTGTAATGTTACATTATCTGTAGGATTTGTTTCATTTTTTAACATGAACTACAAAAGGTGCTACATCTTCAGTATTGTACAAAGTCCTATTTACAGAAGTGGATGAAAGAGTGTTTTTTTTTTGGATGTATTATTTGTTGGACATAAAACTCCTTTGTTATATTGACATATATTATTTGTATATAAAAAGAGAAAACATAAAATATAAATAAAAAAGACGACTGCGAATAAAATGGTGTTTCCTTATTTGCCCTCTGTTGTGTTGTGTGTTTCCCGCGCTTTTCGAGTTATGATGACTTATGTGTATATTTGTTAAGATGGGCTAAAAAGGACTTGTATCCAGAGCCGTAAAACATATTAATAAAAAAACGTTATAGTCATAGACATTCTAGAGTTAAGGTCTAGCCTTAGTGATCTGTGGTATTACTGATTTGTAAATGCGTTTTTGTAGTGTCCTGTGGTATTGAAAGCGCCATTTGGTATATTTACTTTACTCTTTGGATAGTGCATTCAAAGAGTAAACGCATTCTATTTTGTTTTATTTATTATTATATTGATGAATAAGTTAATGAATCTTCAAGTAAAATACTACGCAGTACAACAATTTTATTATTGTCTAATTCAATTACCAGCATACTTTAATACTTTCTCAAAAAAAAAAATTGTATACAGATTTTTTCTAAACAAGAACAATGGCATTAGCTCTTCAGAGACGCGCAAATGTAAGTACTACTTGTATAAAATACACACTTGAAACTAATTGTGGACAATAGTATACCTTAGCTTGTGATTTTAGTTTGGTATTACAATGTTTGCAGTTGACCAACTCTTTACAAGAGAAACAGTCAAGGGAACATTGCTTTACTAGATACTGCATTTATGATAAACCTATTGGTGCAATACCTATAATTCTCAATCTTATTTGTCATGAATACCTCTCCTGTACACTACTAATCCTATCAACAGAATGGATAGCATTTCACTAGACATTATAAAATTGTGCAATGTGATGTATTATATATTGAAATACACAAAATAATTATTATAGTATGTTTTAAAATTGGACCAACTGAGAGCAAAAATTATTATACTGTTTTATATTTTGCAATACAATCACAATTACATTTTCACTATTTTAAGTTTCAATACTGGGTACTGCAATACAAATGACGAACAATATGATCTGATAAGTAAATTTTAAACATGGAATTTAATCTCTACAATATATATTTTTAATGATTCCTAGGTGCGTCTACCACCAGAAGTGAATAGAATTTTGTATGTACGAAACCTGCCATACAAAATATCAGCAGAAGAAATGTATGATATATTTGGAAAATATGGAGCTATAAGACAGATTCGAGTGTAAGTGTTATTTTTAATCAACTTGTACCAGGTTTAACATTGGTTATTCTATTCTATTTGCATTTAATTTTTTTTTATTTTATTTGAGAGAAATAGTCTAATTGTTTTAATTCCTCTGCTATATTTGAAATGCACATTCAACTAAGATGTATTTTTAATAAAGAGCAGTAGTCACTTAGTAAATTAAAATAATAACAGATGATAGAGGCTATGACTCTGTCTGTCTGTAGAATGCATATAAAATCTATATTATAAAGTAAATTCTACAACACAGACAGATCAAAACATTAGATACCTCTTTGATTTTATTATATCACTAGTTGATACCCACTGAATTGGATCAGTCTTGTAATATAACTATTACAACATTATTTTCATACATTCATCATTTACTAGAAATGTTCTTTTGGTGAAATATAGTGAAAAGTTATTTGTTCCTCTTATATATATAAATCTCATAAATTAATGTTTCCATGATTTATCCATGTTCTATATTGATTACTTATATTTCAGAGGTAATACCCCAGAAACAAGAGGGACAGCATTTGTTGTTTACGAAGATATATTTGATGCAAAAAATGCATGTGACCATTTATCTGGTTTCAATGTTTGTAATAGATATTTAGTTGTTTTATACTACAGATCCAATAAAGCTTTCAAGGGAATTGATATTGAAAAGAAACAAGAAGAAATAGACACATTGAAAAAGAAATATGGTATATCCACTGATGATCTCCGCAAATAGGTTAATATAAAGTTTTAAGAAATAAAACATCTTTTACTATGCACAACCTGAACCTGCATAAAATAATCTGTTACTGCTGAGTTAAGTGAGTGAGCACTCGAAAAGTTTTGTTTGCCAAATAGGTTTTTGTTATAGTTAGATATTTGAGTACTAGCTACCCACCCCGGCTTCACACGGGTGTAGATGTTTGGATTACATACATATAACCTTCCTTTTGAATCACTCAATCTATTAAAAAAACCGCTTCAAACTGCTTTAATGGATTTTAAAGTAGTTTTTTTTTAACATTTAAGCATACTTAGGGACAGACAGCGACTTTGTTTTATACTATGTAATAGTTATGATATGAAATATGTGGGCTTACGGATTTTTTTTATTTGGTGAGTCAGTGAGTCGAGAATGGAGCCACTCGGTGTGATGGGCATTAAAGTCTTCTAGTATCTCTAAACTCGAGGGCAAAAAATAAAAAGACTTTTAATGTAGAAATATTATATAATAATAAAGACTAGGGTCATTAGGAGTCACTTGAACATGGCTCATTTGACCCCGAGTTTTTTGGCTCAAATGACCCCTTACCAGAATTACACTTAATATGTTAAATAACTAAATATCGATTGTAAATAATATATTTTTAAAATATAAGCATTAACATTAACTATGTTGACATCAAAATACACTTACTTGATAGCCGTATGATGAAATTCGGAATTTTTAAACCAAAATTTAGTGAAACAATGTTTTTTTACTTTAAGGGCCAAACTAGCAACTTTACGCTCGTACACTTAAACCAAACAGCGACCGACAATTAAAGCAACAGTAGTTTGGGTATCGCACCCCTCTGCTTCCTCTAATATCAACCGCTCGTAGATATCATGCACCATGTGTGAGATACTATAGGTGGCGCACTAGACCCCGTGTCTCAACAGACCCCGCTCTGCCCTACTGTGACGTAATTTATAAATACGTTTCGGTATCTTTGATAAATGTTCTACATCTATTGTTACGACTTGCCTACTAAATTTACAACATCAGCTAAATTGTCATTTTGGTGTCGAAAACATAGAAGTATATATATACCTATGTGGGTCTATTATGCGAAGAATACAGATGAGTGTCCACGTTCCTTATAGCATATATAGTATGCACCTATAGAAAGGAATGGTGAACTAACGGTTTATGCTGTCGTGGCGCCAGTGGAGGACGATAGATTAGCATGAGGTCAGGTCAGTTGGCCCATCATGGTAAATTCACCATATTTTTTTTCAGGATGGTTTCCAGGGGGAACTACGTAGAGGTTAATCTGACATTTTATATTGCTAGCAATTGGGATATTAGTGTACATTACTAACAATCTCCTTTTCTCACTTTACAGTAATCTTGGCGCTACCAATACCGTCTTACATTGTGTTGGGTAGTTGTATTATTTGACAATGTAATTACTTTACTTCCAAAATACGAGAACCGATTTCAATCAAATGTTTTAAATAAAGTTTCTGGATTATATTTATTCTTTATTATGTGCTTACAAGAAATAACGTTATATACTGTATATATAGTATTTAGAAAGTAATGTTTTAGAAAAACTAAACTATGAGTGTACATTGATTAAACTTTCACATGGAATTGAAATACTAATTAGGTACATGCAATCGATGTTATTTGATACTATCTGAAGGTGTCAGTACAATAGTTTTTAAATATTACTTACAGACGTATTACAAGTTAATGACTTCAAAAATCTGATACTTAATAATTTTGTTAAAACATGATGTTCTTTATATACTTTATTAAATATAGAATGGAATAGAAAATCTTTTCTTAATCACAACCTTTACTGTAATATAGAGTAGATATATCACAGGAAAGTTTGAATATAGATTTATATAGAGTTTCGACACGAGTGTAATTACTATTTTTGTTTAGATACTTTGGTAAGTTTTATCACAATGGAAAACTGCAATCACTAGTTAGCTCAATATAATAAAATATTTTTTATTATTCTGGTTAATGTTTTTTTATAATCACATAGGTAATAGCGACAATGACAACAATTACGGAACTCCAAGAAGAGGCACCTCGAATAGATTACGTTAAAAACTTAATAAAGTAAGTTATTATGAAATTGAATTCAAGTTATCGCGCTTTCTATGCACCTTGTTTGAAGGATGTTATAATGAAAAGAATCAACTAGTCCTAATCTATATTATTGAGAAAGGTACTTACACACTTTACATAGTACATCAACAGTATATCAGTTTGTAACTGTTATATCACTATTGCTATAAATATAATAACATAACAAGAAACCTACGGACATATACTTATTTTTGTGATTTATTATTTTTTAAATAACCAACGAAAATAAGCAATATAATAAATAGAACAATATAAAATGGATAACATTTATGAAGCAGATGATTCAAGACGTGCTCTGCCTTCGGCGACTAATTGTTTGTTGAGATATATATCCTCATCTGTGGAAGTATCTATAAGGTCAAGAGTAAGTAATGGCTCTGTGGCATTTAAAGGATCTTTGCCAACATCCTTACAGATACCTACAAATTGTTGCTCAACACATAATTCTTGGAATCTAATACAGTCTTCTACAGCCCAATCATGATGGAGAGGCGACACATCTGAAATATATTATATTTTAATAAATTATGTATTCAGAGATTTTATTTCCAGGGAAACTTCTACAATTGTGATAATGTTAACATTATCACAATTGTAATTACAATAGTAGTTCATAAAGAACACATGAATAATATTTTTAATTTGATTTATCGAACTGTCCATAATTTCTATGGTTAGGAACAATATATTATATTCGAATATTCTAGACAATAATATAGTAAACTTACCATAAAGTCGTGCTTTAATGGCTTGGGGTGGTAACGACCGCGCTAGAGGAGCCCCCGCAGGCACCGGTCGTAATGCTTTATTTGGAAACAAATCCAGATCTCCATAATCACAGAAATAAACAGTCACCATTTCAGGCGACACTGTACCAGCTATCGTCACTCTGCAAAAGCATAATAATGTACATAAATTCCCGGGTACAGCTAGTATATATATATATATATATATATATATACTAGCTGTACCCGCGACTTCGTCGGCGTGGAATTATACTTAAATAAAAATAGCCTAAGTTACTACTTATTACATTAGCTACATGCCAAAAAAAGTCCCGTCAAAATCGGCCCAGCCACTTTAGAGATTAGCCGGAACAACAGACAGACAGACAGACAACAATTTAAAAAAATATTATTTTGGTGTATGTACCGTATTTATATTCAATATTACAACCAGACACTCCAATTTTATTTATATGTATAGATGACGATACATCCATACAACCTTGCACCTACCTTTTCAACCACCTTCAACCCTTTATCACATTAAAAAGCAACCTATGTCCTTTCTCAGAATAGAATAGAATAGAAAATCATTTATTCAAATAAACTTAATTTAAACACTTTTGAATAGTCAACATTTATTTAGTTAGTGTTATTAATTTATATGGCAAAACAATGTTTGCCGGGACAGCGAGTAATTTATAAATTTCAATGTAAATTTGAATATTGAACACAAAGGTACCTAATTTATAATCATTATTTAAAGATAAAAAAAGAAAGCAATAAAAATGTAACAAAATATTTTGAATTAAGATAAGAAAAGATTAGAAGAACCGTTCGGTGTAATTGTAAAATATATAATCAATCATAAAAAATGGAAATCAATTTTTAAATAAAGTCGTCGAGACACATCCTATAACTACAGCCCGCTCGCGCAAATTGATCCCGCGCGACAGACAACTTTTGTGATATCACAGATAACATAATATTACATACAGATACCCCATCCCATACAAGAAAATGGTTCCTTCCTAACTCGGGCTATTCTTCGGGCTATTTTATTTCGCCACCGTAGCCGCTAGATGTCGCTAGATCTGAAGCAGTTCGGATTACTAGTGGGTGCTTAGTAACAAAGCATGAAAATAGATGGCAGTGAATTCAGTCTACATGACATCTGTTTTGCAAAGATATGTATATAATAGATATGTAGGTAACTGTATCGTGTACCTCATTAGGGACGATTCAAGATTCAATGTAAATGTGTAGGTATAATATCGTTAGCCGACACTCTGCAGATATGGCTTATGTGCCAATGTATATACCTATTGTGTTATGGTTTATTTTACATTCCATGCCTATTTTTTTTATATGTTGTAACGCGTCTGCGCTATACGTATAGCCTGATTTTGATACGTTTATACTCGTACGTATCAAAATCGGGCTATACGATTTTTTATTTCAATCGTTATATGTATGAGACTGATTTTAGCTACAATTAATTTACTGGTATATACCTCATGTATTCTACGATGTACCCCTCTTTTACCTAATGAGAATTCCGCTATATCTTATATATAAATTTTGTATCACAGTGTTAGTTGCCATATTTCTCCCACATTTTGATGAAATTTGATATGTATACTTCCCAGGTCTGAGGTAGGGTTGTTATCTATTTTTTATACCCCTAAGTCATAGGGGTGGCCTACCCCGAAAAAATATTTTTTTGTATTATGGACAATTTTTTATTTATTTATAATGTTACATTGAAAATACATACACGCCTAAATTTTCACCCGTCTTTCACCAACCGCTATTTTTAATAGCGATATTCTTACAAATATTATAAATGCTAAAGTAACTCAGTCTGTCTGTTTGTCTCGCTTTCACGCCAAAACTACTGAACTGATTTAATTGAAATTTGGTAGACAGATAATGTAGACCCTGAGAAAGGCTACTTTTTAATGCGAAAAAGTATTGAAAGGGGAAATGAAAGGCTATATGAGGATATCGTAATTTTTAAAGTCAGATCTTGTAAGATTAAGTGAACAGGGTCGGTCTAGGTTTTTCATTATTAGAAATGTGTAACGGGGTAACACGTTATTTAGTGCGAAATTGTGTATATTACAATAAAATTTAACGAGAAAATATTATAATGATATCACTGGGACACTCATTGCCTTACTACTATATCGTCCGTTAGTCGCGAACTTTCTGGAAACACGAGAGGCGCTATCCTATTGGTCGGTCGGCGCGGTTACCGCGCGTAGATGAGTAGATGAAGTACTTAGACGAGTCTCACGGCGCCGCAGCGTAAGTACTTACTATACATACGTAGTATACATATGGGTATTACAAATGTTTTTATTACTAGTAATATTACTCTGTTATCTAAGCAAGTAATGTGTGCTTATTTTGAACTTGATAACATTCTGAATTACTCGTATATCTTTCAATATCTTTAGCGGTATAAACCAGGTTATGTACTACTACTAGTATTGTTAGTGAGGGATAAAGTTGATGAACAAAAATAAAACAATATTCGTATTAAAAATATATTCATCTAATATTTTTGGCATTATTTTTAAGTTTCTTCCAAATATAAGGGGTCTGACATGGGGTGTTATGTACCTACATTAAAAAATACTTTTTGAAATGTATGAAAGAAACGTATTGTATGAAATTTTTGAAATGTGTGAAATGTATGCACCTACATTAAAAGATAATTTTTGAAATGTATGAAAGAAATGTATTGTATGAAATTTTTGAAATGTATGAAATGTAAGGACCTACATTAAAAGATAATTTTTGACATGTATGAAATGTATGAAAGAAATGTATGTACCTACATAAAAAGTTCATTTTTGAAATGTATGAAATGTATGAAAGAAATGTATGTACCTACATTAAAATATAATTTTTGAAATGTATGAGATGTATGAAAACAATGTATGTACCTACATAAAAAGTTCATTTTTGAAATGTATGAAATGTATGAAAGAAATGTATGTACCTACATTATAATATAATTTTTGAAATGTATGAAAGTAATGTATGTACCTACATTAAAATATAATTTTTGAAATGTATGAGATGTATGAAAGAAATGTATGTACCTACATAAAAAGTTCATTTTTGAAATGTATGAAATGTATGAAAGAAATGTATGTACATTAAAATATAATTTTTGAAATGTATGAGATGTATGAAAACAATGTATGTACCTACATAAAAAGTTCATTTTTGAAATGTATGAAATGTATGAAATAAATGTATGTACCTACATTAAAAGATATTTTTGACATGTATGAAATGTATGAAAGAAATGTATGTACCTACATTAAAAGATAATTTTTGACATGTATGAAATGTATGAAAGAAATGTTTGTACCTACATTAAAATATAATTTTTGAAATGTATGCACCGTACAATAACAATACACGTTAAACATCATACCACAGAGTCATACGCAAGTTAAAAACAAACTGCTATGATATTAATGAGAAAGGAAAATAAACTTTATGGTATTCGAGTTAGGGTCGATTTCTCTCTTTTTTTTAAAACTATTTTAATCTTACCAGTTGCCAGTATTCGAAGACAGCTACGATTCGTACTCGATATTTTAAATTATTATGTAATCGATTTTTCAGTACAAATGTAAATAACCAACGACACTAATAATGTACTACTATATTCCGTTCTTTGAAACGGAATACTGCTATACTTAATACAAAATAATGAAAATTTACTGTTCACAACGACTCATTAAAAGCATCATCGAATAATGCGCTGTAATAAAATCCTGTTATCGATTATTTAAAAAAATCGATAATACATGTATTTATTTTTAATATGACAACACTTCATACATAAGTATTATTGGAAATAGTATTATTTGCTTGTTCGGCTATTTTTAATTTACTTAAACTTTTTTTATATGTTTAATTTACAATAATAATATATTAAGTGCTTATTATTGGAAAATATAAAAAAGACATTTAATTAGGCCGATACAAATGACAACAATGCCATCTATGAAAGCATTTTGAAAACATTGAGCCCCGTATTAGCATTGATTAAAGTGTAATTAAGTACTGGAAAATAACAAAATGAGTAAATATATGAAAATTACTTTTCTAAACGCATTATTTCATTTTAACATGTATATATATTTTTTTAAAAATGGATTAAACTATTTTGAAAACACAGTTTTGTTTTTTAAAACGTTTGCAAAACTATGAAGAATTCCATCGATACCAATCACGCCATCTATATGCAACTTTTAGCAATAATAATGGCTATTTCCTCATTGAGTGCCACTGGTGATATTGATTCGCTGGTGGGAGACGTAGCGGGAGGCGCCTGACGCGGCGACATAACGGCCTAGCGGTAGCATGCGCGTGAGCTCCGCGCGGTATTATATTACAAAATTACTTTATTTTTCTATAAAATAAAAGATTTTCTAAAATAAAAGTAGCCTAAGTTACTCCCTATTACATCAGCTACCTGCCAAAAAAAGTCCCGTTAAAATCGGTTCAGCCGTTTGAGAGATTAGCCGGAACAAACAGAACGACAGACAGACAGACAAAAATTTTAAAAAGTGGTTTTTTAGTGTATTTTACGTATTTATATTCATATGCATGCAGTAAAAAACGGTTATTTCAATATTACAGACAGACACTCCAATTTTATTTATATGTATAGATATAGATGTATAGATGTACATATATATGTATAGATATACATATATATTAGTAATTTATTTAATGTATATATTCTACGTAATTTACGTGAGTTTATCACCTATTTCTTTATAAACCGCTGGGCTGATTTCGATGTAATTTTAATTATATATTATATTTCGACGGGTATCGGGATGGTTTGAAAACACAATTGATCCCGATAGGTGGTGCTGTTTTAAAAAAATAAAACAATTCAAAAATGGCTACAATAAGGAAATTATATGATATATATACAGAGTAGGTAAGTATAATAATAATATAATAATCTCAGGACAAATCACACAGCGCCATCTAGACCCAAGTTAAGCTACCTATAGCTTGTGTTATGGATACCAGATAACTGATACAAATACATAGATTTTTTTTTCGTAAATACATATATATTATACACAGAAAATACCCAGACCGATACAAACAATCGTACTCATGAATATAAATGTTTGTGCCGTGCGAGGAATCAAACCAGCAACCATCAGAAGTAAGTCAGTGTGCTAAACCGCTAGACCACCGAGGCCGTCAAAGTATGCAAGAATGAATATGTATAACTTGACCAACTTGAACTTTAATACTTTAATATATGCAGGGAATGGGGATTGTTAGTAATGTGGACCAATGATCCCGTTGATAGCAAAGTACCACCCTGGAAACCATCAAATTCACCAGGAATTCCTGGTGAATTTGTCATAATGGGCTAACTGAAACTAAACCCATGCTCACCCACCACTGATGCACCGCCATCATCATTAAAAAAAATACATTAATATACAACATTAGTAGGCTTACTCTTATAAAGATTTTCATGCCCAGCAGTATGTCAAAAGACACTCATATTAAATATAATCTACTAATATATAATTATAAAATTAGTCTGTATGTATTGACTTTTTTTTCTAATACCTTAATTAAGCGCTAATTTATATTTATGTGGAAAAAATATTTATATCTTTGCATGAAATGTGTGCATTGTTCACATTTCATGCAAAGATATAAATATTTCGTCGGCGAGTACGCTACGTTTTAATTATACAACTTACCTATACCATGACGCGTCCTTTTCATAAAAGACAGTATATAATTCTCCACTAGCTGGATTCACAGGAGCATCCAACTCGGACAATTTTGGGCATTCCACTTGCAAAGTTGCCATCATTGTTAGCAGTGTATGCCTAGTTCTATTTGGCTGGATCTATAAATCAGAAAAATAAAAAGAATATGAGCAGAAAGTAACATATTATACATAAATATAAATTTCTCTAAACTCCTGTGTTTTGCCGTTGACATGAATTTTTTTTCTAAAATTTCAAATATGTCTGATGTTGCAGCTCTTCGGTCTGATTTACAAAGGCTTGATAACTACTGTGTCACTAACAAGCTAGATTTGAACAGGTCGAAGTGTTTTTCGGTTACATTTACACGCAAACTTAACTCTATTCATAATAATTACACACTTAAGGGTCAAAAGCTAAAAAAAGTATCGCAGATAAATGATTCAGGAATAACACTCCACCAACTCCACCAACAATCTCAATACTTGTTCCCTCCCACTCGATACTTTAAACTTTCATTTCTCATCGACAACCACTATTGATGCAGCTGTCAAAGCCGACACATTAAACTATTTATCTTCCATGCCTACTCTATCATTGACACCTTTCGATTTTTCACCAATAACCGCTGAGGAAACAAGAAGGTTAGTGACTTCTATTAAATCTAAGGCAGTGGGTTTTGACGAAGTTAGCAGAGCCATGATTCTTCCAATCCTACACAATATCCTCCCCGTATTAACTCATATTTTAAATTTTTCCTTACAGTCCTCAGAATTTCCTGATATTTGGCATAAAGCATTTGTCCTTCCTCTTCCCAAAATTCCAAATCCCAAGTCTCCTTCTCAAGTACGTCCTATATCCATATTACCTTTTTTGTCCAAAGTCTTAGAGGGTGCCGTTTATAAGCAACTTTCGGATTTTGTTTACGCAAACAACTTTCTTAGTAACTTCCAGTCTGGATTTCGTCCCGGACATAGTACAACTTCGGCACTCATAAAAGTTACTGATGACATAAAGGATGGTATGGAGAATTCTCATGTAACTATACTTATTTTAATACACTTTTCTAATGCTTTTAACACTGTATACCATGGGATTCTCTTGTCCATTCTGAGTCACCTTGGTGTTTCCTCAGCAGTTAACAAATGGTTTGCTTCTTAACTTTGTGGTCGCCAACAGGCGGTTCGCACTGACCAAGGCACTTCTGTCTGGTCTGACCTGACCGCCGGCGTACCCCAAGGCGGTATTCTTTCCCCCCTGTTGTTTTCCATTTTCATTAATATGATTACACACCTTCTTCAATGCTCTTACCACTTGTATGCTGATGACCTACAGCTTTATACTCAATGTAATGTGTGCGACATTGATGATGGTATCGACAAGGTAAACTCCGATCTCCGGGTCATTTGTGACTGGTCGCATAAATTTGGGCTAAGTGTCAGGCTATTTTACTAGGTAGTTCGCGGCAGTTGGACAGGGTTGATCATGCCAGACTACAGAAAGTGGTATTTGGCTCCTCTGTTGTACCATATTCCAATCACGTAAAAAACCTTGGTCTTTACATTGACAGCAACCTTAATTGGAATCACCAGGTGAATGAGGTCAGCAGAAAAGTCATTGCTGCCTTACGGTCCTTATATAGATTTAAAAATTTTCTACCGGTCAGTACTAAATGTCTTTTGGTGCAGTCACTGATATTGCCTATAATTGACTACGGTGATGTTATCCGAATCTTAACCAAGACCTTCTAAATAAATGGATCGTTTACTCAATAATTGCATACGCTTCATATTCGGTCTTCGTAAGTATGACCATATCTCACACTTCCGCTCTGAGCTGAAATGGCTTCCTATCCGCCAGCGCAGGAGTGTTAGAATTCTCTGTCAACTCTTTTCTGTCCTATACGATCCACTAGCTCCTCGGTATCTCAAAGATAGATTTCTATTTCTAAGTTCATCACACTCTCGTGATCTTCGTTCATCTTCTAATCTCCTGCTGTATACTCCTTCTCATCGTTCTAACTTCTCATCCCAATCCTTCACTATTTCTGCTATTAATCTTTGGAATACACTTCCTGTTGGCCTCAGAAGATGTCAAACCAAATTTTCCTTAAAGAGATCCTTGCGTGAACACTACTCGAAATTCCTGTAGCAATATTCACACAAACCACTGTCTCAAGATATATGTCATGAAATCATATATATTGTATATTTATTATAGTTTAATATTATATTTAAATTGTATGATAATTATTAAGCTTATATATTTCACTTTATTTATGTAATTATATAATTTTAGAAGTATATTTGTAGATTTATATATATTTCTGTATTAATCTATTTAATACTTGTAAAATTGCACCGCCATACTATCTCTGATCAACGCGTCGGTTGACTGGTAGAGAATGCCATCAGGCATTAAGTCCGCCATGTATACAATTTTGTGTGCAAAAGAATAAATAAATAAATAAACACTCGATTCTAAATTAATATTAGACACACATATAAACAATATTGTTAATAATGCAATGCGCACCCTTGAATTTGTCATGCGTAACTCCAACTGCTTCGTATAAGCTAAAACTTTAAAAATACTTTACTGTACACTGGTGCGCAGTAAGTTGGAGTATGCATCTCAGATTTGGAACCCCAGATATAATACGTACATTGCACGTATCGAAAATGTGCAAAAAAAAATCTAGTTTCGAGGGTAAGTAACCCTCGAGAAACGCCGTGAGATTGCAGATATCATTTACTTAATTAAAGTAGCCTCCGGTGTCATAGACTGTTCTGAGTTACTTTCAAAACTTAATTTTAATGTACCAGCTAAACATACCAGATTTACTCCTTCTATTTCCATACCTTCTGTGTCATCTAACTATAGGGAAAACAGTTATATGTGGCGAGCAAGTAATAACTTCAATAGATTAAGTAGGGTATTAGATATTGATTTGTTTTCCGATAGAATATCTTTAGCGAGGGCCGTGATGAGCAGGCAATTCTTTGATTTCTAAGCATCGAATTTAATGTTACTTATATGCATTTCCATTATATAAAAATATTTGTTTGTTAGTTTCAGCATATGTTTTAATTTAGTAGATTGTTATATTTTGATATATGATTTTATGAGTATTTATGACACATACACGCCTCTCGTGTTAGTAATCTAATTTATCTATAATATATAAAGCTGCATTACGGTGACTCACTCACTGATTGACATAGTTGTTCTCCCAGAAGGAGCGTCCGGGGGTCGAGACGATGTATGGGGGAAATGTTCCTTTGGCTAGGGTGACCACGAGAAAATTCCGAAATTTGGGAAAATCCAAGATGGCGGACAAAGATGGCGGCTAACTTTTACAGTTTCGCTCGGATCGATTCCGTTCAAAGAGTGATTTGGCACGTCTCGGCGGGACCCAGAATATGGCGTAAAAACAAAAAATTAAAATCCAAGATGGCGGCGAAAAAATTGCCAAAAACTGGTTGAAAATTTTCTACAGTTTCAAAAACCGAAATTCCCAGGGTAGTTGCGGGGGTGCTGGCGACTCCGGTTGTGGGGCATAGGAAACTCGAAGGACCCGACCTCTAGGGAAAATTATGAAATTTGGAAAATCCAAGATGGCCGCCGAGTTGGGGGCGTGTGAAATTGGTCCTAAAAATCCGGATTATTTTCAAAGTCATTTTTTAGGTACAGGGCAACCCCGCAGCGAGTCGGCTTCTATGGGGCGATGATGGGTCTCGGTAAGAAGTATTGCCAGCGCTAAAAATAATTCCCGAATTTGGGGTAATTTGGGACAAATGGTCCAAAAAGTGGGAAAAATTTTTTTCGACATTTTTGACAAAAGAGGCATCAAGGCCTATCGAGAAACATCCCCTAAAGGGTTTTAGGTGGGTTTTGTTGGAATTTGTTGGCAACACCCATACATGGTTTGACCAAAATAGAAATTGGGGTGTCTCTCCAAAAACTGAAATTCCTAGGGTACTTGCGGGGATACTACCGATCCCTATTGTAGGGCATTGGGAGGCTGAAAGACCCGGCCTCTAGGGAAAATTATGAAATTTCAGAAATCCAAGATGGCGGCCAAGCTATGGGAGATTTAGTTTTTGGAAAAATTTTGGAATATTTTCAATCGCGTTTTTGCTGCACATGGTAACCCCGAAGCTTGTCTCTTCCTACGGACTTGGATAACTCTCAGTAGAAAGGTTTATAAAGCCTAAAAAATTTCCCCGATTTTGGGTTAAATTTGGAGAAAAGTCCCATAAAGTGGGAAAAATTTTTTTCGACATTTTAAATGAAAAAGTCTTGTTGGTCTACCAAAAATCGTCCCCTGAAGGGGTTTAGGTGGATTTTGTCAGAATTTGCTGGCAACACCCATACATCATGGGACAAATTTTGAAATTGAGGTCTAGCTTTAAAAACTGAAATTGATAGGGTACCTACGAGTGTGCTAGCTCAACGCACTGTGCGGCGTCGGATAGCCGAAGGACCCGGTCTCTAGGGAAAATTATGAAATTTTAGAAATCCAAGATGGCGGCACAGATAGGGGAGTTTTGCTTTTCGGATAAAATTTGGGACATTTTTAAATGTTGTTTTAGGACACATGGCAACCCCGCAGCGAGTCGACTTCTATGGAGAGATGATGTCTCTTGACACAAAGTATTACCTGGTATGAAAATTTTCCCTGATTTTGGGGTATTTTTTGAGACAGGTCCTAAAAAGTGGGAAAATTTTTTTTCGACATTTCAAACAAAAGAATGATGAAAATCTGTCAAAAGTCATCCCCTTAAGGGTTTTTGGTGGTTTTTGTCAGAATTATCTGGCAACACCTCAGATCAGTTTTCTTAGGGAATAGTACAAGAAGAAGTCACCGAAGCTCTACATAATGTATAGACGAAATGTTTCTGCTACTAGGGTGAATACGTCAAAAGTATTAAGAAGTAAAAATCCAAAATGGCGGCAGAGATAGGGGAGTTTTGCTTTTCGGAGAAAATTTGGGATATTTTTAAATGTAGTTTTAGGACACTTGCCAACCCCACAGCCAGTCGACTTCTATGGAGAGATGATGTGTCTCAACACAAAGTATTACCTGGTATAAAAATTTTCCCCAATTTTAGGGTAATTTTTGAGATAAGTCCTAAAA